ACTTGTCCTGAGACATTCAAAATGAGTTCATCAACCTTTTGGGGAAATAAGTGAAACATAATATTGTGCATCATGCAAAAAGGACACAAAATATTTCGGAATTCCTTCCGATAGCACTTCAGAGATATCACAAGTCGATCAAATGAATTATGTCAAATCAAAGATGTTCATAGGCGATCAAGATGAAGCCAAGGAATCATTTCTAAGTTTCTTCCCTATATCCCGGTAGAAAGAAAATTTGCTTTAGCTGTGTGTTTATATTTTGATCATGCTGCGTACGCATATTTTTGGAGGTTTTTTTTTTTTTGATAGGTGAAAATGGTATGGTAACCCCGCCTGTGCTAACGGGATACGCTAGCGGAGCACCAGTGAAGGGTGATAGATGAGAATCAAAACAGGCCAGTTAGCCCATCACGATGAATTCATCAGGAATTAACCATGTTAGTTTCCAGGGAGAACCGCGAGGAGGTCGACCTGGTTGGGTATATTGCTAGCAATGGGATTCTCAGTCTCTATTACTAACAATCCCTTTCCGCCCATTTTTGGAGGGTTAGCTTGAACAAAACATTATTATACTGTATAAGTTAATGTAACCATGTTAATTCTCTGTAATGTGTACCTATTGAAATAAAATAAAATAAAAAAAAAACGAAACTACAGTCCAAACCATTGAAATATGCTATGCCAATCGTTAGCACTTTTTCGGGGATACAAGTTCAAGCGTAAATTTATTCGGAACATTACAAAGAGCTTACACGCTTTTTTCGTCATCTACGAGAAACTTTGTAAGCGTATCGGTCAAAAGACTAGTTGGGACAAGAAGTGCTCATTACAACGCTGTACCACTGAAGGAATAATTTTGAAAAACTTCATTCAACACTCAAAAACATACGAGTGTAATCCCAGCAGAAGCAGCATAATCATTGTACAACAAAAGAAGCACTCTTGCCAAATTTGCGTGACTTCAGTGTTGTTATATGTTATGTTAATTTATTAAAATATTGTGTAAAATCTTAAGGAAGAAATCAACCAAAGTATATATACCTAAATATCTGAGCTATCTCTGTAAAAATGTGTCATAAGATTTAATGCCCTAGAAATATATATATATATATATATATATATATATATATATATATATATATATATATATATATATATATATTACACTAAAACATATTAGTAATAACAAGTAGTTAATAACAATGTAATGTTAGCAAAAGCGAACTTATCTCTAAAAGAGATTTCTAGTAGTCTCTCTCTTCTAGTAATCTCTAATAGAAATTTTCTTATTAAATGTAATTAGATCGATCGAAAATTGTTCTCAAATATTCAAATACTGGAAAGAATTATTTCCTAAGCATCTGTAAAAATACGAGAACTTACATACGCAACTGAAATATGTAAATACTTGGATATTTCGATTGAAAGACGAGGAAGATTTCGAAAACTTATACCAGGAGAAAGGGCCCAAGACACTGGACCAACATAGCTAGAAGAGCTGCAGAGAGCTATGTTAGAATGTCTTGATAGATTTTACAAAGAAAAGGGCATCGTTACAAGGCAATGGTAGAGAAACTCATAACAGTTGCTGTGGCACAGCCTAAAACTCTGCGCCTAACAACTTTTGTGTTCTCCGTTTGTATGTATTAGCATAAAATGTTTCATGCCAGGCAGGGGTCCTGGTGCCTTGTGATACGGGCTCTTTGGATACCCAGTTCAGGCACCAGTTCTCTACAACATTGTTGTATCTATGGTATTATTTTAAATGTTTCATTGTAGTCAAAAAAGTTGTGAGATAAATAAATATATAAACATTAAAAAAAAATGGTAGACACTCATAACAGTTGCTGTGGCACAGCCTAAAACTCTGCGGCCATCAATAAAAGAACTTCGTGGATTGAAATCTGACAAAAATTCTCTGCAGGGGGCATTATTTTGCAAGATTTTACGACCGAGACGCCGCTAAGAAGGCGCCAGCATTTCTTTCCAAGAAGCAAGAATAATGGACTAAATTTGGAGCTTCGGAAATTTGCTGTACAACAGGATTATTCCGAGTATGTTCCGAATGTAACGCCATGAATTTCTTTGCCTATTATTCCGTGGTGGAAAAATTTCTTAAGATCGATCCTAACGTAACTTGCCAGGGGGGAAGGGATTGTGAGTAATGGAGACTCAGAATTCCATTGCTAGCAATATACCCAACCAGGTCCGCCTCCTCGCTGTTCCCCCTGGAAACTATCATGGTTAATTCCTGATGTATCCATCATGATGGGCTAACTGGCCTGTTTTCATTCTCATCTATCACCCTTCACTGGTGCTCCGCCAGCGTATCCCGTTAGCGCAGGCGGGGTTACCATACCATTTTCACCCATAAAAAAAACGTAACTTGCCATTATTTCTATACTGTCCATTGAAAAAGACGAAGAAAGTATTTTTTTATAAAGTGATCGAATATTCTAGCAAAATTGAAGTCAAATAATAAATTTTTGTTTGTGATTGGTCGTTTTATTGTGGGGGTGCTCGATAGAAAACCACACTGGAAGCTAACTCATGTTACGACACCATTGAGAACGAGCTCAAATTATAGTCCCATGACTCCATAGCTTTGTAATTATAAGTTATTTATAATAGGTTCTGGTTAAAATATAAAAATATTTTTAATTATTCTAGATATAAGCTGTTGATTCCAGATGCAATATATGCGATATCCAAGCAGTAAGTGCTTTATATTATTCTCAATTTCGTGTATAATATAGTATATGTCATATATGTGTAAGTATATTTGTTATTTATATATATATTTATTCGTTTATATATGTAATTTTAGTATGTATGTATATCAATAATTACTAGTACCGCATTCGTGTATTCTGACACTTCCGTATGGTTGACTGGGAGAGAATGCTTTTAGCATTAAGTCCGCCATGTACACATATATGTACTAATGTATAATAAGTAAATAAATAAAATTTACTCGCTATTTGATATGGGATACAAACTTCTCGACTTGATTTTTGCGACTTTGGACTTTGGTGAAGGAATGGTGATTATTGTGAAGAAGTAAAAGAAATTTTTAATAATTAAGCAGTTGCAGTCTAATAAATAGATAAATACTTATTTATTTAAATAACTTTATAAGAAATAAGATTTGTACTAATTAAAAAAAAAGACACATGCCAATTCCCAATGAAGATCATTGAAGATACACTATAAAACCAAGCCAACGAAGAGCCACGAGAGAGAGACCCGGAAGTCGGAATCAACTTCCAGCAGCAGTATTTCCGAACCGATACGACAACGTAACCTTCAAGAAAAGAGCATATTCCCTTTTAAAAGGCCGGCAGCACACCTGCAATGCTGGTGTTGTGGGTGATCATGGGCGGCGGTAGTCACTTACCATTAGGTGAGCCGCATGCTCGTTTGCCCCGTGTTGTAAAAAAAAAAAGTAGTTGCTTTCGGAGAAGCTTAAAGGTAGTTGTTCCTGAAGTAAAGTCAGGTGAAAGGGTCCAACCCGAGGCCCTACCTGTATCCCCCTCGGGGATATGAAAGGGACCGCCTTCGGAATAAATCTTCGGTATCAATCTTTGAAACTCATTGTCCATCGACTTTAAGACCGTTATCAGTACATTCACCTTTCATGCGTAAGTCGCATCCTTAATTCCTTAACTTATTATCGTTTCTCCTTTCTTTTAACAAGCATTTTGCCTTTTTATGTTTTTTTTTTATTATTATTTTGAAATTTATCTGAATTTGTATTGGCTTATTTTCTTGATGGTCTTTTTATAGTTTATTTATTTATTTTTTGCTTCTCTCTTTAATTTTTTATCTGTATTTGTAACGACATATTCATTGTTTTACATTTTGCAATCTCGTGCAATCATGAAGGATTTAGAATCAAACGAAACCATATTAAATTGAGAAAAAAAAAATTAAAAGATATTGAACTATTTCATTCTAAAAAAAAAAATATGAAAATCGACGCAGAAATTTGGGGAGAAATGTGATTTCAACCGTCACAAAACTAATACGAGACCAAGATGGAAGGAAAGACATGATCGCAAAAAAGAATCAACACATCGGTTTAGAAAGGCGATACGATCGCAAAACATGGCCATAAACAAACATCGACCAATCTAGTTTGGAAATCGCTCAAAAAATAAGACGTACGTATGTACCATTGTATATTTGTTATTTTGTTTTTAAATATAATCTTAAAAACAACTGAAACTGCGCAGAGATGTTGCATCTCTGTGTATCTTCTATCGAATTTATCATGGGGAGTGTTCTGAGGAATTGTTCGGATTTTCACCACCGTACAACCCGCCACAAACTAAAGTTCCATCTCAACTATCTGGACGAGTGGCGGTCTTCCACCGTGCGTTTTTCAAGGCACTTCCTTCCACGCACAACCATTCTTTGGAATCAACTTTCAGCAGCAGTATTTCCGAACCGATACGATAACATAACCTTCAAGAAAAGAGCATATTCCATTTTAAAAGGCCGGCAGCACACCTGCAATGCCGCTGGTGTTGTGAGTAATCATGGGCGGCGGTAGTCACTTACCATCAGGTGAGCCGCATGCTCGTTTGCCCCCTGTGTTGTAAAAAAAAATATAATATTACACATTAAAATATTTAATATACAATGGTGGACTTACACCGTAAATGGATCTCTTAATTACTTGAATCAACATTTGAGACGCTGAAAGAAACTCTAGAATGTTCAAGGACAAAAACCGTACAGCCACAGACAAATGTCATTCTGTCATTCTTTTAAAAGAATGACATTGTCAAATTGCCTCATGCGCGTGAAACTTCGCATGCGCCCTGCGCCGCTATTTTTTTTTTATAATTTCAAAAGCTTTGGAGGTTTATTAAACGCTACAATTTTTACGAAATATTCGAATTGAATTGTACTTTTGAATTGAGAATCCTAACTTTTTTATAATAAAAAAAAAATACACTACTTTGTAAATAAAAAATAATAAAATGCCCGAACACTGTTCCACGTCTTTATTGTTAAATTGTTATTTATTTATTTATTATTATTATTATATACAATTTTGTATTTGATTTGGTTTCAGAGGGATCATTAAATATGATTCATTACATACAGGGTGACATCATAATGACAATGGTGTGGTAACTTCGCCTGCGCTAACGGTATACGCTGGCGGGACACCTGCCATCCCTCACTGGTGCTCCATCAGCGTATACCGTTGCCGCAGGCGAGGTTACCACACCATTTTCACCTATGACAAAACCGCCCAACCCTATTCCTGTTGGTAAACAACCTCGTATGTGACTTCCTCCTCCCCCGCCATATCCAAACCGTAATACACCTCCTCTCCTTCCTCCACCTCTTGATACAACTCCACTTCGGGCTTCACAACACACACTTCCTCCGCTTCTGTCTTTACATTGTCACACAATTTCTGTTCTATTCTCTTGTGTTCTATGTTTCTCAACTGTCTGGCTCTGCTCTCCTCGCGTCGCCGCTTCGATTTGTATGGGGCCGGCATTTTTAGGTGCACTGTATGCACATGGAGCTTCATGGAATTCGACTGTGTGAAGGCTTTACCGCATTTTGGACATTGGTACGGCTTGGCTCCGGTGTGTACCTGAAAATTTTGTTAAATTTACTTTTTTTTTTTATATACAACTTAGAATGTCAAACAAGCTGACGGCCCACCTGATGGAAAGTGGTAACCGTCGCCTATAGACATGAGCAGTACCGTGGACATAACAGAGTATACTGTTTCGCCCATGATACCCCCCCCCGCGTTGCCATTCCTGTGGACTCGGGTGTTATTCCTCTGTACCCAGTAAATTCACGCCATATCCCACCCTTCAAACCGAAACACAGCCATGCAAACACAACTGCTTCACGGTAGAAACACGAATGGTACAGAGCTACCCAAGCAATCGACTTTTGTACAAAGTCTCCCTCTGGTATAATTAGCTGAAGGGATCGAATTAGCAATGAGGAGGTCCTGCTTAGGGTTAAGGAAAAGAGACAAATTATAAGAACTATTGAGGACAGAAGGGGAAAAATGTTAGGACACTTGATACGACACGACGAACTTATGAACGTTATAATAGAAGGTAAGATAGAAGGAAGGAGGGGGAGAGGGAGACCGAGGCATAGTTACATCAGGCAGATCAAGGAAGGAGTTGGTGTCGTGTCGTATCAAGAGGTGAAGAGACTCGCTGACAATCGTAGTGAGTGGCAAGAGCTCCACCGACAAGAGCGCAGCTCTTAAATAGGATAGATAGATAATCTAAACATATTGTTGTCGGGAATTCTGTCTGCCCGTGCGAAGCCAGGCTGAGTTACTAGTAAATATATATTTTGAGAGATAACAACATTAATACATTATTAGATTGTGTGTGGGGAAGAAAGGTTCTGGAGTGGCGACCGCGTACGGGCAAACGCAGTGTAGGACGACCCCCCACTAGATGGAATGACGACTTTAAATGAGTTGCAGGGAGTCAATGTGTGCAGATGGCTCAGGACCGCTCTTTATAACAGTCTAGGGGAGACCTATATTCAGTATACTATGTCGCCCATGATACCCCTCCCCCCCTCTACGACTATGGTGTTTTATTTGGATGGGGAAAATGGTATGGTAACCCCGCCTGCGCTGACGGGATACGCTGGCGGAGCACCAGTAAAGGGTGATAGGTGAGAATGAAAACAGGCCAGTTAGCGCATCATGGTGAATTCATCAGAAATTAACCATGATAGTTTCCAGGGGGAACAGCGAGGAGGTCGACGTGGTTGGGTATATTGCTAGCAATGGGATTCTCAGTCTCCATTACTAACAATCCCTTTCCCCCCACGACTATGGTGTTATACCTATATACCCTTTCAGATAAAAAAAAAACAAATCAGTTTACAACTGCCAGAGTTTTAAGGTAACAAAACATAGAAAAAAACCTTTCTTTTTGAAGTAGGTTGTAGTAAACCAACTCACCCTGTCGTGCCTGAGCAATGCTGCCCTGTTGCTGAATGCCTTCGGACAGGACGGGCACGGGTACGGCCTCTCCCCTGTATGTGTACGCAAATGGATCTGTAAAGAGAAATAACTATTGTATTTTTTGTCTTTTTTATACAACTTTGAATGGCAAACAAGCTGACGGCCCACCTTATGGAAAGTGGTAACCGTTGCCTATAGACATGAGCAGTACCGTGGATATAACAGAGTATACTGTTTCGCCCATGATACCGCTCCATGCGTTGCCATTCCTGAGGACTCAGGTGTTATTCCTATGTACCCAGTAAATTCACTGCCATATCGCACCCTTCAAACCGAAACACAGCCATGCTCTGGGGGGAAAGGGATTGTTAGTAATGGAGACTGAGAATCCCATTGCTAGCAATATTACCCAACCAGGTCGACCTCCACGCGGTTCCCCCTGGAAACTGGACGCTGCTGCCCATCCCTCGCCCTCTCTTAGTCGCCTCTTACGACACCCACGGGAATGGAAGGGGTGGCCTATTCTATGCTGGAAGCAAACGGCGAGGTATTTCTATCGTTTCTGTACATTTACCTGGAGGAACAGTGGCATGGTGAACGTCTTGGGGCAATAGGAACACTGGTACGGCCGTTCACCGGTGTGCACCCTTTGATGATAACGGAGGGCAGCGTTCGACTGAAACAATATATGTTTTTATTTTACTAATATTATAAAGAGGAAAGATTTGTATTTTTGTGTGTATGTATGTTTGTAATGAATCAACTCGAAAACTACTTTGCCCATTTTAAAAATTCTTTCACTACTAGCGGCCCGTCCCGGCGTCGCACGGGTGAACATTTTTACATTTTAAAAAATGGCCAATAAGGCTGCACACGCGACAGAAGCTTAAAAATGGAGTAACTTCTCCCGTTTTCCCAACATTTCCCTTCACTGCTCTGCTCCTATTGATCGTAGCGTGATGAAAAGTATACTATAACCTGCCCAGGAGTATGAAGAATAATTGTACTGTTTGAATCGAAGCATTTGGCGTTCCATTGTTTCCGCCTACCGTAATGGGAGACAGGCGTGACAGATATGTATGTATGTATGTAAATATAAGGTCAACCTACCGCATATCTCTTGCCGCATACCTCGCAGACTATGGACCGCACGTTGCTGTGCGCCGGCCTGGGTGCTCTCTCCTTCCTTAGATTCCTTACTCTTGGGTCCAATTTCACTGTTCTATTCCTTGTGTCTACCTACAATTCAATTTAAAATTCAACCGTGAAGCAGTTGTGTTTGCATGGCTGTGTTTCGGTTTGAAGGGTGGGATATGGCAGTGAATTTACAGGGTACAGAGGAATAACACCTGAGTCCTCAGGAATGGCAACGCATGGGGGGTATCATGGGCGAAACAGTATACTCTGTTATGTCCATGGTACTGCTCATGTCTATAGGCGACGGTTACCACTTTCCATCAGGTGGGCCGTCAGCTTGTTTGCCATTCTAAGTTGTATACAAAAAAAAAAGTTATTATATTGTTTCCTCTCTCTGTTTAGCATGATGATTGACTGGTAGAGAATGCCATCAGGTATTATGTCCACCCTGTAGCCTGTAGCCATATCAGCCTTTAACTGTCCACTGCTGGACATAAGCCTCCCTCTTGGAAGGTTTCGCCACTAGTTGCCATGTTTGGCAAGCGGATTGGCAACTGCAGTTAGGCTTTACAGATTTATAAAGAGGGACTCTGCTGCCCATCCCTCGCCCTCCCTTAGTCTCTTACGACACCCACGAGAAAAGGGTGGCCTATTCTATGCCGGGACCACACAGCGGTTTATACATATTATACAATGGAAATTAAACAAGCAAACATGAGTAAACCAATCCCCACATACAGTATCCCTTCACAACTTTTTTTCCCACTACCATCCATTGATGAATGTGGAGGAAGCGAAGGAGTTCTGTTTGAATCGAAGCATTTGGCGCTCCATTGTTTCTGCCTACCGTAATAGGAGACAGGCGTGACAGATATGTATGTATGTATGAAATCCACACATACAATGTAACTGGAAGAAGACTAGTAAATAAAATACTATCTACACTTATACACATATTTCCTATGCCACTGTGTTAGGTCGACTGGAAGAGATCTCTTTCAGTAATGCGAAATGTGAATAGGACTCTTATTTTCCGCGCTTAGCCTCTCATTTGAGCCGTTGTGCGTATGAGTCGTGGCTAGTACAGCCAACCTAGCTCCGCTCAGATGCGCAGGAGCTTCCTGGGTTCTTCGCAGGCCTCATGGAGCGACCTCACCGTTCCTCACTGTTTAATTTTATATACATATGTATATAAAATAAAAAGTAACAGCCCACCTCGTCCTGAAGGGTCATTGTATTGTTCTCTAGTTTGACAATCTTCTTCTCCAACTTCACGGTGCCGTGGTCGAGGTTCACCGCTTTCTCTAGACCCTGGTCATCCACCGTGATGTGGACTATCTGGTTCTGCGTGTATGGCTCCTCTTTTGGTTTGACAAACTGGAAAACATAAAAAAAATAAATGTAAATAGATAGAAAAACTCCTTACTTGCATTTTAATTGTAAAAATAGTAAAGAAAACCTACTTGCACATCCTAAATAAATAAATTACCTGCATATAATTGGAGATTGTACAAAGTAATAGGATGTAACCTACCCTACCTGGGGGGGAAAGGGATTGTTTTATTGACATTGGTTTAAATGAGTTGCTTGTATAGAATGTTTACAGTATTAACTTAAAAAAAAAATTAATAAAGAAATTAAATTAAAATAATGTAAAACAACTGAGTTACATTCCTGATGTATTTATCATGATGAGTTAACCCTTCTTTGCATAATGGTGGAAATTTCCATCATAACATTGAATACCTAAAAATTATATAAAAGAACAAGATCACTTTAAGTTGATCATGTCTGGATACCTTTTTAATGTACATTGCAGAAAAAAAAAACTTAGCTGTCAAAATTATTTTCTTAACCATTTTTCCATTAATTTTAAACATGAATTAACACTTTGATTTATTTCACCAATAAAAAAAAATCATGCAAAGAAGGGTTAACTAAGCAGCCTTTTCATTCTCACCTATCATCCATCAATGGTGGCTCACCAGCATAAACCATCAGCACAGGTGAAAATACCATTCCATTATCATACATTAAAAAATATCAACCTACCCTCATGTATTGTCATTCCTGAGGACTATGGTGTTATACCTCCGTACCCTGTAATTTCACTACCATATCACACCAAACAATAGTCCAAGCACAGCTGTAGAGAGGAGGAAGCATTGTTAGTAATGGGAAATTCTAGACCCATTGTGACACCCTATCAGATAACCTCTATGCAGTTATCGCTGGAAACTATCTTAGTTAATACTTGTGGAATTCATCAGAATTTTTTTTTATATAACATAGAATGGCAAACAAACTGACGGCCCACGGAAAGTGATAACCGTCGCCTATAGACATGAGCAATACCATGGACATAACAGAGTATACTGTTGCGCCCATAATACCCCCCATGCATTGCCAATGAGTTAACTGTACTACCTTGCTTGCTGAATTCCAAGTAAATAGAACATGATGGGCTAAATGACTTGCTTTTTCATCCTCACCTATCATCTCTCACTGGTGCCCCGCCAACATATATGTTAGCACAGGCGGGATTATCATTCCCTTATCATTAAAAAAAATAAGCCTAACTGGCTCACTGCCTAACCAGTCTACTGGTGGAGTTACTATCCCACTTTTTGCCATCAAAATTAACTTACATTATACAATAGGGGAATAGCTATAATATGCACTAGCTTTATTAAACTAATATTTTATTTAAATAGGACTTAATCCTGCCTAGAGTAAGAGAATATAAAAAGGAGGTAGGTAAACAATAGAAAATATTAAAACTTAAAAAAAAGTGTTATATATTAAAAAAAAAAATAAGATATTTTGAGTACTTTTTTATATGAATAAATAGCTCTGTCTAAGAATAACTTGACTGTAAAATAAAATTAAAAAAGAAAAGATCTAAAGCTAACCTAGAGAAAAAAGTAGGTAATACAGATAAAAAAAAAAGTTACTTAGATTTCGACTTGCCGGTTATGTTATATTGAGGATTTAAAAGAAAATAATAAGCACAGGTACGCACCGAAACAGTTTTATCCTTTTTTTCCGATTTAATTGCATGATCAGTTTCTAGATGGGTTTTCAAGACCTCCTCCGATGGGAACGTTTCGCCACATTCACAGATAATGTAGTGTATACTAACAAATGAACAATAAAACATGTTCTCATCTCCCATTGCGATTATATCAAAGCACAGATTAGTAATACGAACAAAATTACTCGATACAGAAAATATATGTTTAGACTTCTATGCCGTCCGCCATTTTATTTATTCTGTGCATAAGTAGAATTGCGTCACTCGATGTCTGTCAATGCTGCCACTATTACCAGCAAATTGCTAAACCGCCTATCTAATGTTACCATTTTGTTTCCATACATAGAATGATCATATTAACGATTTATTGTGTGATCTTTGAAGAAATCGAACGACGAGCCGTATATCTAAAAAAATAAATATCGATAACTAGTATACACTTTTGAGACATACATAAAAAACATGAAAGCGCTTTAACGTGACTTATTTACAGAGTTGCACAATTGTCAAATTAATAATTACTTCAAACAAATTAATTTTTTAATCGTTAATGGGGCTAAGGAATGACTAGATAAACTTTTTTATGAACAGAACCTCTAGCGATCAAATATTTTTACATATATTCTAATATCTAAATCGCTTTGTAGAGACATGTATTATTTATTGTTATTCGCTCGCTAATAGTTTTTAAATAATACGAATCAGCAAAAACAGAATTTTAAAATCGTCTAACAATTTTTAACTATCACAGACTTTGCAACATACGTAACGGAAACAGGGAATAGTTATAAATAAAACAAAAATACAGTATAAATATGATTGTTTTCATTATAAAAATAAAAATGTTAAAAATTGGATACATTATAATTAGTAAATTATATACATTGAAAGTGCCATTCTATATAAAATAATCATTTGTCCTGGTTGTGGTCACAAGTCAATACATAGATGGGTGGCGCCGACAAAACGAACACGGGAGTATCTGAAAACACAAATTGTAAACTATATTATTAGAGGAAAAGAGATTGTTACTAATGAGGTTTTGATAGCCCTATTGCTAGCAATATACCCCATCAGAATGACCTCCACGTGGACCCCCTGGAAACTATCGTGGCTAATTCTTGTTAAATTCGTCAGGATGGGCTAACTGATCAGCTTTCATATTTACCTATCATCTCTGACTGGTGCCTTGCCAGCGTGTACTGTTAGCGTAGGCGAGGATTTTTTTATGGATGATAATGGAATGGTAACCCCGCCTACGCTATCGGTATACACCAGCGGTGCACCAGTGAAGAATGATAGGTGAGGATGAAGCAGGTCAGTTAGCCCATTGTGACGAATTGAACAAGAATTGTTCACGATGGTTTCCAAGGGTAGCCACGTGAAGGTCAACCTTATAGGGCATATTGCTAGCAATAAGGCTGTAAAACTCCATTGCTAACAATCCCTTTCCCCGCACACAGGCGAGGTTACCACTCCATTGTTATCCATTAAAAAAAATACATAAAGGAAAAGGAATATAAAATTGATATAATAATCATTTACAGATCAGGCAATCTCGATCAAACAAGTAAATGAATTTTTAAAATCGGTTGAGTAGTTAAATAGATTTAAAATTTATTTGCATTACATCTCTCTCTTTTCATTTAATAGTTTCCTCTTGTCGGTGCAACTAATTCATACATCCTCTTCCAGCCAGCTCTATCCGAGGCCATATCCTTGAGCACCCTATACGACATGACACCTAGTGTTTCCCTTATCTGTTCCATGTAGTTATTCCTCGGTCTTCCCCATCCTCTTTTGCGCTCTATTTTTTCTTCCACTATGCTCTTTAAAAATCGTTATGTCGTATAAGATGGCCAAGCATTTTGCCTCTTCTCTTCACTAGACATATTTTAATGTTTTCAAAAGTATAAGTAAATGTTTTCTTGGCCACCTCTGTCCCATTCGTTCTGTCCCATATCCTTGCATTACTTACAGCACACAAATAACAACAGACATGCACAGTAGAAAGACATAAAAGTATGCATATACAAAAAAAAGCAAAATATATAAAAGAAGTAACAATTTTTTCCTTCACGCGTACGCCACAGTAACACAAAATGGTCACAACTCAATTTATTTTTTCGCCTTCAAAAGAGCAAAACACTGATATTCTGACGTTACCCAGTTTTTGAGTTTATTCATTACAAACAAACAAATCTTTCCTCTTTATAATATTAATATAGATAAAACATAAAACATACCTAACATACATAAATAAAGAAAACGAGTAAATAAACAAGAAATATAAAACATTGCAACACTCGACAAGATATCGTGTAAAAAAAAATAACCTCTTTTAACTAATCTTTACTAATATAATAAATATGACAGTAAGTTTGTTTGTTTATTATCTTATAGCCTCTTATAGGCTATCCCACTCAGTCAATATATACCGGTTACGTGGACGAAGTCGCGCGTAATAGCTTGTTGTGTAACATTAATAATTTAAAGTTGTATATTTACCAGGCACATTTACACCGCTACTCTTCAAATTATCTAGAGAATTACTATGATGCGTGTGTCCTTTGCTGTGAAAAAAAAATATATAATTCTTTTTAATCTGGTTACATACCTACCTATCTATACATTTAAAACATGGCAGTATGGTCTCCGCTCCTAGCCTCTTCCTCTGAGAAACGAATATACAAAAAAAAAAAAACTATATCTCTATCTTAAAGTGCTATTTTTTTATTTTAATTTAATAATAGGTACCTATAATTATTTTCCTTATATTTTACGCTACTATTTTCTTAATTATACAATATTATTATACCTACTTGTACAACAATTAGTCCATTACCCTAAGGTTGTTTTGAATAGATTGCCCACAGCAATAAGACCGCCTCACTGTACTCATACAACTGTATCGTTACATTTATAAATTGCTTTGCTTATTCCCTATATTGTATAATGCGAATAAAGTTATTTATTTCATTTATTTATTTATTTAACACTTTATTGCACCATCATTACAGGATTTATTAAAGAATTTTCGATAAGTATAGTTCAGTACAAAAGGCGGTTTTATTGCTAAGCAATCTCTTACAGACAACCTTTGGGTAGAAACTTATTCATTCATTTATCTTTTATGTACTGTTTGCCCAGTTCTTCTAAATATATTCCCAAAACATCGTTTTTATTTTTTATATTTTTTTTAAATTACAATATAATTTCTCCGGGGGGAATGGGATTGTTAGTAATACTTGACCAGGTCGAGCTCCTCGCGGTTCCCCCTGGAAACTATCATGGTTAATTCCTGATGAATTCATCATGATGCGCTAACTGGCTTGTTTTCATTCTCATCTATCACCCTTCACTGGTGCTCCGCCAGCGTATCCCGTTAGCGCAGGCGGGGTTACTATACCATTTTCACCCATCAAAAAAAAAATCTCCGGTACACTGAATTTAAATATAGATTATGATATTCCAATTCACGCACAATAAATAAAAAAAACTGACCAGTTTCTGACGGCGTTTATGGATGTCACATAAAAATGTATGAGTATATATTACCTTTAACTGTATTAACTTACCATTCGCCCAAATTATTCAAGGATCTCGATAGTGCACAACTTTGCACAGCAATATTTTGTAAATCCGCTAACGAACACGCTTGTCTCAGTTTTGCCACCAGTTTGTGCTGCAAATTTTGACAGTGTGCATGGCATTCCTTTGCCTCAACACATTGTGCATTGTTTGAAGTGCTGTCTGTCATTTTCGGAACGTCGTTCTGAATTTGATTTTTTTGACAGCCACATCCAGAGTTGCCAGGTTGGGATTTACTATGTAAGTTAGTAGAATTTTCAGCACACGTGGTAGATTGTTGGAAATTACTAAAATTTTGTTGTTTAAAATCTTGAGTATGTAAGGAACGGTGTATATTAGGATCGGAACTGTAATTTTGGCCAAATTTATCGTTAAAATGGACGGTTTTCTTTCTATTCATGGCTGTAAGACGGTATTGTCCCTTGCGGCTGACCGCGGGTGAGATATTTGGAGATCTGTTTGGTGAATTGTAAGCAGACACAGAGGCTTTCGGTTTTTTGTGGGTGTCTTTTATTTCATATTCGGTTGCTATTGCTTCGAAAACCTGAAATGTTAATTTTGTTAATTAAATATAATATAAGTGTAATTATGTTATAAAGAGTTAATAACTTTTTTATTTAATTGCACGCTTCGGAGCATTCTTCACTTCGTTATCATCATATCAGCCTTTAACTGTCCACTGCTGGACATAAGCCTCCCCCTTGGGGGACAACCGCAATCAAGCTTTAGAGATGTTTTAAGAGACACTGCTGCCCATCCCTTGCCTTCCCTTAGTCGACTCTTACAACAGCCACGGGAAAGGAAAGGATGGCCTAGTCTATGCCGGGACCACACGGCTAATCAATTCATTTCATTGAATCTGTACTGTACATTAGAGACTATCGTTCCATTTAGGATTGGCTTTTACAGTTATCGCATAATTTGTTTGCTTTTACGTGCCATTACTCAAGGAATTATCTCTACCGCTACGGTTATTGCGGGATAGGCAGCCGCGTCCCTCTTGAAACACCTCTAAAAGCCTAACTGCGATTTACAATCCGCCTGCCAAGCGTGCCAACTACTGGCAAAACTCTCCTTATGGGGAAAGCATATGCCCAAGTGTGGAGAGTTAATAATTGGCCGAAATAATAAGAAAAAAAATGGTTATTGATTCTTTGAGCTATATGGCCAGCAGATTTTCAATTTAATATAACATGTTCTTCATGACATATCAGTCACTTTGGTTTTCCTTTAACAAGACTGCAGTTAAGATATTTTTTTTTCATGGATGAAAATGGAATGGTAACCCCACCCGCGCTATCGGTATACACCGGCGGGGCACCAGTGAAGGATGATAGGTGGGGATGAAGTAGGTCAGTTAGCCCATCGTGACGAATTGAACAAGAATTGTTCACGATGGTTTCCAGGGGGAACCACGTGGAGGTCGACTTAATAGGGCATATTGCTAACAATGGGGCTATTAAACTCCATTGCTAACAATCCCTTTCCCCCCTGCAGCTAGGATAGTACACATTTAAATATCTAATCTTCCTACCCTTATCCCAATTATTATTTGTGGTCGACATAATCTGGTTTTATTCATATTACAAAAAGATTTGGCTTATAGTTTTACGATCGGCCCCTGCCTGACGTCAACCCTCTTTGGGAATGAATTTGTCGGTGGTTTACGCCACATACAGTATGGAGGAAAGGATTGAGGAAAAAAGGAAGGGAACGTTGGGAATGCGTAAAGGAAATTAGTAAAAGAGAGGAATAAAGGACTTATGTGGGAAAGGAAAGGAGAAGGGAGGGACACTGCAGCAGCTCGGGAGGCCGGGGTCGCATATCCGTATGCCCTTATTTTAGAATCGGACAGGTTTCTAGAGAAGAAAACCCCTAACGCATAGTATACATCTAATAAATAAATAAATAAATAAAACACCTGTTCGGCGACTAAATTCTTGGCGTATGGAGAATCTTTAGGCGGCAAGGTCTCTCTGCATAACGCGCAACGTTCCAGTCGGGTCCAGCAAGCTGTAAAATTAATCACAGTTCCTCATTAGTTGTATCTCATTTTAAGATCCCATCCACCCGTTAGAGAAAGCTAGGCAAAGAAAATAAATTGTCAAAGACCTAAGGTGTATATCAAGGGGGGAAAGGGATTGTTAGTAATGCTAGCATTACTAACAATCCCTAATCAGGTCAACCTCCACGCGGTTCCCCCTGGAAACCATCGTGGTTAATTCCAGTGGAATTCGTCATGACGGGCTAACTGATCTGCTTCATTTTCACTAGTGTCCCGCCAGTGTATACCGATAGCGCAGGAGGGGTGACCATTCCATTATCATCTATTGAAAAAAAGATGCATATCACTGCTATTATAAAAACGGTGATACTTTTCAAATAACATAATGCACGTTCCTTCAGTAGGATCAACTTTTCGATAAATACTAGTGCACGCGTCTGGAGACAACAGATGTCACTATTGTGGTTAGCATTCTTATATCGTCAGATATATAAAAAAAATATAACTTTGTGTTTTACGTATACACGTGAACGTTTTTATATATTTTAATGTATTTGTGTAGATGTTTGTATGTATGTGTGTTATATATAATAGTATATAAGTATATATAATAAGTAAGGACATATTTACATTATTACATGTATCACATGTCTATATTTTAGAAATAATAGGATCTTGTTCGTGCCTCCGATCAAACTGTTTACAATTACTCCTCTTTATTCAAAAGTTGTCCATTTTCATTGTTTTTTTTTGTTTTCATTTATAATAAGTCTACTATTGTAATCTTTTGGAGGAAACAATAAAGAGTATCTATCTATCTATATATTGTCTCCAACATTCTCCCACATTATAACAGCCATATTATATGTATTACATTTCCCATATCTAGAACTAACAAAATTTTTCATCGTGCCTCCTAACAAATTGTTTATAATTACTCCTCTCCATCCAAAGGTTGCCTGCAAGAGATCGCTCTTAGCGATAAGGTCGCCCATTGTTTTCTCACTGTGATTATTTCTTGTAATTATTTATATTTATAATAAGTTTACTATTGTAATCTTTTGAAGGAAACAATAAAGAGTATCTATCTATCCGTCCGTATCCGTCACGCTGTTGATAAGAAACTAATAAGAACAATTTACCTAACACTATGCCAATCTTTGTGTACTTATGGTATATCGATATGGGGAGGATCTCCAAAAACTATTCTGAAGCCACTTGAAGTAGCACAGAGGGCCGTTCTAAAAGTTTCAAGTTTTCGACCAATATTATATCCTACAAAACAATTGTACGAATCATGCGAAGTATTGACAATTCGCCAACTCTTTATACTTACTATCGTAATAATAAAATTAAATGTAAGAAAGAGATAACTAATTGGCTACTAACATTGTCGTATGACCAAACTGAAAATTTGTTGTCAATTCCAAAATAAAACTAAATCTAAAACTACAAAACTATAAATACTACTCGCGCACACACACACACACACACACACACACACACACGCACACACGCACACACGCACACGCGCACACACGCACACACGCACACACGCACACAATCACACACGCACACACGCACACACGCACACACACACACACACACTTGTATTAAGGTAGTAATAGATGTTCAGTAATATATTGTAAAACTCCGGAGAGAGCCTGAAGATCTGTAGTACAGGTTTCGACCTAGTTCAGACTCCAGACTCTCACAAGGATAACAATTTTAATTTAAAGTACTAAATAGTCACACACAGTCACAGTCTAAACAGTCTAAACTTCTATAAAAATCCTATCAAAAATCAACTCAAAAATTCTTATAAAACCACGACGCATTCGGCCCTCTTAAAATACACCTATAGTTTTATCTCTTACTATTAATATATATGGCGCCAAGTTGGGAAACACCATTTAAAAAGGTTGGCCACACTTAGTTGCTCTATGGTTCAAACACCAGTCATATAGAAAAAGATTTGTTAAGATTTGCTCAGGTGTTATTCCTCTATACCCTGTAAATTCACTGTCATATCCCACCCTTCAAACCGAAACACGAATGAGACAGAGGTGGCCAAGCAAACGAATTTTGTACAAACTCTCCCTATGTATATATATATATACATTTATAAATGCATTAACAATCTAATATACACTTGTAAATTAGATTGTTAATGCATTTATAAATGTTGTGGGCAAGTGTGGACTTATCTCTGACAGAGATCTCTTCCAGTCAACCCGATACAGTTAGAATTTGTTTCAGTGTAAATACTTCTTGGTAGTTAGTTTTTTTTATTGTACCCGTCTGTTACTGAATTGTCACCTTAATAAAATTGTCTTGCTACTAAAAACATCACTCGATTCCTATTATTTATTATTCTCTGATATTTAACGCAAACTATATATATTTATAAAGAAATATATTTATAAAATTTATTAATGTAATCTTTTGGGTGGAACAATAAAGAGTAGTGTAACGCACGTTCGCAGTAGAGGTGTGAGCGGGCGCAGCTGAGTGCCCGCGCGGCGGTGGCTGCGCACACGCAGCACGCCAGCGCGCGCACCACGCCCGCCAGCGCTCGCCGCGACCTCTCGCCGCGGGCGCCACCTCCGCAGCTCCACAGCAGCTGGAACCAAGTAACAAACATTTATTCGCATAAAGTCTAGAACATCGCAAAGGTAGACGCGGTGGATTATAAGATCTCTCATGCACTTTACAGCGTTTAATTTAATAATTAAAAGAGATAAAATTAAAACAACTTTTTTTTTTTACTAGCGGCCCGTCCCGGCTTTGCGCAGGTGGACATTTTTACAACATTTCAAAAAATAGTTATTGTGACATAACGATAATAGTTGGACATATATATAGTACCGTTTTCTGTAGTTATTGTTATTTTCTTCAATATTGTAAAACGTACTTTTGTTCTATCACCAATAGTTTCCGCAGCGCACGCGACCAAAGATATTTTATAGCATTTTTTTCACACTTTCAATTACGTTACTAAAATTTTAGTATGGATCCCTAATCGTTTCTAGCAATAAATAGCCTATGTAACTCAGGGTGATTGTATGTTAGCTTTCTAATGGTGAAAGAATTTATGAAATCGGCAAAGTAGTTTTTGAATTTATTCATCACAAATATACATACACACAAAAATACACATCTTTCCTCTTTATAATATTAGTGTAGATGTCTCAAAATCAACATGAACAGTAGCCATGGAAACTAGAACTTTACCAAGATAAGTCACCGGAGGGAGACTTTGTACAAAAGTCGATTGCTTGGGTACCTCTGGAATAACACCTGAGTCCTCAGGAATGGCAACGCATGGGGGGTATCATGGGCGAAATTGTATACTCTGTTATGTCCATGGTACTGCTCATGTCTATAGGCGACGGTTGCCAATTTCCATCAGATGGGCCGTCAGCTTGTATGCCATTCTATGTTGTATAAAAAAAAAACATCACTAACGTAGACCAAGTAATAGTATCCATGATCTCTGAAATACATATCTATTACAATATGGTCAAAAATTATGGTCCCATGTGGTCCTGACTTAAAACAGACTACCCCTTTCTCTCCCGTGGGTGTCGTAAGAGGCGATTAAGGAAGAGCGAGGGATGGACAGTAGCGTCCCTTTTAAAGCATCTCTAAAGTTTAACTGCGGTTGCCAATCCGCTTGCTAAGCGTAGCAACTACTGGCAAAAGGAGAAGGAAGAGGCTTATGTTCAGCAGTGGACAGTTAAAGGCTGACGTGATGATGATGACGATACCATAAATTTATTTATAAAATAATATGTCAAAATCATAAGTTATTCCTGGGAGTAAGGACTCCCAGGAATTCGGCATAAAGTCATAAAAAAATCAGTACATTTCGACGTTTGAACGTGTCATTTTGACACGGAGTTGGGAGTAAACGTTTTAAACCAGTGTTTCCCAATCGTTTATGCCATGCCCCACTTGAACATTTCTAAAATTTTTACGCCCCCATACATAATTTTTCCCGACAAAGTTTACTTGACGTCTCTAATCGCCCAGTTGATATATTGGTAACGTCAAACGAAATTATACCTAATAAAAATTTACAGCAATTTTAAATTTACATTTTTATTGTTAAATTTGACACCGATATCTATTCGTAGCTTTACATTTAAATGGCCCGGAGCAAGAGGGTTACAATCGAGTCCATTTTTTAATTGCACCCCCTTAACTATCAAATTGCCCCGCTTGTGTGACGTGGGCGCCAAGTTGGGAAACACCGTTTTGAAAGGTTGGCAACACTTAGTTGCTCTATGGTTCAAACGAATAAAGTTAGCGCGCATTTTCAAATCGATGTCGTAAATTCTTTTTTTTTTTCTGAAAAGGTATATTTTCAAATTGGTCCCATAGAAATTCTAATAAGTTCTATTTAAGTAGTTTAGTTCTGATGCCAAAAATAACTAGTTGTGCCACAATTGGAGTCGGTTTTTTCTTGTGGAACTCAATCTTATCACCACTTACCTCAGGATCGTCTTTCGGGTCCACGCCGCAGTTCCACACGAGCAGTGACACGCCGTGTCCAGCGCCATCACCTCTGATCAGACCGGCCACTTGTCCCACCTTAAACATGCATTTATTTTACAAAACCTTTCTATGGTCATAGATTCGAGTCTAACACAACAATATATACAAGAGTATGTCCTTTTATTGTCAGTAATAAAGACTGAGAATCCCATTGCTAGCAATATGGTTGGTTACCAGGTCGACCTCCTCGCGGTTCCCCCTGGAAACTATCATGGTTAATTCCTAATGAATTTATCATGATGTGCTAACTGGCCTGTTTTCATTCTCATCTGTCACCCTTCACTGGTGCTCCGCTAGCGTATCCCGTTAGCGCAGGCGAGGTTACCATACCATTTTCACCCATAAAAAAATGTGCTTTTTTTTTATTAAACTTAAAATTATAGCATATACCAACACGTTGATGCTTATAATTTAACGCCCTCTGCTTACCCCTCATGATTTTTTTTTTATAATACTGTCATTGTAAAGTGCGACAATTTGTTCAGAGTTTGTTCTTTTCAGTTTTGGTTGTAATGTTTCATGTATTTGTTGTAAAGCGTGTCGAGTCTCCCATCCGAGAAATAGATATTGGCGACCCGCGCGCATGCTAAAGGTAAAGGAGTTAAGGGGCCGCCTGAAAATCAGCGCTATATATATAGGTACATCTCGCTGGAGCTGTACATATATAGCAACAGCTGAGGCGGCTCCAGCAACCAGCAACATTAATTGTTTTTTTTTCTTTTTATTGTTTTTTTTTTTTTATTTTCTTATTACTGGTAATAAAGGTTTTTTTTTTTACACAACTTAGAATGTCAAACAAGCTGACGGCCCACCTGATGGAAGGTGGTAACCGCCGCCTTTAGACATGAGCAGTACCGTGGACATAACAGAGTATACTGTTTCGCCCATGATACCCCTCCATGCGTTGCCATTCCTGAGGACTCAGGTGTTATTCCTCTGTACCCAGAAAATTCACGCCATATCCCACCCTTCAAACCGAAACATAGTTATTAGAAACATTATTAGTGTATAATTATAATAATTTCCAGGGGGAACCGCGAGGAGGTCGATCTGACAGGACTTATTGCTAATAATGGGGCTGCTAATCTCCATTATTAAGAATCGTTTCTCGTTGACTAGTTACATAGCTCTCCCTTGTCAGCTAGCAATTGTCTCCCTCTCTTTTTTCCGACTGTACAAGGAACTTGGTCTAAATATAAATATATACTTACTGGTAATCCGAGCAGATCCTTGCCATCAGCTTGGAGTAAGCAGTCGCCAGTTTTCAGACCCGCCACGTCAGCTCTGGCGCCGGGCGTCACCTCACGGACCTGGGTGGACCAACGCAATATCTCTTCAATAAAAGATAATGTCTCACAAAAAAAAAACAAAATAATTACTTCAATTGTGCAAAAACCCAACTAAACCATGAAATGAAATTTCAAATTTTCGCGCCAAATTTCGTGTTTTTGTTCGTACCGAAATCTAGCCAGTAAACGGAGCTTAACACTTTCGTTCATCATAAATCCTATTCTAATAGTCCTAATAGATATTTTAACATTTTTAATAAAATTTTAAACGGCATGTAATATGTAATTTTAACATTAAACTTCTGTTTCGTTCGTCACCGAAATTCCGGAAAATATTCCATGGTATTTCAGATATTTTGGTCTATAAATTAAACTAATGGGAATAATATTCTATCAGATAAAAATAAAGAATTCTCATAGTCTGATAGTCCCATAGAAGTTTTATAAAAATCGGAAATACTGCTGCTGCAAGTTGATTCCATAGAGTGGTTGTGCGTGGAAGGAAGTGCCTTGAAAAACGCACGGTGGAGGAGCGCCACTCGTCCAGACGGTTGGGATGAAACTTTAGTTCGTGGCGGGTTGTACGGTGGTGAAAATCAGCAGCAGGTATCAATCCGAACGATTCCTCAGAGCACTCCCCATGATAAATTCGATAGAAGATGCACAGATCTTAATTTACATTTAAAATTTACTGCCTGTCTGTGTGTTTTTTATGGGGAAAATCTTTATATGTAAATATGTATTTTTTTTATACCACCGAGGTGGCAAACAAGCATACGGCCCACCTGATGGTAAGCGGTTACCGTAGCCTATGAACGCCTGCAATACCAGAGGTATTACGCGCGCGTTGCCGACCCTGAAGAAACCTCTTTACCCCCTTTTGAAGAACCCCGTGCTGTAGTCTCTTGGGAAAACCTCGGCAGGGAGCTCATTCCATAACCTGAGTATTCGTGGGAGGAAACATCTCTGAAACCGCGTTGTACGCGATCATTTAGGCTGTAAGGTATGAAGGTGAACTCCCTGTCGATGGTGAGCCTTACGATGATAGAAAGTGTATAAATAAAATTTACCCATGGATATGGATCCCATAGGGTCCTGGTGAGACGAAACCCGAGACCTTCTCCTTCATCTTCTGGCAGGTTCAACTGAAAAAACAACAATATCAGAAATAAGTATTTCCGAATCGATACGACAACATAACCTTCAAGAAAAGAGCATATTCCTTTTTAAAAGGCCGGCAGCACACCTGTAATGCCGCTGGTGGGTGATCATGGGCGGCGGTAGTCACTTACCATCAGGTGAGCCGCATGCTCGTTTGCCCCCTGTGTTGTAAAAAAAAAATCTATAAGTCTACGAAATTCATTACAATGACTCCCCATTGCTATTAATGTACCGTATCCCTCTCCTAAAAACCATCGTGACTAATTTATCGTTGAATTCATCACGGTGAGCTAACTGACCTGCCTTTTCATCCTCACCTATCATCCCTAACTGCTAACTGGCTAGTGCATACCGATAGGATACATTTTTACAACATTTTAAACAGTGGTTATTGTGACATAACGATAATAGTTGGACATATAGTATCGCGAAGTTTTTTGTAGTTATCGATATTTTCTTCAATATTGTAGAACATACTTTTGTTCCATCACCAAAAGTTTCCGCAGCGCACGCGACCAAAGATATTTTATAGCGTTTCTTTTACACCTCGAGTTACGTTACTAAAGTTTTAGTAAGGTTCCCTAATCTTTTCTAGCAATAAATATAGCCTATGTTACTCAGGGTGAATGTAGCTTTCTAACGGTGAGAGAATTTTTGAAATAGGCAAAGTAGTTTTTGAGTTTATTCATTACAAACATACATACACAGAAATATACAAATCTTTCCTCTTTATAATATTAGTGTAGATATATATGTATATATATATATATAATAATACATAATATATTCTATCAATAGTATGCGGAAATATCATAACTAATTGCTCTTCCGTCATTCTTACTAGACATCTTCTGTGCCAATATAATATTGTATGTTTCCATACATACATAATAAAGTGAATGATTCAAACTTTAATATATGTAGAATAATCTCGATATATTTCGACTATGTATGAAAATACAATCATAATATTGCAGTTGCCGTGTGGTCCTGCCATAGAATGGACCACCCGCTCCTTTCCCGAGGGTGTTATAATTGGCAACTAAGAGAATTTCAAATATACCCTCTCAAAATAGCCACCAAAAGCCTAATTGCGGTTGCCAATCCGTCTGCCAGGGGGGAAAGGGATTGTTAGCAATGGAGTTTGACAGCCCCATTGCTAGCAACATGCCCTATTAGGTCGACCTCCACGTGGTTCCCCTTGGAAACCATCGTGTACAATTCTTGTTGAATTCGTCACGATGGGCTAACTAACTTGCTTCATCCTCACCTATCATTCTTCACTGGTGCCCCGCCGGTGTATACCGATAGCGTAGGGGGGGTTGCCATTCCATTATTACCCATTAAAAAAAAACCGTCTGCCAAGAGTGGTAACTATTGGCAAAACTTGACCCTGCCACCTGCATCCACTGACTCCCTGCAATGTATTTGAGGTTATCGTTTCTTCTAGTGAGGGGGGGGGAGACTTTTCAAATTGATAATGTAGCTTAGGTGAAAACAATTTTTAAAGTTACAAACAAAAAAATAACATATTTTCTCTTTATAATATTAGTTTAGATATCTAAAATTTAAATACACAATTTATCACTGTACGACCACCCATCCAAAATATGGCCGCACTATAGATCGCTTGACCTCGTTAATCGGCACCAACACCGACTAACACGACCTCAAGCCACGTTTTAGGGATTCTAAAATAAATTTGAATATCTAACCACGACCAGTCGAACGCCCGTTGTGTACTCCAGCTCACTTCCGCTTCCGGACGCTTCGGCTGTTCCGCTGTCCATCTGTTTGTAAACACGATTTATGTATATAACATATTTATTATTTATTTCTTTTTTTTTTTTCATCATAACTATGTTTCGGCTCGAAGGGTGGGATATGACAGTGCATTTACAGGGTACAGAGGAATAACACCTGAGTCCTCAGGAATGGCAACGCATGGGGGGTATCATGGGCGAAACAGTATACTCTGTTATGTCCATGGTACTGCTCATGTCTATAGGCGACGGTTACCACTTTCTTTTCAAGTTTTGCTATCTCTTGAAGTCGTTACGGTTTAACTAATCGTCATAAAAATTGATATACACTGTAGTTTTTCTTTTAATGGATGATTTACCTTATCCTTCACTGGTGCCCCGCCAGGGTATACCGATAGCGCAGGCGGGGTCACCACTCCATTATCACCCTTTAAGAAGAACCCTCGACTATTTTCTCAAATAACATTTTATCTATCTACTTATAGGCAAATTTATCTCGATTACAGGAACGAAGTCACAAGTAAAAACTAATAAAAAATATTCCCTTAATAATCAACAAAGAACCCGGAAACGAAAAATACGTGTCCAATAAAAAAAAAAAAACAACTTACGTCATTTAGCTAAATCAATCTCTTAATTGTTTAAAACTGTTTACAAAAACACACTTTAGTCTTACTCGTTAATAAAAAAAAAAAAACAAAAAAATAAGAAATACACCATCGAGCTTTGCAAGCGATAATTCACGACTGTCGATACAAAACCTGTTAGTGTTGTAACACAGGTAATGGCTTATCGATAAAGATTAATTATTATGTATATTATAAATGCACTTGAAAACTAATTAATAGTGCAATGTCGATAAAATTAAAAACATAAAATATTATGAGCTATAAATTTGCATGTAAGGTAGAATAAATTAAATTATAATCAACGCCTAGGTCATGTCGTTTATATCCTTAGATTACATAGATAGAGTATCTCCATACAAATGCTTCAAGAAAAGTATGTCAAGTTTTTCATACAATTTCGCGTGATAAATAGTTATGAGTGATTCCTTTATAACTTCTATATTTATTTTGTCTTATAAATTCTGCATCTTTTTAATGCGTAAACACTCATTTTATATATTAAATAATACGTCAAGATACATTGTGTGCGTAAGTATATAGAACACTGATAAAGAAAAAAAAACGATTCAGCTAATTGGATAATTGGCTGACGAAAAATTTACTCGTTTTTGAGGCCCGATGCTCTATCTATATAATTTAAGGTTATAACCTTATTAAGGCTGAAAGGACGAAATATTATTATCACTCCTATTATATGTTGTCAAGGTAAAATTATATTAATACATTATTTCACAATATTTGCAACGAACTTCAAGAAAGAAATAGATTCTCGATAATATTTCTTCACGTTTGTGACCTATGAGGTCACATGTTGTTATTTATAAACCGATTTTTTTTTTATATATAAAAAGATGTAGAAACTCGATCCAGTGTCTGCTATCATCATATCAAGCTTTAACTATCCACTGCTGAAAATAAGCCTCCCCTTTCAGTGGATTTGCCAGTAGTAGCACGCTTGCCCTCCAAGCGCATTGGATTGGCAACCGCAGTTAGGCTTTGGAGATGTTTTAAGAGGGACGCTGCTGCCCATCCCTCGCCCTACTTTAATCCCTTCTTACGACATCTACGGAAAGCCTTTAACTTTCCACTGCCGAATATAAGCCTCCCCCTTGGGGAGTTTTACCACTAGTTGCTACGTTTGGCAGGCAGATAGGCAACTGCAGTTAGGCTTTAGAGATATTTTAAAAGGGACACTGCTCCCCTCCCTTAGTAGACTCTTATGACACCCACGGGAAAGGAAGGGGTGGCTTATTCTATGCCGGGACCACACGGCATTTATACTATGTAAATATATATATAATTTTATTTCTGTGTATTAATTTAATCACACAGGGACACTCTAGGTTCGTTGCACGCGTCCGTGTAGCCTAACTTTAACCTGCAACTGAAAATCAGTGCTTTGTTTTTAACCGTTAAAAGCCTGATTTTTTAAATCAAATTATAAATATAAGTGTACCCTTTTACTGTGTTTACTAATGGGGAAAAATAGTAAAAAAAAAACCAAACGATATTGTTATATATTTATTTTGAAAGAAACATTTGGTAACATGTCTTTTCTCTTTTATTTTTTAATTATGTAACTTTTTTGATTGTATGAATTCAGTTGTAAAATATAAATGACTCAAATAATGTGTTTATTTACCTATCTATTTGACATTTAACAATGACAATAAACACATTTATTGTTACTTTTATTTTTATACAAGCCACTTACTTGTATATTAAATCTTTTAATGTATTCCAATATAAATTATGTACAATAAAGATTTTACAATACAATACTTACTAAAGGGGGGGGGGGGTTGTTAGTAATGTGGACTACCAGTCCCGCTGCTAATAAAATACCCCGTCAGATCGACCTCCACGTGGTCCCCCCTGGAAATTATCGTGCTGGATTCCAGGCGTATTTATCATGATGGACTAATTGACCTGGGCCTCTAGACAATTGGCAATCGAATTCGATAGAATGAAATAGCAACGCCAGGTGACTCATTCCAACTCATGGACTCGCTAGCGATGTCGATTCAATCGACGAATTCTCTTGCCACATGTCTAGAGGCCCTGCTCTTTTATTTTCACTGGTGTCTCGCCGGTGTATACTGATAGCTCAGGCGAGGTTACCATTCCATTATCATCCATAAAAAAATACTAAAATTAGTGACAAGTCTATCGACAAATGGGATGTCGATACGTTCCCACCACTATAAACACCGGTTCACCTCAGCGCAGTGCAGCAGCTGTCCTACAACATGTGATATGTCGTAATCGAAGCAATCGTCGCCGCGAGGCTGTGCGCGATCAAGGTTGAAATTCGGATAGCTTTAATTTGTAACACTTAGCGAACGGCTTTCTGCGAATATATATACATATATATATATATATATATATATATATATATATATATATATATATATATATATATATATATATATATATATATATATATATATATATATATATATATACATACATAATAAAGTATATATATCAATATATATATATATATATATATATATATATATATATATATATACATACATAATAAAGTATATATATCAATATATATATATATATATATATATATATACTTTATTATGTAGATAGAATGTCTCCATAGAAATGCTTCGAGAAAAATAATAATAATTAAATAATTGATTAATTAATTGTTAATTGTCAAATTGACTCGTGTTTTTATCAGTGTTCTATATACTTACGCACACAATGTATCTTGACGTATTATTTAATAAATAAAATGAGTGTTTACGCATTAAACAAGATGCGGAAATTATAAGACAAAATAAATATAGAAGTTATAAAGGAATCACTGAGTCCTCAGGAATAGCAACGCATGGGTGGTATCACGGGCGAAACAGTATACTCTGTTAAGTCCACGGTACTGCTCACGTCTATAGGCGACGGTTACCACTTTCCATCAGGTGGGCCGTCAGCTTGTTTGCCATTCTAAGTTGTATAAAAAAAAAAGAAAAAAGATGATTCGATTTTTTGCATACCATTCTTGTATCTCTTCATGTAATGTCTTATAACTATAATTTTGTTATGTAAATAAATATAAAAAAAAAACACTAGTGGAACTATAAAAGTGGTATAATTTTGGAGTACGTCGTCTAATCTCTGTAGTATTATATTATCTGTGTCTCTGTCAATGTCGAGTGTAACTGCTGGACCGATTTTGATAAAATATCTACAAGACCAATCTTGTTGTCAGGGGTGTTCTTCTCTAGAAATCTGTCCGATTCTAAAATAAGGGCATACGGGTATGCGACCCCGGCCTCCCGAGCCGCTGCAGTGTCCTCCCCTTTCCTTTCGCACATAAGTCCCTTATTCCTTTCATTCACTAATTTCCTTTCCGCATTTCCAACGTTCCTTTCCTTTTTACCTCAATTCTTTCCTCCATACTGTAGGTGGCGGAAACCACCAACAAATGCATTCGCAAAGAGGGTTGACGTCAGGCAGGCGGCCGGTCGTAAAACTATAAGCCAAATCTTTTTGTAATATGGATAAAAACATATTACGCCGACCGCAAATAATAATTGGGATAAGGGTGGGGAGAGGATGATCTATCAAGAGACCAATCTGTAAACATGTACATTCAGATGAAAAAAAAATCCATTCCATATCGGTTCACAACTGATGTAGTCATTAGACAAACATCACTATATAGTATAAAACAAAGTCGCTGTCGCTGTCTGTCCGTCCCTATGTATGCTTACATCTTTAAAACTACGCAACGGATTTTGAAGCGGTTTTTTTTAATAGATAGAGTGATTCAAGAGGAAGGTTTATATGTATAATACATGCATAATATTGTGGAGGAACACTGATAAATTTAGAGATTACAAATTTTGTAGTAGGTAGGTATATTTAGTAACAGCATTGCACCCGTGCGAAGCCCGGGCGGGTCGCTAGTAAAAAATACAATCGAATCGAGAACCTCTTTTTTTGAAGTTGGTTAAATAAAAGAAAAAGAAACACTAAGAGAGCAGCAGTATCATTTTATTCATACACAAAATCTTATATTTACAATATATACAGAAAAAAAATATAAAAGTGATCATACCATCGATTGCTTGGGCACCTCTGTCCCATTCGTGTTTCAACCGTGAAGCAGTTGTTTGCATGGCTGTGTTTCGGTTTGAAGGGTGCGATATGGCGTGAATTTACTGGGTACAGAGGAATAACATCTGAGTCCTCAGGAAAGTCCTTTATCGCTTCGCCCTCAAAGAGCAAAGCACTGATATTCTGTTGCGGTCAAAGGGAATAGGGTAACGATAAAACAATACTACCAGATTATTTGTACAGTAAACAGAAATAACATGACCACTCGCTGACACCACCATACATACATACATATCTGTCACGCCTGTCTCCCATTACGGTAGGCAGAAACAATGGAACGCCAAATGCTTCGATTCAAACAAACCTCTTTCGCTTCCTCCACACTCATCAATCTTTTCACACACGCTCGCCGGTTACGGGTACTTTTAATTTGGCCCTCGATGAAAATAGGTTAAGTAAATTTGTAACTAACAAAATGGCCGTCATGTTGTCTCAATAAATAAATGTTATTATTATTGTATGCATTATTTATTATTTATTTACATAATTCACGTCATTTCATACATTATATATGTATATCAATATTTACAAACACGTTTGACAATAATTATAAAAAAAAAGCACGCTTATAAAACAATCCGCCATCTTGTTGTCGTGGCCATTTTAAAATGGCGCCATTTTCTCCTTAATGGATGACAATATAACGGTAGCGCTAACGGTATACGCTGGCGGGGCACCAGTGACGGATGATAGGTGAGGATGAAAAGGCAGGTAGGTCAGTTTTTTTTTGATGGGAAATGGTATGGCAACCCCGCCTGCGCTAACGGGATACGCTGGCGGAGCACCAGTGAAGGGTGATAGATGAGAATGAAAACAGGCCAGTTAGCCCATCATGATGAATCCATCAGGAATTAACCATGATAGTTTCCAGGGAGAACTGCGAGGAGGTGGACTTGGTTGGGTATATTGCTAGCAATGGGATTCTCAGTCTCCATTACTAACAATCCCTTTCCCCCCTACAAGGTAGGTCAGTTAGTCCATCGTGATGAATACACTTGGAATTCAGCACAATGGTTTCCAGGGGGAACCGCATGGAGATCGAACTGATAGGGTATAATGCTAGCAATGGGACAAAATCCATTACCCCCCTGCTGCTGGGACTTTTTTATCAATGCGTGATAATGGAGTAGTAACCCCGCCTGCGCTATCAGTATACGCTGTCGGGGCACCAGTGAGGGATAATTGGTGAGAATGAAGTCCGGTCAGTTAGCCCATCGTGACAAATTCATAAAAAAAAAACCCACAATGGTTTCCAGGGGGAACCGCGTGGAACTCGACCTGTTAGGGTACATTGCTAGCAATATGTCTGTCAGACTCCATTGCTAGACTCATCTATCCCTTTTCCCGTGCATTAATGGGACTCTACGGTGTCGAGATAGGACTACATCCTCCGTCGACTCCTGTAAGGTGCTGGCAACTTCAGATGCACTGTCTTGACGTGCACCTTCATTGAATTCGACTGTGAGAAAGATTTCCCGCAGTGTTGGCACTGGTAGGGCTTATCGCCGGTGTGCACCTGTGGGGGAAATAATAAATAAATAAATAAAAATAGCCTTTATTCCTGAAATACAGATTCTTTTTTAAATTGTAAATATGTATAAATAATTAATGTTGACATCAGCAACAGGTTTTCAGGTTGTTCTAGAACATAGGCGTGCTCCATATTTCTTCCATTGGTAACCTTGCAGCTTGTCTCCAGCCTGCTTTACCAGAGGGAGACTTTGTACAAAAGTCGTTTGCTTGGCTACCTCTGTCGCATTCGTGTTTCAACCGTGAAGCAGTTGTGCTTGCATGGCTGTGTTTCGGTTTGAAGGTTGGGATATGGCGTGAATTTACTGGGTACAGAGGAATAACACCCGAGTCCTCAGGAATGGCAACGCATGGGTGGTATCATGGGCGAAACAGTATACTCTGTTATGTCCACGGTACTGCTCATGTCTATAGGCGACGGTTACCACTTTCCATCAGGTGGGCCGTCAGCTTGTTTGCCATTCTAAGTTGTATATATATATTTATAAAAAAAATCCCAAACTCACTCTGTTATGCCTGTTGAGTGCTGCTTTGTGTTTGAACGCCTTCGGGCACACGGCGCACTGGTACGGCCGCTCGTTCGTGTGTGTTCGTATGTGTATCTGTCGACAGATATGGTTAAATTTGTTAAAATTGTAATTTTATAAAAAAACACCGACCAAAATTGTGGCAAAACGATTTATTTGAGATTTTTAAAAACTAAATTAAACTACAGCATGGGGTTAAAAAAACTGTTCATGCATTTTTTTTTCGGTTTTTTAATGGATGAGAATGGAAGATAATTAAGTTTTAAATTAAATTTACTTAAAGTAACATTTAAATAGTAAAATCAAGCTTATAATACAATCAGCCATCTTGTTGTTGTGGCCATTTTAAAATGGCGTAATTTTTTCTTTAATGGATGACAATATAATGGTAGCGCTAACGGTATACGCTGGCGGGGCACCAGTGAGGGACGATACGCGAGGATAAAAAAGCAGATCAGTTAGCCCATCGTGAAGATTTCCACGAGAATTAACCACGATGGTTTCCAAGGGGATCCGCGTGAAGGTCGACCTGATAGGGTACATATGGTAGCAATGAAGCTGTTAGACCCCAATACTAACAATCCCTTTCGTCCCGAAAAGGCAGGTCAGTTAGCCCCTCGTGATGACTACACCTGGAATTCAGCACGATGGTTTCCAAGGGGGACCAGTTGGAACTCAACCTGTCAGCGTATATTGCTGGCAATGGAACTGGTAGCCTGCATTACTAACAACCCCCTCCCCCCAGATTACCAGCCCCATTGCTACCAACATATCCTGTCAGGTCGAGTTCCACGTGGTCCTGAAAAGACGTACGGTGGAGGACGGTCGCTCGTCCAGCTAGTCAGGACGAGACCTTCAGATCAAGAGTGAACCCACCTGCAGACGTTGCTGCACGCTGAACCGCTTGAAGCAATGCGAGCATTCGTACGGCTTCTCGCCCGTGTGTATCCTCTGATGGTACATCAGGGTTGACTTCGACTGTCGACAAATACGCTATATTAATTGAGTTTATATATATTTACAAGAGGGAGACTGCACAAAAGTCGATTGCTTGGGTACCTCTGTCCCATTCGTGTTTCTACCATAATGTCCACGGTACTGCTCACGTCTATAGGCGACGGTTACCACTTTCCATCAGGTGGCCGTCAGCTTGTTTGCCAATCCAAATTGAATTACATATAAGGAATGATAAAATAAAAACTGTAAATCATACGGTTGTCTCCTTTCTTCTTATGCAAATATAATTAGTAAAAAGAGAACGAAAGATACACCATCAGTTGCTATTCTTGTCAATTCATAGCAGGCCAGTGTATAGACAATGTTTGATATGTCAATTATTTGTCAATGACAAATGTTACATTGCTAGATTATATATTGGACACAGTTTATGTGGACAGTACGCGAGCAGGTTGTATCTGAACTTGGTAGGGTTATACGGCCGTATAACATTTTCTGTACACTAGCTTGCTACGAAGAGGGAAACTTTGTACAAAAGTCGATTGCTTGGGTACCTCTGTCACATTCGTGTTTCAACCGTTAAGCAGTAGTGTTTGCATGGCTGTGTTTCGGTTTGAAGGGTGGGATATGGCGTGAATTTACTGGGTACAGAGGAATAACACCCGAGTCCTCGGGAATGGCAACGTATGGGGGGTATCATGGGCGAAACAGTATACTCTGTTATGTCCACGGTACTGCTCATGTCTATAGGTGGCAGTTACCACTTTCCATCAGGTGGGCCGTCAGCTTGTTTGCCATTCTAAGTTGCATGAAAAAAAAATGATTTATAGTTTTTATTTTATCATTCCTTCTACGTAATTCCTTGTCCTTAGGATGGAAGTAGTTGTTCTCTTTCAGACTCCTGCTCAGCTCACCGTGCACTCCTTGCCGCAGACCTCGCAGACGGCGGGGTTGTCGTACGCCTTCGAGGAGGCCGGCTTCGACTTGATGCCGAGGTGCACGCGCTGGTGGTGGAGAGCGTACGAGCGCTCGTTCACGAATGTTCGGTTACACTGCGAACAAACGTTTTTAAGTGCCTTGAAAAAGTGCCTGCTGCTGGAAGTTGATTCCAAAGAGTGGTTGTGCCTTCCACGCACAACCACTCTTTGGAATCAACTTCCAGCAGCAGTATTTCCGAACCGATACGACATCGTAACATTCAAGAAAAGAGTATATTCCTTTTTAAAAGGCCGGCAGCACACCTGCAATGCCGCTGATGTTGCCGTGAGGTGAGCCGCATGCTCGTTTGCCCCCTGTGTTGTAAAAAAAACCGATTGATTTGACTCTTTACGACATTGCAACTCTACTACTCTAAACCTATCTTTTAGGGGGGATAATGGATTGTTAAAAACGGGGATTAGTAGCCCCATTGATAGCAATACACCCTATCAGGTCGACCTCCACGCGGTCCCCCTGAAAACCATCGTGTTGAATTCCAAGTGGATTCCTCACGATGGGCTAACTGACCTGCCTTTTCATCCTCACCTATCATCCCTCACTGGTGCCCCGCCAACGTATACCGTTAGAGCAGAGTTACCATTTCTTTATCATCTATTTAAAAAAAAGTCCTCCCTATAGCGCGCTGAGTAACTTTTTGTTTTTTATACTACTTAGAATGGCAAACAAGCTGACGGTCCATCTGATGGAAAGTGGTGACCGTCGCCTATAGACATGAGCACTACCGTGAACATAACAGAGTATACTGTTTCGCCCATGATACCTCCCATGCGTTGCCATTCCTAAGGACGCTCAAGTGTTATTCCTTTGTACCCTGTAAATTCACACCACATCCCACCATTCAAACCGAAATACAGCCATGCAAACACAGCTGCTTCACGGTTGAAACACGAATGGGACGGAGGTGGCCAAGCAAGCGACTTTTGTACAAAGTCTGCCTCTGGTAAACTTGTAGCGTTTGCATTCGGTTCCGTGAGTCATCAACATTCCCAAATAATACCAAAACCTGGCCATTTACCGGTTCACACTTGGTATGATCCTCCTTGGAGTGCATCTCCCCCACGTGCTCCAGCAACGCATCATCGCTCTCGAAGTTAACGCCGCACTGAGTGCATGGCCTGAAAAAAAAACAATAAAAAAAATACAGTGAACACTCTCTATAAGCAACATTCTTTATATTTTATTTATTCAAGTAGAAGTTAGTAGCTTAAGTAGCTTAGTTAGTAAAAGATATAAGTAAAAATATTTTCCAAACGGTAAAGCATTTTTTCTCAAACATGCTTGAAAATGTGAGCATTATTTTAATCTCAAACATGATTGGAAATGAGAGCACTCATGTGTATAGGCGACGGATACCACTTTCCATCAGGTGGGCCGTCAGCTTGTTTGCCATTCTAAGTTGTATAAAGTGTTTTCTAGAATTAAGACTATTTGTTAAACTATGAATCTAAAATTTTTTAAATTTGTCCACATTGAAAGGTACTCCTTTAAAAAAAAAATGTACTAAAGTGCCTTGGCAAGTGGCATTAAAAATTCGCGTATTTAATCAGGATTGACCCCCCATGCTTTGCCATTCCTGAGGACTCAGATGTTATTCCTCTGTACCCAGTAAATTCACGCCATATCCCACCCTTCAAACCGAAACACAGCCATGCAAACACAACTGCTTCACGGTTGAAACACGAATGGGACAGAGGTGGCCAAGCAAACGACTTTTGTACAGTCTCTAACGACACCCACGGGAAAGGAAGGGGTGGCTTATTCTATACCGGGATCAAATGGGACAGAACGGATATTGGATCATACTGACATCAAATTAGGATCGCATATTCCGTTCTCAGTGACGTCCGTGTGCCGATTCAAAGCTTCCACTGAAACGAATTGTACCCCGCACAGCGCGCAGACAGCTGCCTCGTCCGTTAAACACTGGAAAACAAGAGAAATACCTTTAAGACACCTAGAACAGCTTAGAAACTGACGCCCAGCCTGATGGAAAGTAGTAACTGTCGCCTGACATCAACAGCTTTCGGTCGAGAATTGTTCGGATTGACACCTGCTGCTGATTTTCACCATCGTACAACCCGCCATAAACTAAAATTTCATCCCAACCATCTGGACGAGTGGCGGTCCTCCACCGTGCGTTTTTCAAGGCACTTTCTCCCATACACAACCACTCTTTGGAATCAACTTCCAGCAGCAGTATTTCCGAACCGATACGACAACATAACCTTCAAGGAAAGAGCATATTCCTTTTTAAAAGGCCGGCAGCACACCTGCAATGCCTTTGGTGTTGCGGGTGATCATGGGCATGATATGCATTACTAATAATCCCTTTCCCCCCTATATGTACACATTAGTATCTATATAATAGTGCGCCACCTACTCTTTGTCTTTTTCTCAATGTCCTCTACCCAAAGGGTGTCTGGAAGAGATTGCTTAGCGATAAGGCCGCCTTTTGTATCACTTCCCATTAATATTTACTGTATTTACTATTTATTTATTTATTTTACACTTTATTGCTAGTGTAAATAAAATAAATTCCACAATTCTTTTTTCTATTGATTGGGTCATTACCTTGACATCTCTATGGGACTTCTTGTGGTGCATCCTCAGCCCATTCTCTCCAATGAATGACTCTCCGCAAATATCGCAGACGTGCTCCGACGGATGCTGCAGCCTCACGTGGGTCAAATGGCTTGTTGATTTTCTGCAATAGACATTTTTTTTTATGCAACTTAGAATGGCAAACAAGCTGACGGCCCACCTGATGGAAAGTGGTAACCGTCGCCTATAGACATGAGCAGTACCGTGGACATAACAGAGTATACTGTTTCGCCCATGATACCCCCCCCCCCCCCCCATACGTTGCCATTCCTGAGGACTCGGTCGTTATTCCTCTGTACCCTGTAAATTTACTGCCATATCCTACCCTTCAAACCGAAACACAGCCATGCAAACACAACTGCTTCACCGAGTTAATTAGGTGAGAAACTTAAAAAAAATACAACCTAATTGAGAAACTACTTCTTTCTGAAGTTGGTTAAAAGAAAAACAATGAATGTAAATGAGATACTCACGAGAATTTGGCGCCGCATACTTTGCATTCATAATGGTGGCCTTTGTGCCAATTGGAATGCTCTTTTGCCTTGTACCTGCAATGAATTCCATTCCCAATTACATTTAGTCACACAGGCCTCCCTCTATTGGGCGGTTATGCCAATAGTTGCCACGGTCGGCAGACGGGTTGGCACGTAGGCTTTGGAGATGTTTAAAGAGGGACGCTGCTGAACATCCCTCGTCGTCCCTTAGTCGCCTCTTACGACACCCACGGAAAAGGAAGGGGTGGCCTATTCTATGCCGAGGACCGACACAGCTGGGTCAATTTATACAATAATTGAAATAAAAAATAAAAAATTGAATTAAATATCCAATAATGTTGGATTTTTGCACCCTATATGTTATGCTTTATATACAAACTCTACAGACACTTTCGGGTTCTCAAAGTTGACTGGAAGAGATCCCTTCAAGGGACAAATCCGTCTGTGTACATTTTTGTTATAACCTAATATTATTTTTTATACAACTTAGAATGTCAAACAAGCTGACGGCCCACCTGATGGAAAGTGGTAACCGTCGCCTATAAACATGAGCAGTACCATGGACATAACAGAGTATACTGTTTCGCCCACGATACCCCCCATGCGTTGTCATTCCTGAGGACTCACGTGTTATTCCTCTGTACCCTGTAAATTCACGCCATATCCCACCCTTCAAACCGAAACACAGCCATGCAAACACAGCTGCTTCACGGTTGAAACACGAATGGGACAGAGGTGGCCAAGCAAACGACTTTTGTACAAAGTCTCCCTCCGGTAACCTAATATCTATACTACAAGTGAATGTACAAAGAGCATATAAATTAATTAATTAAACAATACCAGCTTGAACCCATCGACTCTGTGCAACGACGAGCTATGAGAATTGTCGATGATCCCAGGCTTGCAAGCGGTATCGAACCCTTAAGTCTTAGGAGAGATTTTACCTCACTCTGCGTGTTCTACCGCTTATACAACAGACTGTGCTCAGAGGAATTGTTCAATATGATACCCACAGCCACTTTCTACCATCGTACGGCTCGCCATCGACAGGGAGTTCATCCTCATGTCCTACAGCCTCAATGGTCGCGTACTGCGCGGATTCAGAGATGTTTCCTCCCACGAACACTCAGGTTATGGAATGAGCTCCCTGCCGAGGTTTTCCCAAGAGACTACAGCATGGGGTTCTTCAAAAGGGGTATAAAGAGGTTTCTTCAGGGTCGGCAACGCGCGCGTAATACCTCTGGTATTGCAGGCGTTCGTAGGCTACGGTAACCACTTACTATCAGGTGGGCCGTACGCTTGTTTGCCACCTTGGTGGTATAAAAAAAAAAAACAGTACGGGGTTCTTCAAAAGAGCGCAAACAGGTATCTTCAGGGTCTGCAACGTGCGCGTAATACCTCTGGTATTGCAGGCGTTCGTAGGCTACGGTAACCACTTACCATCAGATGGGACCGTATGCTAGTTTGCCACCGCAGTGGTATAAAAAAAAAAATTAAATTACTTACGCAGTGTTCGACACATAGTTGCACAGTTTGCATACATATTTGATCTGGTGCGACTGCTTCGAATGACCCCTCAGGGTTCGTAAGTTCGGCCACCTCGTTAAACATATGTCGCATTCGAAGCTGCCGCTCGACTGGTGAATAAAAAAAAAACCATTTACTAAACTAAACAGCAGTGTTTCCGAACCGATACGACAACGTAACCTTCAAGAAAAGAGCATATTCCTCTTTAAAAGGCCGGCAGCACACCTGCAATGTCGGAGGTCGACGGTTAATATAGAAGGTGGGGGGAAAGGGATTGTTAGTAATGGAGACTGAGAATCCCATTGCTAGCAATATACCCAACCAGGTCGACCTCCTCGCTGTTCCCCCTGGAAACTATCATGGTTAATTCCTGATGAATTCGTCATGATGGGCTCACTGGCCTGTTTTCATTCTCATCTATCACCCTTCAGCCCCGCCAGCGTATCCCGTTAGCACAAGCGGGGTTACAATACCATTTTCACTCATTGGAAAAAAAAATACATTGTGCGGTTTCAAAACGGTGTAATCTGCCGTCTGATTCAGACTAAGAACAAGGAATTACATAGAAGGAATGATAAAACAAAAACTGTAAATCATATGGTCGCCTCCTTTCTTCTTATGCAAATATAATTAGTAAAAAGAGAACGAGAGATACACCGTCAGTTGCTATTCTTGTCAATTCATAGCAGGCTAGTGTATAGACAATGTTTGATATGTCAATTATTTGTCAATGACAAATGTTACATTACTAGATTATATATTGGACACAGTTTATGTAGAAAGTATGCGAGCAGGTTGCATCTGAACTTGGTAGGGTTATACGGCCGTATAACATTTTCTGTACACTAGCCTGCTATGAAGAGAGAGACTTTGTACAAAAGTCGATTGCTTGGGTACCCCTATTAATTCGTGTTTCTACCGTGAAGCAGTTGTTTGCATGGCTGTGTTTCGGTTTGAAGGGTGGGATATGGCGTGAATTTACAGGGTACAGAGGAATAACACCCGAGTCCTGAGGAATGGCAACGCATGGGGGGTATCATGGGCGGAACAGTGTACTCTGTTATGTCCATGGTACTGCTCATGTATATAGGCGACGGTTACCACTGTCCATCAGGTGGGCCATCAGCTTGTTTGCCATTCTAAGTTGTATAAAAAAATAAAAAAAATTAATTGACAATTTTATCACTCCTATGTAATTCCTTCTTCTTAGAATTCGAACCATTCATCCGAATCAGCTGTTCTTGTTTTACCCAACCTATCCATCCTATCCCTTCCATCCTGTACAAACTCACCGGATGGTGACGGATCATGTGGTTCCTATACGTGGTCTCCACCATAAACCCTTTAAAGCATAAATCACATTTGTAACTAGATTTAATATAGTTCGAGGAACTCTTCCTCGACTGCACTTCTTCTATTTGCTGTTCCTTGGTCAGGAATATCACGTCTATATCGTCGCCGTATGTCACATTTATGAATACGTTCTCGACCAAATCGCCGTCGGCTTTAAGGTCGCTTTTTGCATCGCCCTCAACTGATTTCTCATAGTAGGGTTCCTCTTTGTACTCTATCTCTACCTCATTGACAAAGTCTATTTCACTATCGTTGACCTCTTCCTTTACTATGATATCAACGTAGTCTATGGTCTCTGGCGCCGTTTTAGTGTATGAGGTGACCAGTTTGTATTTATTTAGATCTAAACAGCGTATTCTGTCTGTGGTGACCTGGAAAGATTAATTCCAATTTAAGATAGAAGTTTTTCATAATGGCAAGAATATAGAAAGGTAACCCTGGCTGCGCTATCAGTATACACTTTTAACTATATATATATATATATATATATATATATAAGTATTATTTATGTATGTAGTACCTCTGTCCCATTCGTGTTTCAGCCGGGAAGCAGTTGTGTTTGCATGGCTGTGTTTCGGTTTGAAGGGTGGGATATGGCGTGAATTTACTGGGTACAGAGGAATAACACCCGAGTCCTCAGGAATGGCAACGCATGGGGGGTATCATGGGCGAAACAGTATACTCTGTTATGTCCATGGTACTGCTCATGTCTATAGGCGACGGTTACCACTTTCCATCAGATGGGCCGTCAGCTTGTTTGTCATTCTTAGTTGTATAAAAAAAAAAACTTCCACGTGGTTCCCCCTGGAAACCATCGCGTTAATTCTAGTGGAATTCGTCACGATGGGCTAAATGACCTACTTTCACCGTCACCTATTAGATAATAGGCGGGGAACCAGTAAGAGATGTTACTGGTGCCCCGCCAGTGTATACTGATAGCATAGGTGGGGTTACAGTTCCATTTTCATCCATTAAAACACTCACCTCATCCTGATTGGAGAGCAGCTTCAGAAGTTTGTTCGCCTTCTGACAGTTGGCCCTGAAGGAGTTGTACTTGAGCAGCATGGTGCTGCAGTAGCTGCATGTGTACTGCGGTAGCCCGTCCGTCGATGACATCTGTAATTGTACAGGCAGTAATCTGCAGTGAGTTTTTTGTAAATATAGACTACAATAATGTGATACATAGATAGATAGTGTAACAAAAAGGACACAGGAAAAAGATGTGATAAAAAGGATAGAGAAAAAAGATAGTAGGACAAAAGGGATAGATTAACAAGGTAATGTGACATAAGGGATAGAGGAAAAAGGTAATATGACAAAAGGGATAGATTAAAAAGGTAATATGACAAAAGGGATAGATTAAAAAGGTAATATGACAAAAGGGATAGATTAAAAAGGTAATATGACAAAAGGGATAGATTAAAAAGATAATGTGACAAAAGGGATGAAGTAAAAAGGTAATCTGACAAAAGGGATAGAGTAAAAAGATAATGTGACACAAGGAATAGAGAAAAAGGTAGCATGTTAAAAGGAAAAAGGTAATATGACAAAAGGGATAGATTAAAAAGGTAATATGACAAAAGGGATAGATTAAAAAGGTAATATGACAAAAGGGATAGATTAAAAAGGTAATATGACAAAAGGGATAGATTAAAAAGATAATGTGACACAAGAAATAGAGAAAAAGGTAGCATGTTAAAAGGAATAAAGAAAAAAGGTAATATGACAGAAGGAAGAGAGAAGAGAGCGCAATAAAAACAGTAGAGAAGAAAGATAAAGTGGCAAAAAGAATAGAGGAAAACAAATGGTAATGTGACAAAAGGGATAGAGGAAAAAGATAGATGTTATTGTTACTGAAGTATACCAATAACATCATTATTAATTAAAAAAAAATTTAAGATTTACTTTTCAAAAGTGTCTACGAGTGATATAAATTCTTCCTTCTTTTTCCATGGGTGCTGTACTCGTAATAGGCAATTAAGGGGACTTGAGGGTTGAGGGATGGCCAACAGTGGTTCCTCTTAAAACATAACCAAAACCTAACACTTTTGGGGGGAAAGGGATTGTTAGTAATGGAGACTGAGAATCCCATTGCTAGCAATATACCCAACCAGGTCCACCTTTTCGTGGTTCTCCCTGGCAACTATCATGGTTAATTCCTGATGAATTCATCATGATGGGCTAACTGGTCTGTTTTCATTCTCATCTATTACCCTTCACAGGCGGGGTTACTATACCATTATCACCCATTAAAATAAAAAAAAACCAAAACCTAACTTTAGTTGCCAACCTGCCTGCCAAGTGTGGCACTTACTGGCCAACCTTCCACTTATAGGGGGAGGTCTATGTCTAGCAGTGGACCATTACTGGCCGATGTAATGATTATTAGTAACATAAATAATAAATATGTAAGTTGATCGTCTAGTGCTTCTTTTTTTAATGGATTATATTTTTTTTAATGGATGATAAGGGAATGGTAAACCCGCTTGGGCTATCGGTATACTTTGGCGGGGCACCAGTGAAGGATGATAGGTGAAAATGAAAAGGCAGGTCAGTTAGTCCATCGTGGTGAATACATTTGGAATTCAGCACGATGGTTTCTAGGGGGAACTACATGGAGGTCGACCTGACAGGGTATATTGCTAGCAATGGGATTCTCATGGGACTCTCAATGGGACTGGTAGTCCGCATTACTAACAATCCCCTCCTCACGTCGTCTACTGCTTATAGTACAGGCTCTGCTTAGTTTAGGGCTAGATGGCGTTGCGTGGTGTACAGGCCTATTTATTTATTTTGATTATATTAAATAGTATATTTTTTTAAAGTAACCTATCTAACTACGATTGTTTAATATACATACTGAACCTAATTACTTTTTTAATCTATATAGGTTATAAGGCGACTAAGTATTATTGTTTTTATTTTTAAAATAGAGTAAACAATGCAAAAGCATACCTTTAGACCTGATACATTTTCGTAAGCCGCCACAAGTAGATTTTCAAACATATTAAATAATTTAGTGTCCGTTGATAAGCAGACGCGGCACGCTTCTATGTCCTCCATTTTTATAATTATTCTCTTTCAAAACTCAAAACAAATTAGATTTTCAATCACACCGCGCGTAGTAAACAGTAAACACAGATCAATTTGGAGTTATATATCTTCTATTAAAAACAATCGCTTTCTATTCTAAAATTGGTACTCTGTGCGTGTTGCATCTGAGATTCTGAATGACAATATGGCGCCTACAGAACTGCCTTCAAAAAGCGGAACACAGACAGCGCCACTCAGCGGACAAATTTTAATAGTTAGATTAAGCCGGAAACAGCCTAGACGACTGTAAATTACGTTTGACCATATTATCCAGTAATATAGAACTGCTGGCAAATTCACGTTATTCGGGGACTCAAACAAATTTTAAATACAATATTGTATATGGAGCTATATAGCAATATACTTTAATAAATTTTATTTTTTCAATTGGTCACTGTAATTAAAATCATTACATGTGCAGGCACCCTTAACAGAGAATGGCAACATTATTTCAACTGTCACCATTGACAGTTCCGAAGTGTCAATGACCGCCATATTGTTTATTTTATTCAATTGTCAATACAATTGAGAGGCAAAGGAAATTCATTTGTCCAGTAATTTGTTTGCGGAAGTATATTAATTTATTATTTTAATTTGTAATGGATAATATTGGTTTAAATACAGACGAAACAAAACCTGATTTGGAGTCAGGAAGATCGATATGCCGGTGCTGTTTGACTACAGACAGACGGATGTCGAATGCGTCCATATACGAAGCTTTTTTCCAAGATCTAGCTGGTGTTACTGTGCGTACCACTTATTTAATAAATTACCTGTAATGGAAAGTTGTAACCATTGCTTATAGACTTGAACAACAATACAAATATCACAAAATACGTCGAGGCATATAGTAATTGCAATTTTTGAAGTTTTAATCTTTTTTAAGGATGAAAATGGACTGATAATCCCACCGGCCCTGACGATATATATTAGCCGGCCACCAGTAAGATATGGTAGGCGAGGACAGATACAGATCAGCGGGCCTATTGTGTTTAATTCAACAAGAATTAACCGTGATGGTCTCCAGAGGGCCCCACGTGGTCCCGACATAGAATGGGCCACGCCTTCATTTCCTATGGGTGTCGTAGGAGGTGACTAAATTAACTGAATGGTCCAGGGATGGACAGCAGTGTCCCTCTTAAAACACCATCAAAGCTGAACTGCGGTAGCACTTAGTTTTTCCAGTAGGGGGAGGCCTACGTTTAGGAGTGGATACTTAATGGCTGAAGTGATGATAAATGTGATGATAACATTTTTTTTATACAACTTAGAATGGCAAACAAGCTGACAGCCCACTTGATGGAAAGTGGTAACCGTCGCTTATAGACATGAGCATATATGACATGACATTGTTGCAAAGGTGGTCCATTCTATACTGATAACATATGGCAAAACAATATATATATATACCATCATATCAGCCTTTAGCTGTCCATTTTTAATCATAAGCCTCCCCCATGGGGGGGTGGTCCCGGAATACAGCCACCTATTCCTTTCCCGTCTGTGTTGTAAGAATTGAATAAGGGAGGATGAGGAATGGGCGGCAGTGTCCCTCTTAAAACATCTCCTAAGCCTATCTGCATTTGCCAATCTGCCTGCCAAGTGTGGCAACTACTGGCAGTGTATATACGATGTGATTAAATAAATAAAAAAATATATAAAATTCTGACAATGTTTGAGTTTGGTATTTGTTTCTCACCAGGTGTCAGAGTCTGACGGTCTACCGCAGTGGGTCTGCTACGTGTGCAGCAGGCTGCTGTACAAAGCAGTCCGCTTCAAGCACAAGCTGCTCAAAGCGCATAACCTTCTATACGAGTACCTCACCAGATGTGCGCCGGTATGTACATAAAATGTTCTAATTGCATAATATTGCAAAACAAAACGTGCTGTGTAGCTTGAATCAGTTTATGTCATGTTGGAATATGTTCTAGCTACATTAGTACACTTTATTATTTAACAAAGTATAAAAGTACCCACATCAATATATATATTAAATTTGTAACTAACAAAATGGCCGTCATGTTGTCTCAATAAATAAATATTATTATTATTGTATGTATTATTTATTATTTATTTACATAATTCACGTCATTTCATACATTATATATGTATATCAATATTTACAAACACGTTTGACAATAATTATAAAAAAAAAGCACGCTTATAAAACAATCCGCCATCTTGTTGTCGTGGCCATTTTAAAATGGCGCCATTTTCTCCTTAATGGATGACAATATAACGGTAGCGCTAACGGTATACGCTGGCGGGGCACCAGTGACGGATGATAGGTGAGGATGAAAAGGCAGGTAGGTCAGTTTTTTATTTGATGGGAAATGGTATGGTAACCCCGCCTGCGCTAACGGGATACGCTAGCGGAGCACCAGTGAAGGGTGATAGATGAGAATGAAAACAGGCCAGTTAGCACATCATGATGAATTGGATAGATAGATAGATACTCTTTATTGTTTCCTCCAAAAGATTACAATAGTAAACTTATTATAAATACAAACAATTACAAGAAATAATCACAATGAGAAAACAATGGGCGGCCTTATCGCTAAGAGCGATCTCTTGCAGGCAACCTTTGGATGGAGAGGAGTAATTATAAACAATTTGGTGGGAGGCACGATGAAAAATTTTGTTCTAAATATGGGAGATGTGATACATATAATAATATAAATATTATCCCTACTCATTATTATATTTATATGCATACACCTACACACATACATACATATTATACATATACATACATGGACATAAACGCCTACACAAATACATAAAAATATATAAATACTGTTCACGAAAAGTATGCAAGTAATAAGTATGCTAACCAGACATATAAACACTTCATCAGGAATTAACCATGATAGTTTCCAGGGGGAACCGTGAGGAGGTGGACCTGGTTGGGTATATTGCTAGCAATGGGATTCTCAGTCTCCATTACCAATAATCCGTTTCCCCCCAACTAGATACTAGTTAGTGACCTTTGCAGTGAAATAGTATGAATGTAGCTTTGTATAATGAGGTGGTAGGTTCCATTCCTGGTAAGGCCAAGTTAAGGAATGAAGTTTTTCTAAATTAGCTTGGTTTCAGTGTTATGGGACGTGAATAAATGAAATATCTTTATTATTCCCTTTAAAGATATACAATATAAAAAAATCTATACTTATAATAAATCTGTAGAGAGGTCAATTCTGTACATGAAATATATTTGCAAAATAACTATCAGCGGGTGATTAGTGATCGATACTGATGCCAAAAATGCAATCAGTTAAATTTTTGTCTGTCTGTCTGTATGTTCGTTATAGAAACAAAAACTACTCAACGGATTTTAACGAAACTTGGTACAATTATTCTTCATACTCTTGGGCAGGTTATAGTATACTTTTCATCACGCTACGATCAATAGGAGCAGAGCAGTGAAGGGAAATGTCGGGTAAACGGGAGAAGTTACTCCATTTTTAAGCTTCCGTCGTGTGTGCAGCCTTAATGGCCACTTTTTAAAATGTAAAAATGTCCACCCGTGCGACGCCGGGACGGGCCGCTAGTTTACAATAATATGAACACAAACAAAATAATTACACGATTTAATTATACTGGTTAGTTTCACTATTACACTACTAGCTGTTGCCCGCGACTTGGTCCGCGTTTCCGTCGTTTTTCGTAAAATAACTAGCCTATGTAGTGGTTTTGTTGTAACAGACACATTTCCCTTCACTGCTCTGCTCCTGTTGATCGTAGCGTGATGAAAAGTATACTATAACCTGCCCAGGAGTATAAAGAATAATTGTACCAAGTTTCATTAAAATCCGTCGAGTAGTTTTTGTATCTATAACGAGCATACAGATAGACAGACAAAAATTTTACTGATTGCATTTTTGGCATCAGTATCGATCATTAGTCACCCCCTGATAGTTATTTTGCAAATATATTTCATGTATAGGATTTAATTACTCTAGTTAGTTTCACCACTTTATTACATTATTTAACTACATCTTTTGTTTTATACAACTTAGAATGGCAAACAAGCTGACGGCCCACCTGATGGAAAGTGGTAACCGTCGCCTATAGACATGAGCAGTACCGTGGACATAACAGAGTATACTGTTTCGCCCATGATACCCCCCATGCGTTGCCATTCCTGAGGACTCAGGTGTTATTCCTCCGTACCAAGTAAATTCACGCCATATCCCACCCTTCAAACCGAAACACAGCCATGCAAACACAACTGCTTCACGGTAGAAACACGAATGGGACAGAGGTACCCAGCAAACGACTTTTGTACAAAGTCTCCCTCTGGTAAACGCTAATCAATCAACATTCATATGTTTAGCTGTCAATAAGAGCCGTTTTCTTTTTCAGTTTCCTATAGACGCTCAGGACCCGGAGCTCGGCAAGTATGCCAGTCCAAACCTATCCCCAACCAGCACCCTGGCGCTCGACGTCAGCGGGAAGGCCAGGTTGGGCTTCCACAAACCAATACAGGTGAGAGACTGTAAAGGAAAGAGCATTTTTCCAAACTAACATTATAAAGCGGGAACAAAATAATATATATATATATATATATATATATATATATATATATATATATAATGAGTAGGTTCACTTATAGTCATGTCCATGGGTGATGTATGTGGTCCCGGCATAGAATAGGCCACCCCTTCCTTTCTCGTGGGTGTCGTAATAGGCGACTAAGGGAGGGCGAGGGATGGGCAGCAGCGTCCCTCTTAAAACATCTCCAAAGCCTAACTGGGGAAGCCACTCCTACTGCCAAGCGTGACACGGGAAAGGAAGGGATGGCCTATTCTATACCGGGACCACGCGGCCCAATAAACAATTAATATTTAAGAAACCGATATTTAAAATATATGTATCTGAACCGATATATAGATATTGTATCTATATATATATATATATATATATATATATATATATATATATATATATATATATATATATATATATATATATATATATATATATATATATATATATATATATATATATATATATATATATATATATATATATATATATATATATATATTTTTTTTTTTTTTTTCAATTATTACAGCACGAGAAACAGATAACAGCAACAGAGCTGGACGTCTTGGACCTGCCCTTGCTCGTGGTGGATAAAACTGAGAATGAGGAGGTGGCGTTCGAGGGTGGCTTCTCCGATTACGAGGACAACATCACCCTGGAGGAGTACAAGTGAGGAGTCTTATTTTTTTTTTATGGATAATACAGTGATCTGCCTATTTTTCTAAGATTTTTTTTTAATATAAAATTGATTTAGTAATCTCTATGGGGATACCAGTGAGGGTATGGGGCGGGGCACCAGTGAGGGGTGATAGGTGAGAATGAAAAGGCAGGTCAGGTAGCCAATCGTGATGAATATACCTGGAATTCAGCAGGATTGTTTCTATGGGGGACCACATGGAAGTTGACTTGACAAGGTACACTAGCAATGGGATTGGTACTCCGCTTTACTAACAATCCCTTCCCACCTAAAGGTCTTATTATAATGCCTTTAGGTGTATATACCATGTGGAGTTACCATTCCACTATCATGTGTGAAAAAAAACATATTTTTTTCTTTTTTTTTACAACACAGGGGGCAAACGAGCATGCGGCTCACCTGATGGTAAATGACTACCGCCGCCCATGGTCACCCACGACACCAACGGCATTGCAGGTGTGCTGCCGACCTTTTAAAATGGAATATACTCTTTTCTTGAAGGTTATGTTGTTGTATCGGTTCGGAAATACTGCTGCTGGAAGTTGATTCTATAGAGTGGTTGTGCGTGGAAGAAAGTGCCTTGAAATAGGCACGGTGGAAGACCGCCACTCGTCCAGATGGTTGGGATGAAACTTTAGTTTGTGGCGGGTTGTACGGTGGTGAAAATCAGCAGCAAGTATCAATCCGAACGATTCCTCAGAATGTTATGTTGTATTTAAAATTTTTAATTTCAGATCCAGTACAAACAAAATAGGCAATGAACTATCTGAAATGCTACAGACGGCGGATGAGAACTTCCTCTTAGAAGTAAAGAAGAAGAAGAAATTGAAGAAAAAGGAGAAATTGAAGAAGAAGAAACCTAGGTAATGACATACTGTATTATTCATTACTACATCTTCTTTACCATTATATCAGCCTTTAATTGTCCACTGCTGGACATAGCCTCCTTTTAGGCATTTTTGCCAGTAGTTGCCACGCTTGGCAGGCGGATTAGCAATCGCTGTTATGCTTTGGAGATGTTTTAAGAGGGACGAAGCTTTGTCACACTTGGCAGACGTATTGACAATCGCTGTTAGGCTTTGGAGATGTTTTAAGAGGGACGCTGCTGCCCATCCCTCGCCCTCCCTTAGCCGCCTCTTACGACACCCACGGGAAAGGAAGGGGTGGCCTATTCTATGCCGGGACCATATGGTGATGAATATTTAGAATAATTCAAATTAGTTTCTCGTTTACGTTCGCTCTGTGAGGTGTGTGAAGGTACCAAAAAGCTTCTGTGCTTCTGGGCGGAGCTGGGTTGGCTGTACTTTTTTTATGGGTGATAATTGGTAATATGTACCGATTAGATCCGCGAATATAGGGATGTTTAACCGCGAATATAGGAACATTTAACCGCGAATATAGGAATCTTTAACCGCGAATATAGGAATATTTAACCGCGAATATAGGAACATTTAACCGCGAATATAGGAATCTTTAACCGCGAATATAGGAATATTTAACCGCGAATATAGGAACATTTAACCGCGAATATAGGAATCTTTAACCGCGAATATAGGAATATTTAACCGCGAATATAGGAATATATAACCGCGAATATAGGAATCTTTAACCGCGAATATAGGAATATTTAACAGCGAATATAGGAATATTTAACAGCGAATATAGGAATATTTAACAGCGAATATAGGAACATTTAACCGCGAATATAGGAATCTTTAACCGCGAATATAGGAACATTTAACCGCGAATATAGGAACATTTAACCGCGAATATAGGAATCTTTAACCGCGAATATAGGAATATTTAACCGCGAATATAGGAACATTTAACCGCGAATATAGGAACATTTAACCGCGAATATAGGAATATTTAACAGCGAATATAGGAATATTTAACAGCGAATATAGGAACATTTAACCGCGAATATAGGAATCTTTAACCGCGAATATAGGAATATTTAACCGCGAATATAGGAATCTTTAACCGCGAATATAGGAATCTTTAACCGCGAATATAGGAATCTTTAACCGCGAATATAGGAATCTTTAACCGCGAATATAGGACGTTTTAACCGCGAATATAGGACGTTTTAACCGCAAATATAGGAATCTTTAACTGCGAATATAGGAATATTTAACCGCGAATATAGGAATTGGGTCGCAATTTTTTAATCCGCGAATAGTGAAAACATGTGTAAGGATCTTTTACTGTATTTACTTACTCATTACGTTTGTTACAGTGACTCGATGGTAAATGAGCCCACAGTTAAGCCGTCGATAAGGAAAGCGGTGGAACTGGACCCCACCAAGATCAGAATGGTGATACTCAATCCCCAGGACCAGATCAAGCAGAGGGAGGTGAGTGCATCGAGTACTAGTTGCGTCTCGCGGCTCGGATTGAATTTGACATATAAAACATAAATTATTCTATCTATGTATATTTTGAAACCCAATTATTGAATAGTAACACCAGTTGAGCCGTGTGGTCCCGGCATAGAATAGGCCACCCCTTCCTTTCTCGTGGGTGTCGTAAGCAACTAAGGGAGGGCTAGAGATGTACAGCAGCGTCCTTCTTAAAACGTCTCTGAAGCCTAACTGCGGTTGCCAAACTGCCTGCCAAGCCTGGCAACTACTGGCAAAACCCCTCCAATTATGGGGGTGGCCTATGTTCGGCAGTGGACAATTCATTGTTTGTATGCTATGGTATAATAGTACTCATAGATAGGGGAGGGGGAAAGGGATTGTTAGTAATGGAGACTGAGAATCCCATTGCTAGCAATATACCTAACCAGGTCGACCTCCATTCGGTTCCCCCTGGAAACTATCATGGTTAATTCCTGATGAATTCATCATGATGTGCTAACTGGCCTGTTTTCATTCTCATCTATCACCCTTCACTGGTGCTTCGTCAGCGTATCCCGTTAGCGCAGGCGGGGTACCATATTCATTCATCATTCATCATCATTCAGATTCATCCATCAAAAAAAAAAATAGTACTCATAATACAAGTTCTACTTCATTTGTCACCAGATGGCGCTGATTTATATATGTAACGATATTTATTATTATTTCCAGGAGGAAAGTAAAGCGGCCTTCAAATTTCCATTCCAGTGCAATCTGTGCTTTAAAGGCTTCAATTTTGAGTCCAAATTACAAAATCACATGACCAAACACAGTCCGGTGAGTGTTAAACTAATTCCAATAAAGTTAAACGCAAATTAACTTATTGATTCCTAACTTTTATTTATGATTTTTTTAATTTTATAATTTATTTTTGAAAATTTTCAATTTCCTTGAAAGTACATTTTCTCTTAGAGAATGCTAACGATTTTTTTTATTTTATATAACCCTGTATAAAAAATGTAAAATATTAAAAAATGTTATAATAAATCATTTATTTTAACATATATATATATATATATATATATATATATATAATATTTTCGTCCCCTTAAGACCTGATAATGTATTTAAAATATAGTGGGAGACTTTGTATAAAAGTCGATTGCTTGGGTACCTCTGTCCCATTCGTGTTTCAACCGTGAAGCAGTTGTGCTTGCGTGGCTGTGTTTCGGTTTGAAGGGTGGTATATGGCGTGAATTTACAGGGTACAGAGGAATAACACCTGAGTCCTCAGGAATGGCAACGCATGGGGGTATCATGGGCGAAACAGTATACTCTGTTATGTCCACGGTACTGCTCATGTGTATAGGCGACGGTTACCACTTACCATCAGGTGGGCCGTCAGCTTGTTTGACATTCTAAGTTGCATAAAAAAAAATTGACAGATTAAATTACATTGATATTTACTTATTTGTTATTATTCTTTGTTATTATTTATTTAAATGTTTGTAAATAAAAAATGTAACTTTCCAAATAAAAAGGTAGATAAAGATAAAGGATAAAGACAGACGATGACGTCACGTAGCGATAATCTGTTACCGGCATTTATGTACTGTACTCAAGTCGATTCGTTCATTCAATTCACTCGTTCGTTCGCCCATTCATTAGTCCATTCAATGGGTTCATTGCACCTTATCAAATATATTTTAAATATAGGATAAAGCCAGCATTTATTAAATAAGCAAAAATTTGGATTGGTCGCCTGGTAGCGACTGCTTTTAACATAATACTGTTACTGTGGTGAATTGAGCCTTACTTCAGGTTGCAGCTGAAAATCAGTGCTTTGCTTTCAAGCAAAACTATCACTGAGCTGTAGCCTATTTGGGGTCACTGCGACACACTTGGTGAAAACATATCACCAATATTCATTTTTTGTTTTATATGTTGTTTTATATTTGAAAAAATGTAAATAATCTGATTGTATAAACTTATTTGTTAATTTACGTATGTCATAAATGGCTCAAATAAAGTGTTTATTTATTTATTTATTTATTCATAGGAAAACCAGGGCCACACTACAGCAAATAGATACAGTTTTAGGATCACAAAATAAGCCACTAATAGGTTTTCACAAATAGCAACAATATAGATACAAGCCGCTTTACACAAAGCCACAAATATACAAGTTAACAAAAAAAAAAAAAAAAAAAAAATTAAATGTAAATATTTGACCAAAATATGGCATTTTTATCCATACAATAGTAATTAAAACAGACTATGAATAAAAAAATTGCCTACTCAGTTGGTTTCTCACTGATATTATAATCTATCTATCTGTCTTGTCGGCTGGTTGCAGTCTCGCGGGCCGTTCGAGTGCAAGCTGTGCCACATGTACCTGCCGACGGCGTACAGCTACAGCGTGCACAGTCTCATACACACGCGCCGCTACGAGTGCCTCAAGTGCTCGCGCCGCATGACCGACAAGGCCTCCATCCTCGACCACTACAGGTCAGCACGTATTCACTCAGTACGTACCGTACCAGTGATCATTTGTTCCGGAATATTTTGGCAATGGGGTTGGAAGTACTAGCATTGTCTTCTACAGGGTTTTTTTGATGGGTGAAAATGGTATGGTAACCCCGCCCGCGCTAACGGTATACGCTGGCGGGGCACCAGTGAAGGGTGATAGGTGAGAATGAAAACAGGCCAGTTAGCCCATCGTGATGGATTCATCGGGAATTAACCATGATAGTTTCCAGGGGGAACCGCGTGGAGGTGGATCTGGTTTGGTATATTGCTAGCAATGGGATTCTTAGCCTTCATTACTAACAATCCCTTTCCCCCCACCACCACAATGTTGGACAACTGGACGATCGTATTTACTGGTCCAGTCGATTGTGGCAAGTCAAACTTTATAATTTTGGGGGGGGGGGGATTGTTAATAATGAAGAGCAATGTACCTATCCAATCAGGTCGAGCTCAACGAGGTCTCAACTGGTAACCATCGTGCTGAATTCCAGGTGTATTCATCACGATGGACTAACTGACCTGCCTTTTCATCCTCACCTATCATCCCTCACTGGTGCCTCGCCAGTGTATACCGATAGCGCAGGCGGGGTTACCATTACATTATAGGGGGGAAAGATTGTTACTAATGAGATCTAACAGGGTCATTACTAGCAATATACCTTAACAGGTCGTCCTCCACGCGGCTCTCCCTGCAAACCATTGTTGGTAATTTTTGATGAATTCATCACGATGGACCAATTGCCCTGCTTCATCTTCACCTATCACTCCTCACTGGTGCCAGAGTATACCGAAAGCGCAGGCGGTGTTACCATTTCATTAGCATACAGCACATTACGTTAGCACTCAGGTTGTGGAATGAGCTCCCTGCCGAGGTTTTCCCAAGAGACTACAGCATGGGGTTCTTCAAAAGGGGGCTAAAGAGGTTTCTTCAGGGTCGGCAACGCGCGCGTAATAGCTCTGGTATTGCAGGCGTTCATAGGCTACGGTAACCGCTTACCATCATGTGGGCCGTATGCTCGTCTGCCACCTCAGTGGTATAAAAAAAATACATAAAAAAGACTTACTAATTTGAAATGTCTCCAACAGGACGCAGCATGAGGGTCTGCTGACGCTGTTCACGTGTCAGCTGTGTGGAAAGGTATCCAGGTGGGCAATAAAACATATTTGAAAAAGTTTCCTCCTAACGTAAAGTTTGTTATTGATTTTGTATGTATTTTAAACGTCATATGTTATCCATTTCAGACCTGTATATATTTATTTATTTAAACTTTAATGCACAGTAAATATAGTATAAATAAAAATTGTACATTTTTTTTTATACAACTTAGAATGGCAAACAAGCTGACGGCCCACCTGATGGAAAGTGGTAACCGTCGCCTATAGACATGAGCAGTACCGTGGACATAACAGAGTATACTGTTTCGCCCATGATACCCCCCATGCGTTGCCATTCCCGAGGACTCGGGTGTTATTCCTTTGTACCCTGTAAATTCACGCCATATCCCACCCTTCAAACCGAAGCACAGCCATGCAAACACAACTGCTTCACGGTAGAAACACGAATGGGACAGAGGTACCCGAGCAATTGATTTTTGTACAAAGTCTCCGTCTGGTAAAATTGTAATGTATTATTATATAATGTTATATATATATATATATATATATATCAATTTTTTTCTCATTTATTCCAGCAACTGTAAGACGCACCGAGGCCACATGCGCAACAACCACGGCGGCGACCGGCCCAAGTGCGAGCAGTGCGGGAAGAGCTTCGTGAATAAGGACTCGCTCGCTGAACACGTACAGTTAGTATAGAGACTCACTGAACACGTACAGTTAGTATAGAGACTCACTGAACACGTACAGTTAGTATAGAGACTCACTGAACACGTACAGTTAGTATAGAGACTCACTGAACACGTACAGTTAGTATAGAGACTCACTCACTGAACACGTACAGTTAGTATAGAGACTCACTCACTGAACACGTACAGTTAGTATAGAGACTCACTCACTGTACAGTTAATAATTTTTATGCTACATTTATTTTTAACATAATACGCTAAATATGTGCTGTTTCCTTCGTTTTAGAATACATCAGGGCATCAAGAACTACGAGTGCGCGACATGCGGCAAGCGGTTCCGTACGCGAACGCAGATCAAGCACCACCAGCTGAAGCACACCGACGTCAAGGAGTTCTACTGCGTGGAGTGCGACACCAGGTCAGTGCGCTGTGCGGCGTGTTATGGTTCATGCATCATCGTGCTGGGCCTTTAACTTTTCTTTGCATAACGGTGGAAATTTCCATCATAACATTGAATGCTCAAAAATTATATAAAAGAACAAGTTCACTTTAACTTGATCGTGTCTGGATACATTTTTAATGTACATTGCAGGAAAAAAAATATAGCTGTCATTTTTGTTTTTTTTTTTTTTTTAACCATTTTTCCTTTAATTTTAAACATGATTTATTTCACCTATTAAAAAAAAATTATGCGTAAGAGAGTTAACCGTCCACTGCTGAATATAAGCCTCCCTTTAGGGTGTTTTTTTTTAATGGGTGATGATGGAATGGTAGCATATACTCAATCTTTCGTATGTGGTATTTCATTTCGGGGATTGTTTTGAGCTTTAATGGGTGATAAAGGAATAGTAACCCCGTCCGCGCTAATCTGGGGGGAAAAGGGGTTGTTAGTAATGGAATCTAATCGACTCATTGCTAGCAATACACCCTACCAGGTCGACCTCCACGCGAAACCATCGTGGTTAATTCTGGTGGAATTCATCACGATGGGCTAACTGACCTGCATGCTTTCATGATCACCTATCATCCCTCACCGGTGCCTCGCCGGCGTATACCGATAGCGGAGGCGGGGTTACCATTCCATTTTCACCCATCCAAAAAAAAAAAAACATAAGTACGAAACCAGTTATTCTTCATACATTCGATTTTCCGGATTTTCGATTATCCGGATATTATTCGATTATCCGGATATTATTCGATTATTCGAATGTCTAACGACAAAAATTATTCCGGCTAATCGAGTTTACACTGTATCAGTGTTTTGCTCTGTTGGAAGCAAAACAATGAACTGCTGCTCTACCACGAAATGAAATTCCGAAATTTCGAACTCAATTTCGTGTTTTTGTTTATACCAAAATCGGACCAATAAATGGAGTTTAACATTTCGTTCGTCATACATCCTATCGTAAAAGTCCAAAGGAATAATATTTTAAAATTTTTAATATTTTCTTAAAAATATGTATGCTTAGCTCTTTAAAACTACGCAACGGATTTTGATGCGTTTTTTTTTAACAGATAGAGTGATTCAAGAGGAAGGTTTATATGTATAATACATGCATAATATTGTGGAGGAACACTGATAATTTTAGAGTAACGTACACCCGTTCGAAGCCGGGGCGGGTCGCTAGTAAAGTATAATACCTATCTATCTGTCTGTCTATCGATGATTAAATTTTTTTTTTTTTAATTACAGATTCAAATCTGCGCACAATCTACGGCAGCATCTCCTGAAGAGTTTAAAACATAAAGACAAACAAAGTCTCAAGTGAGTACTGTATTAATTTATTTATTTATTTATTTATTCATTAGTACATATATGTGTACATGGCGGACTTAATGCTAGAAGCATTCTCTCCCAGTCAACCGTAGGGAAGTGTCAGAATACTCGAATGCGGTACTAGTAACTATTGATATACATACATACTAAAATTACATATATAAACGAATAAATATATATAAATAACAAATATACTTACACATATATGACATATACTATATTATACACGAAATTGAGAATAATATAAAGCACTTATTTTAGTACTAAATTTTTTTGGCCGTGTGGTCCCGCCATAGAATGGACCACCCCTTCCTTTCCAGTGTATGTCGTAAGAGGCGACTAAGGGAACTTATTGGTAGAATGATGGGCAGCGGCATCCTTAGAACACAAAAATAATTACTAGTACCGCATTCGAGTATTCTGACACTTCCCTACGGTTGACTGGGAGAGAATGCTTCTAGCATTTAGTCCGCCATGTACACATATTTGTACTAATGAATAAATAAAATAAAATAAAGACTCACTGCGGTTGCCAACCCGCCTGCCAGGTGTGGCAATTAGTAGCAAAACTCTCCGATAAGGTGGGGCCTATGTCCAGTAGTGGGCGGTTAACCTTTGTACGTGTGGGTTTCTAAAGCAGCTACAATATATATGTGTATATATTGGCCCAATAACAGTTATATTACATATCGGTTATCCAATATTTAATATCGAAAAAAACCCGCTCGTAATGAATATAGATATCCGACTGATAATGGCGATATCGCAATGGCTGGTCATCAATGTCCAGAAGAAATCGATACATAGATATAGGATAATACTCATCTCTAAAGACCACTTCTAGATGGCCTGTCGTGATAAGACATGCATCAGTTTCTAAATTAGACCTTCAAGAATACAAAAGTAAATACTGTATTCGATTTCGTGTAATAGTTTTTACGTAATGCCAGTATAAACATACAAACAGATAGACTGTCAAAATTTATTATGTTAGTTAACTGTTATTATGGCTCCTCATATCAAGTTATCTCAATTATCTCCCATGTAGACTATACTAAAGTATTGTAAAAAGAAAATCCGGCTCGAAGGATCAAATTGCCGTATGGTGTAATTTAGAGTTTTTTTAATGGTAACTCCATTCGCGCTATCGGTATACGTTGGCGGCGCACCAGTGACGGGTGATAGGTGAGGACGAAGCAGATCACTTGAGCTAGCGTGACGAATTCATTAAGAATTGAGCATGCTGGTGAATCGTATATAGAGCTCCACCGACAAGAGTGTAGGATAGAAAGGTGGAGCGAGGGAGGGGAGGGTGGGGCGTGTGTGTGTAGAACTGCGGGCTGCCCGCGGCGGTTCGCGTGCGCGCGCGCGGCGGCGGCGCACGCGCGCGTGGCGCACTAGTTAGGATAGATATAGATATAGATATAGATAGGTGGAGCGAGGGTGGACACGACGCGTGTGTGTGTAGCGAGGGCGGCGCGTGCGCAGGTTCGCGTGCGGGCGCGCGGGCTGCGCGCGGCGGTTCGAGTGCGCGCGCGCGGCGGCGGCGCACGCGCGCGTGGCGCACTAGTTAGGATAGATATAGATATAGATATAGATAGGTGGAGCGAGGGTGGACACGACGCGTGTGTGTGTAGCGAGGGCGGCGCGTGCGCAGGTTCGCGTGCGGGCGCGCGGGCTGCGCGCGGCGGGTCGCGTGCGCGCGCGCGGCGGCGGCGCACGCGCGCGTGGCGCACTAGTTAGGATAGATATAGATATAGATATAGATAGGTGGAGCGAGGGTGGACACGACGCGTGTGTGTGTAGCGAGGGCGGCGCGTGCGCAGGTTCGCGTGCGGGCGCGCGGGCTGCGCGCGGCGCTTCGCGTGCGCTGTCGCGCCGGCGGCGCACGCGCGCGTGGCGCACTAGTTAGGATAGATATAGATATAGATATAGATAGGTGGAGCGAGGGTGGACACGACGCGTGTGTGTGTAGCGAGGGCGGCGCGTGCGCAGGTTCGCGTGCGGGCGCGCGGGCTGCGCGCGGCGGTTCGCGCGCGCGCGGCGGCGCGCGCGCGCGTGGCGCACTAGTTAGGATAGATATAGATATAGATATAGATAGGTGGAGCGAGGGTGGACACGACGCGTGTGTGTGTAGCGAGGGCGGCGCGTGCGCAGGTTCGCGTGCGGGCGCGCGGGCTGCGCGCGGCGGTTCGCGTGCGCGCGCGCGGCGGCGGCGCACGCGCGCGTGGCGCACTAGTTAGGATAGATATAGATATAGATATAGATAGGTGGAGCGAGGGTGGACACGACGCGTGTGTGTGTAGCGAGGGCGGCGCGTGCGCAGGTTCGCGTGCGGGCGCGCGGGCTGCGCGCGGCGGTTCGCGTGCGCGCGCGCGGCGGCGGCGCACGCGCGCGTGGCGCACTAGTTAGGATAGATATAGATATAGATATAGATAGGTGGAGCGAGGGTGGACACGACGCGTGTGTGTGTAGCGAGGGCGGCGCGTGCGCAGGTTCGCGTGCGGGCGCGCGGGCTGCGCGCGGCGGTTCGCGTGCGCGCGCGCGGCGGCGGCGCACGCGCGCGTGGCGCACTAGTTAGGATAGATATAGATATAGATATAGATAGGTGGAGCGAGGGTGGACACGACGCGTGTGTGTGTAGCGAGGGCGGCGCGTGCGCAGGTTCGCGTGCGGGCGCGCGGGCTGCGCGCGGCGGTTCGCGTGCGCGCGCGCGGCGGCGGCGAACTCGCGAGTGTCGCACTAGTTAGGATAGATATAGATATAGATATAGATAGGTGGAGCGAGGGTGGACACGACGCGTGTGTGTGTAGCGAGGGCGGCGCGTGCGCAGGTTCGCGTGCGGGCGCGCGGGTGTGTGTGCGCGCGGCGCGTTCGCGCGCGCGCGCGCGCGCGCGGCGCGCACGCGCGCGTGGCGCACGAGTTAGGAGAGATATAGATATAGATATAGATAGGTGGAGCGAGGGTGGACACGACGCGTGTGTGTGTAGCGAGGGCGGCGCGTGCGCGCGCGCGCGCGCGCGCGCGGCGCGCGCGGCGCGCGCGCGCGCGCGCGGCGCGCGCACGCGCGCGTGGCGCACTAGTTAGGATAGATATAGATATAGATATAGATAGGTGGAGCGAGGGTGGACACGACGCGTGTGTGTGTAGCGAGGGCGGCGCGTGCGCAGGTTCGCGCGCGGGCGCGCGGCGCTGCGCGCGCGCGCGTTCGCGCGCGCGCGCGCGGCGCGCGCGCGCGCGCGTGGCGCACTAGTTAGATATAGATATAGATATAGATATAGATAGGTGGAGCGAGGGTGGACACGACGCGTGTGTGTGTAGCGAGGGCGGCGCGTGCGCAGGTTCGCGTGCGGGCGCGCGCGCGCTGCGCGCGGCGGTTCGCGCGCGCGCGCGCGCGCGCGCGCGCGCGCGCGCGCGGCGCACTAGTTAGCGATAGATATAGATATAGATATAGATATAGATAGGTGGAGCGAGGGTGGACACGACGCGTGTGTGTGTAGCGAGGGCGGCGCGTGCGCAGGTTCGCGTGCGGGCGCGCGGGCTGCGCGCGGCGGTTCGCGTGCGCGCGCGCGGCGGCGGCGCACGCGCGCGTGGCGCACTAGTTAGGATAGATATAGATATAGATATAGATATAGATAGGTGGAGCGAGGGTGGACACGACGCGTGTGTGTGTATAGATATAGGCGCGTGCGCATTCGCGCGCGGGCGCGCGGCGCTGCGCGCGCGCGGTTCGCGCGCGCGCGCGCGCGCGGCGGCGCACGCGCGCGTGGCGCACTAGTTAGGATAGATATAGATATAGATATAGATAGGTGGAGCGAGGGTGGACACGACGCGTGTGTGTGTAGCGAGGGCGGCGCGTGCGCGCGGTTCGCGCGCGCGGCGCGCGCGCGCGTGGCGCACTAGTTAGGATAGATATAGATATAGATATAGGCGGCGCGCGGCGCGCGCGCGCGCGCGCGCGCGCGCGCGCGCGCGCGCGCGCGCGCGCGCGCGCGCGCGCGCGCGCGCGCGCGCACTAGTTAGGATAGATATAGATATAGATATAGATAGGTGGAGCGAGGGTGGACACGACGCGTGTGTGTGTAGCGAGGGCGGCGCGTGCGCAGGTTCGCGTGCGGGCGCGCGGGCGCGCGCGGCGGTTCGCGCGCGCGCGCGCGCGCGGCGGCGCGCGCGCGCGCGCGTGGCGCACTAGTTAGGATAGATATAGATATAGATATAGATAGGTGGAGCGAGGGTGGACACGACGCGTGTGTGTGTGTAGCGAGGGCGGCGCGTGCGCAGGTTCGTATATGCGGGCGCGCGCGCGCGGCGCGCGCGCGCGCGTTGGCGCGTGCGCGCGCGCGGCGGCGCGCGCACGCGCGCGTGGCGCGCTAGTTAGGCGCGTGGCGCATAGATATATAGATATAGATATAGATAGGTGGAGCGAGGGTGGACACGACGCGTGTGTGTGTAGCGAGGGCGGCGCGTGCGCAGGTTCGCGCGCGCGGCGCGCGCGCGCGCGTGTGCGCCGCGCGTGTGTGTGTGTGCGTGCGCGCGCGCGCGCGCGCGCGCGCGCGCGCGCGCGCGCGCGCGCACTAGCGGATAGATATAGATATAGATATAGATAGGTGGAGCGAGGGTGGACACGACGCGTGTGTGTGTAGCGAGGGCGGCGCGTGCGCACGCGCGCGCGCGCGCGCGCGCGCGCGCGCGCGCGCGCGCGCGCGCGCGCGCGCGCGCGCGCGCGCGCGCGTGCGCGCGCGCGCGCGCGCGCGCGCGTGGCGCAGTTAGGATAGATATAGATATAGATATAGATATAGATAGGTGGAGCGAGGGTGGACACGACGCGTGTGTGTGTAGCGAGGGCGGCGCGTGCGCAGCGCGCGCGTGCGGGCGCGCGGGCGCGCGCGGCGGTTCGCGCGCGCGCGCGCGGCGGCGCGCGCGCGCGCGCGTGGCGCACTAGTTAGGATAGATATAGATATAGATATAGATAGGTGGAGCGAGGGTGGACACGACGCGTGTGTGTGTAGCGAGGGCGGCGCGTGCGCAGATATGCGGGCGCGCGGGCTGCGCGCGGCGGTTCGCGCGCGCGCGCGCGGCGGCGCGCGCGCGCGCGCGTGGCGCACTAGTTAGGATAGATATAGATATAGATATAGATAGGGAGGATATAGATGTGTGATACGATATAGATATAGATGTGTGTGTATAGATATAGATATAGGATGTGTATGTGCGTGCGCAGGTATCGCGTGCGGGCGCGCGGGCTGCGCGCGGCGGATATCGCGCGCGCGCGCGCGATATAGGCGCACGCGCGCGTATATACTAGTTAGGATAGATATAGATATAGATATAGATATGTGTGGAGCGAGGGTGGATACGACGCGTGTGTGTGTATAGATATAGATATAGGCGCGATGCGCGTGTGTAGATATAGAGCGCGCGGGCGCGCGGGCGCGCGGCGCGCGCGTGCGCGCGCGCGCGCGGCGGCGCGCGCGGCGCGCGCGTGGCGCACTAGTTAGGATAGATATAGATATAGATATAGATAGGTGGAGCGAGGGTGGACACGACGCGTGTGTGTGTAGCGAGGGCGGCGCGTGCGCAGGTTCGCGCGCGGGCGCGCGGGCTGCGCGCGGCGGTTGTGTGTGTAGCGCGTGCGCGCGCGCGGCGGCGCGCGCGCGCGCGTGGCGCACGACGGCGAGCGCGCGCACGGCTGCGCGCGCTGCGGCGCCGCGCTCGCGTCGCGCTCCTCGCTCGCCAAGCACGAGCGCACCGTGCACCGCGGCCAGCGCCCGCCGCCCGCGCACGTCTGCCACACCTGCGGCCGCGCCTTCCGGGTACGCACCTGCTCCAACATTTGCTATTATTATTTATAATATTTATTTATTTTATTTATTTATATTATTATTTACATATATTTTATACAATGGCCACGTGGTTCACTATACTTGTTCACTCTTGATACGACAGGGAGCTCCGCTCTGTTCAACGGTTGGACAAGAAGTGTCTCCCCACCCGAATGAAAATCTTTTATATCTACAGAACCGAATTCGAGTGAACAAGTCAGCGAGACCACGTGTTCTTACAATTTCATTACTTTTTATTCAACTATCATGACAATAAATAATTATAAAATCAATTAAAATATAAATTAGTGTTCTATATACATTACAAGAATAATTTATTACAAAATTTGGTATAATAACAATTTTAACGTTTTATTATATTTAAAGTAGTTAGTCTGATTTTTATTAGTAAATGTAGGTACACATTTTGACACAAGATGTTTAAGAAAATTAATATAATTTAAAACAAATATCTAACACGTGCGCACCCGCCGGCATACATTGCTTAATGATGAGACGACCTCTTATCAATCTTATTACTTGATGCAATAAAGTCTAAAATAAATTAATAAAGCAAATAAAATACACAATCGGAACTCGACGCGATGAAAAAGCCTTTACAGGGAAATAGTACCTACTGGGTACATGCTGATGTCTTCAACAGATCGTTAGAAGGTCAATCTGATATAAACAAGCTTTAATTTTTTATTTTATTTGCGAAAACATTATTGGTTACAAACAATTTTTTAAAAGAGCCGTTGCGTTGATCCACTTGAATTTTTTGAAGTTGTCCGTTGACTTACAGCAAAGTTTTGTCCTTTTTTCGTAATGTAAATAGACCGACCCTGAGGCACATTCGGTGCTGCTATATTTCACTTCATACTGTACGCGACACCTACATACCTGCTTCTTTATTGACGACGTCTCGACATGGATTGCATCACGTCGTAGTAGTGTACCAGAGGGAGACTTTGTACAAAAGTCGTTCGTACCTATATCCCATTCGTGTTTCAACCGTAAAGTACTAGTGTTTGCGTGGCTGTATTTCAGTTTGAAGGATGGGATATGGCGTGAATTTACAGGGTACAGAGGAATAACACCTGAGTCCTCAAGAATGGCAACGCATGGGGGGTATCATGGGCGAAACAGTATACTCTGTTATGTCCATGATGCATCTATAGGCGACGGTTACCACTTCCAATCAGGTTGGGCCGTCAGATTGTTTGCCATTCTAATTTGTATAAAAAAAAGTATGTAGGGTGACTCTAGATAATAATAATGGCGACAGTGTGAGGATATTTAAAGAGACTGCGCGAACTATCAGACGGAGATGCCGCTCACTTCAGTTCTGTCGTGACCACGACGTGGTGCAATCCATGTCGAAACAATAAAGAACCAGGTATGTAGGTACTGTTTACCTGTAAAGGCTTTTACATCGCGTTAAGTCCCGATTGTATATTTAAAATGTGTGTAAACAACGCGAAAGTTTAAAATTAAAACGCAAATAAAAATTTTTATAACATAAAATGTAATTGTCCAGGGCAAGAGTGTGCTAGTGAACCACGAGCGGACGCACACGGGCGAGAAGCCGTTCGAGTGCAAGCAGTGCGGACGCAAGTTCACGCAGAAGACGGCCATGAGGACCCACATCAACCTGGTGCACCTCAAGATACGGAGGCAGGCCAAGGTCAGTGGCTTCCCCTGCCGGGGGTAACGATAATGTTGTTATAAACTGTTTTTTAAGGTCAAATGGTACAAATAACGTACCCTCCCTTTTTTTAATGGATGATAATGAAATGGTGACCCCGCCTGCGCTATAGGTATACGCTGGTGGGGCACCAGTGAGAGATGATAGGTGAGGATGAAGACAGGTCCATCATGAAGAATTCAACAAGAATGAACCACGATGGTTTTCAGGGGAATTTCAGCAATAGAGCTGTTAGACCACATTGCATCCCCCCCATTCTTCAAGTGTCAGCAATTGCACACATACTAATGGTAGCGGAATTAAACGAAGTAATTTTATTCAAATAACCAGTGATATGGACTTCGCAAGACAACACCTAGTTCAGTAAAATGGGTACATTTATATTCCAGGTAAAGCCGGAAACGCCGCTGGAAGTCCGCGAACCCAAAATCGATTTATTTACTAAGGAAGACCAACCCCTCGAGTTTGAAAGCTGGAATCGACCACAGATGGCGCCCTGCGACGTCTATTTCCAGGTCACCGCTGGACCTTAGGAGTCAATGTCGACTGGGTTTAAGACAAGGCAGATTTACATTGAGTTATTTATATATTTTCAAAATGGCCGCCGTTACATCATGGCGGATTGTGCCTACATATTTTGTCAACCCTCTCAATATGGGTATCAAATAAAAGAGTTTGAAGAATGGATAATGATAAAATAAATAACATGATTTTAAAACAGCCGCAGTTGTAAGATGGCGGATTAGTTTATAAAAACTTGTCCCGTATGGAAGTCACTTCATTAATACGATGTGTTGTCGTTTAAGTTGTGTGCCAACAGTGGCGCTACTTACGCAAAGTATTACGTACTCTCCGCATTTATATTAGCTTGTTTCAATGTAAATCTGCCTTTATAAACCACACATTAACTAATTTAAAAAATATAGGTTCCTCTTTACACCTCCAATTGTACCTTTACAATATGATCTCATTTGTACTTTTAATGGTACCAAACCAGCGCCATCTGTTAGGTAGCAACTCAAACTTAGTTGCTAGCATGCAACCGATAGATGACGCTTATATTTAGTTTGCTAAATTAGTGTAGTAAATATTTTTGTACGCTTGTTTCGTGAATACGTCGAATTTTGTGGAACTATCTTAATATTTTCAGTGTATCCGTCCCTTTCTTTTGAGTTAATTTCTTAATTTGAGAGAAAGTGACAAAATACATCACGAATTTTAAATATTTTAGTATAATTATTTTTAATATTAATTGTGAAGTGCCCCGATAATAAGTATCCGTTCACATAGAGCGGCTGATCGCATTTAAAATTGTTTTTAGGTAATTGTATCGTGGCGCAGCGGTGGTTACGTTGCATTGCGTTAATGAGGTTTCGAGTTTGATCCCCGGCCGCGCCAATTTAGGAAACGCACTTTTCAGATTTGTCTCGGGTCCGAGTGTTGTGAGCGATGCCCCCAGATGTTCGACGCCCGGTTCCTCATATCACAGGGAATCCTGGAGGAGCAGACGATGGCGTGATCATGTGGCATTTATTAATTTTGAAAGAAGATTTTTTTACAATTCTACCTTTTTGTTAAATCTAAATTAAGAGTGAATAACATTCGCCGTATGCTCCCGGCATAGAATAGGCCACCCCTTCCTTTCCCGTAAGAGGCGATTAAGAAGGCGTGAAATGGGCAGCAGCGTGCCTCTTAAAACATCTCTAAAAACTACGGTTGCCAATCCGCCTGTCAAGCGTGTCAACAACTGGCTAAACTCCCCTTATGGGGAAAGCTTATGTTCAGCGGTGGACAGTTAATGGCTAAAAATATATGCTGTTACTCCTCGTTCGAAGCCAGGACACGTCGTTATTGTAAAAATAAATCTTATTTCAATGATTTAAAACTCATATTTCGGACACAATCAATATACGGTTTCCTCAAAGCCAGCCTGTGTGAACGGGCGCTCATTCATTTTAAATATGTGTGACTGAATAGGTTTTATTTGCATGCAATTCTCTCTGTATACTAGATACATTAACTTTTTGACCGCTCGCCATCGCCTCGATCGCCGCGCCCCCTAGCGCCCGGCTCAAATCGGCAACTTTATATTGTACTTTACCTGCGACTTCCAATCGTTACCCGTGAACCAATCTTTATAAAACTTGGTACATACGTACTTTATGGGATGGAGAATGCTAAAGGCTACCTTTTACCCGGTCACGCGAAGTCGCGTTGAAAAACTAGATTATAATACAGTCTAAATCTCGATTATTATTATTATTCACAGCTCAATTAGAGCTGTTTTTGAAATGGTATTATGTATTAATTGGGTAAACAGGTTTTATGTAATCCATTCTTTATATTTTGTTTTTTTTTTTATATCGTATTGTCTAAATGACGTATGTAAAACCTTTTACACAATAAAAAAATATTAAAATTTAATTATATATTGTTTGATTAAAGTTTCAAATCGATTTTCCGGATTTTCGATTATACGGAATAATCCTGGTTTTATTCGATTCGGATAATCGAGGTTGTGCTATAAAATTATTTTTTTATATTTCCATCTATAATGAGTCTTTTTATAACTAGTAAACTGTTCTATATTCTACCTTTATTTAATTACTGTATCCAATGTAGTGGGTCGTTGACTTAGATTACATAGATAGAGTGTCTCCATACAAATGCTTCGAGAAAAACGGATAAACTTTTTCATACAATTCTACGTGATACATAGTTACGAGTGATTCCTTTATAACTTCTATATTTACTTTGTCTTATAATTTCCGCATCTTTTTAATGTGTAAACACTCATTTTATTTATTAAACAATACGTCAAGATACATTGTGTGCGTAAGTATATAGAACACTGATAAAAACACGAGTCAATTTGACAATTAGCTGGCGAAAAGTTGACGTTTGAGGCTCGATGCTCTATCTATATAATATAAGACAGTTAAATATATGGAAGAAGCAAATATATAAAGGAGCTCCCTGTCGGACGACTTCGTGTGGGGCGATCAGAAAGTTAACATGGAAAATCGATGACATTATTTACTATTAAAGTGTTCTTTTAAATGTGCTTTGTAATTGTAAATAATAAAGATTTATTAAAATCCGTTGTTTAATTTTATATCGACCATTTTTTTTTTTTTGGCAAAGGGCTAGTGTTGCCCGTTATGCTACGACAAATGGGAAACGAGACGGGACATTAAAAAGGAATTGAAAGGATTTTGGTATCGGTATAGATAATAGTATAACGATGGTTATAGTATGATGCATCAGCAGCAGCGTCCCTCTTATCCCTTCTTTGCATAATGGTGGAAATTTCCATCGTAACATTGAATGCTCAAAAATTATATAAAAGACCAAGTTCACTTTAAGTTGATCGTGTATGGATATCTTTTTAATGTCCATTGCAGAAAAAAAAAACATAGCTGTCACATTTATTTTTTTTATCCATTTTTCCTTTAGTTTTGAACATGGATTGTATCACTTGGATTTATTACATCAATAAAAAAATCATGCAAAGAAGGGTTAACAAATAAAAGCCTAACTGCGGCTTTAAACCCGCCTGCCAAGCGTGGCAACTATTAGTAAAACGAGCCAATGGAGAGGCCTAAGTCCAGCAGTGGACGGTTAATAGTCTACGTGGTGATGATAGTAAGTTGTAAAGAAATAAAAGACAACACCCGTGTGCACATATAATGTAATATATATAGATAAATTTAAAATTGTACTTAATCTTAGTAACAATCCAAAGACAACGATTACTGGTTGCATTCTAAAAACAAAATAAAAAAAAAAAAACATTAAAAATAACACCGATATCTTATTTTTTTTAACACATCAATTACACGATTTCAAATTTTGAATTTCGAACATGGATTAAATATTTTAATTTGTTAGTAACAGAGAGTGGACTACCCCATTGCTTGCAGTAAATACTCTGTCGATTTGACCTCCACGTAGTTCCCCACGAAAATCAATTTTCCTGGTGGATTCGCCACAATGGGCCAAATGACCTGACTTCATCCTCACTTATCACCCCTCACTGCCCCGCCAGCGTATACCAATAACGCAGGTGGTGTTACTATTTCATTTTCATCCATTAACAACCTAATTATACATTGTCTAGTGCCCATAATACAAGCTTTGCTTAATATGGGACTAGGCTCTGTGATACGTATTTATTATTTATTAATACAAAATATACTTTTGTACGTCTGTACTTTTTATAGAATGCAACCGAATCGACATTAATTATACTAGAAAGGAAATTACTAATGCATAAATTTCAGTAATGCCAACAAATGTAAAATGTATACGCTATTTACATACAAGGCATGGGTAATATGGATATCGATCCGGTATCTATATATTGGGTTGCTCTGTACATTTATGGCGGGAAAAAGGTCATGACCCCTATTGGTTGGATATATTTTTTCAAATAAAAAGTTTGTTATTTTTTTTTGGATAACAAACTTTTAACATATTCTTTATTGAGACCAGTATATAACTATTGTAATTAAAATATATAGATATTGCTACATATTACCCATCCCTATATTCTAGTATTTACCTATCGTGAGCCTGTCGCCATATTTTTTTTGCCACAATGGCGGCAAACAAGCACACAGCCCGTCTGATGGTAAACTATAAATTATTTATTTTTTTAATGTAATATTTATCGATTTAACTTACATGTAATTTGGTCAAGGAAGCTCGACTAGCTAGATAAGACAGGCTCGCATTCATGTCAGCCGCTCACGACTAAAAGCTCCGGATAGTCTCGAAACTAGTTCAGCTTTTCGACCAAATTACACGTAAGTTAAACCGGTTGTTATTACATTAAAATATAATGTGTATTTACGACACATTTAACAAGAAAATTGCCATTTAATTATCCCTTTTAGTAAAGCAATATGACTTTAAAATAAAAAAGTTCTATATCTATATTCATAAAGTGTCAAATGTCACAAACCTATTTTAGCTATTGAAGTGTTCTTTTACTTTCGCGCCAATTTTTCAATTTAAAAAAAAAAAACACTTATAGTTAAAACAGGTTATACATTTTTTTTTTTTTATGGATAAAAGGATAAATCTGTAATTTTTGTTACCTGATATACCTAGTGAGGATTTTCGGAACTAACCGTCTTTCAATATATCATCTGAAACTGTCCGCTAGCTATGTACAAAATAAAAAACAATATTAACAAACTCGTAGGCAAAATAACGTTAGCACTAAAAATTCTAACAAGCCCTACTGCCAACAATATACCCTGTCTTATCGACCTCCTCTCGGTCGCCCTTGGAAACCCATGAGGGTTTATGTCCTGATGAATCCGTCACGATCATCTTCACCTATCAACCCTCACTAATGCCCCGCCAGCGTCTACCGATAGCGCGGGCGGGGTTACCGTTCCTTTATCGCTTAAAAACATACGCATGTCACTGTTACCTTTTTGCCGCCTAATTTTAAGTTAATTCCAAAAATCGCCGCTAGTATATATATAGTGTATAGCTATAATTTGATATCTGCAATATCAAATTCAATACCTAGCATTAAAAAGTTGCAGTTTTTTTTTATTTATCAAGTGTCATGCATACACGTAAACAGCCGACAATGGCGGTGTTAGGACGGGCCGGATAGCTGTATATAGTAAAAAATTAACATTATCTATACGACACCCTGAAATAATAAATCCTCAAGATATTTAAATTTATTTAAATAACTTAACTGACCAAAAGAAAATATGGTACAAAAAGCGGACTCAATGTTAGTAGCATTCTCTACCAGTCAACCTTTGGGGATGAACAGTGAATCACGAACGCGGTATTTCATTAGTGGGATAGATAAAGAAAATAACAACTAATAATGTTTACTTATACAAAATAAATAATAAAATACATAAATAAAAAGAAAACGGGAAAACAGTACTTACTTAAAATAGTACATTATATTAAATATATTATTGATACTAAAATTATATATATAATTTGATATGTATAAAAATATAATTGCTTGTAATGTGTTGGAGTTTAATCATCTGTAAACTGCACGTAAAATACTACAATAAATAAATATTTCCTAAATTCCGCCCGAACATATAAATAAATATTAATAGACAATAAAATTTCATCGTAACAATACATCCCTATTTGCAAATAAATCCATGTAAAATAAAAAAAAATAAAAACTATGCTTTAATTTAGAGACATAAAAAGATTAATAAATTAGCATAGAAAGTGCAAAATGCTAATTTCAATGTCTGTTTAAAAACATTAAAAAAAAAGTTGATAAAAAAGTCATATAAAAAAAAACTATTACAGAACGTAGTAAGTTAAAAACAAAAGTAATAGAAGTTTTGAATAACCCCTAATAATCACATAAAATTAAAATAACATAGTAATCTGCGGATAAAGGTATTGATTTTACAATAAATGTTATGTTATTATGTTTTTGGCGTGAATTTATTTCGGGAATGGCAACGCATGGGGGGTATCATGGGCGAAACAATATACTCTGTTATGTCTATGGTACCGCTCGTGTCTATAGGTGACGGCCATTCTAAGTTGTATAAAAAAGAATAATTGTAAAATTGTTTGCTTTTCCAAATAAATAATGTTGCATTGAGCAATTGAGTTAAAAATTAAATCCAATTAAATAACCGATTAGAATTTTTTACAACTCAATTGTCAAACAATTGTCATCTACATAAATAAACAAATAAATAAAAATACACAATCTACAGAATTTAATTGAGGAAAACCTGTTACTGACCATATTATTTTGTTATAAAATGTCTGTTAATTTTATTTGTAAAGCGCTATTTGAATAAACATAAGAGTAGATACTGGCAATATAATTTTTAAGGACATGTAACATATCGTAACGTTACCTTTGCCACGCGGGTGTCATATAGATAAAAAAAAACAATACATACCCTATAATATAATATAACATCTGTGATTACCCAAAAAAATATATACAAATCTATGCCACATCTAATTAAATCTAAAAACTATATTTTGAAATCTATTCAGAGCTGGAAACATTAATTCAACAAATGATAATTTGAAAAATATTTACAATTTTATTGTTTGGACAAATTTTAAAACATAAAAAGTTTAGGAATCAATGTAAAAAAAGGTCATAAAATTGACAATGTATCAACCAATTATCATACACAACATATACATTAAAAGTAAATAGCTAACAATTTTTTTATTTCCATTAATATTTTGACTAGAGGAAAAGTTTGTACAAGTCATCTCATGTCTACGCATATATTTGTCCCACTAGTGTATTTGCTATGAAGTACATTCCGTAATTTCACTACAATATCGCACCTTTCAAAACTGAAAAACAATCTTGCGAGCACAACTGCTTCACGGCGGAAAAACGAGTGGGACCGGGTTGTTCATGATTGATAGACAACTAGAGTACAAAGTCTTCCTCTGGCGAACAGATATACGACAAATACTCTATCTAAATTTTGATTCCTACGCATTTTATCAAACATCAAAATAATTTAACACCAGCATTGACCGATGCCAATTTACAAAGTCCTTATTGCACCAACATTGTATTTAACTTATCTAAAATTGTAGTAAATTATCGTTTAAAAGTGATTGCAGGAAAACGTTTTTATAATTCTAGTTAAGATAAAAAAAAAAAAACGCAAAAAAAGTAGCAGAAAAAAGTTATTAGCATCGAAGTCCAACCCTAGCGTACAGAGAAGGTAATCGTGCGCGCGGGAATTATTCCCGCCAAAAATGTTGACGCGTATCTAATCTACATCCTAGATATTTTTAATTTATAGAATATATAATATTGAGGAATTCAAAACATTTTTCTTTTATCTTTTGCAAATATCTACAACACAAAATATGTACTCTGTAAGATTCAGAGTTCATATACCATAATCAATAATCGATCCACTACGATATTTTTTTTTTTATAAAATATTAAGAGCATTCGTACCAAAATTGTCGTAGTGTGGCAACAACGACATTATCTGTCAAGTTCCATAAACAATTGAACCATTTACAATGTTTATTGATTCGATTGTTTAAAAGGTGCTCAGATAATGAACAAAAAATTCATATTGCTTAAATCATTGATAAAATTTATTTTGAGACAAAAAAGTATTTTATTTTATTTTTACTTTATTGTGGAAATATACAGTTCCTAAAACATAAATAATTAATATAACAGTAACATAAATCAATCAACGAGACCAGATGATAAATATGGTAAAAAAGTAAGTATCAAATACTTACTTTTTTCTTCAAAATAAAACTTTAGAAGTAAATTTCCCGCCAAATTAAATTGCACATTTATGTGTAAGTTATTGACACGATTGACATTTTAATTTGCTGGTCAGTTGATTAAAATTATTTAGTTTCTCTATCACAGCAGTTTTTGGACAATCCATCAGAAATATTGAAAAATTCAATTTTTTTTCTTGTAAAATTGACAGATAATAGCGACATTGCGACTCTTCGACCACACTTTTAACCATAAACCGTTTTCCAGGTGTTGCCATACGCTAATCACTTAAAACTTTATCCAAACGATATGACCTTACTCCGACTCCGAATCGGTTTCGCCCGACTCTGACTCCGAGGTAGACACAGGTTCGCACTTTATAAACTCTATCTCCTCGCGCTTCGAGGATTTTCGCGGCCTACCGCGCTTTTTGGGCGCCGACGGTTTCTCGGCGCGTTCATCGCCCATCACCGTCTTCACCATTTGTGATATCCTCTTCAGATGCTGCTGCTCGTGTCTCTGCAGGTGGTTGTTCAGGTATCTCTTCAGTTTAAACTTCTTGCCGCATTGGTCGCACTCGTGTTCATAATTGTCCTCGTCCACGTCCATGTGCACCGAGTTGTTATGGCGTCTCAGGTAGTGCGCGTGCGCAAACTCTTTGTCGCACTTCTCGCACCGAATCTTGGGTTTAGACGGATGCACAATCTTCTTGTGCTTCTTCAAACGGACAGCCGAATGGAAGAATTTATCACACAGGTCGCATTTCACCTTCGTATCCGCCGCAGAGTGGACCTGCATATGCTCCTTTAGGTACTGATCGTTCTTGAACTCCTTCAGGCATTCCGGGCAGGTCACCTTCGACTCTAGAGGCGGGTGGATGTTGAGGATATGCCGCTTCATATGATGACGGGATTTGAAGGTCATCGAGCAGAAAACGCAAGGGTGCCTCTCCACTTGCGAATGTTGGAAGTGCAAATGCCTGTTGAGGTTCAGGTGGCTCTTGTAGAGTTTCTGGCAGATGTGGCATTTGTACTTCTCTTTATCGGGGCGGTGGCACGCGTCGATGTGGTATCTCAGTTTGTATGGAACAGAGAACTCCTTTCCGCATTCGGGACACTTAATCTCTGGCAGCGTATTAGGATGGATCCTCTTCACGTGCATATGCAGAGCTCTGCGTGTTCTGAACTCTTGGAGGCAGAACTGGCAGTAGCACTTCTCGTCCTCGGAGTAGTGTTTATTCATCCTATGCATGTATAAATAGTGTTTGTTCTTGAAGGTCTTGTCGCAGATGTCGCATATGACCGCCGACTCTTCGGACGAGTGCACCCTCGTCGTGTGCAGGTACAGGTTCTGGTAATTCTTGAACTCCTTGTTGCACTTCTGGCATATGTAGCGTTTCACCCGCTTCGGAAACATTATAGGTTTCCATGTGGACAGTACGGACTCGTACATCTGGCGTTGCTCGTCCGTCAATATGTCGCTGGTGACGCTGATGAATTTCATCACCTTCTGGTCGGGCGGGGGCCGCGGCCGCTCGATTGGGTGCTTCATCTCGGACTCCATTTGTTCATTCTCCATCCGGTGGCTCATGTCCGAGTCCATCTGATGATTCATGCCGGGGTCCATCTGATGGTTCATACTGGACTCCATCTGGTGACTCATGTCGGTGGTGGTTCCGTCCATTTTTGTACCTGGAAACAGATATTTCAATGGTTAATTTTGTTAAATGTTACACCCTGAATTATGTATGTTCTCATTTACTCTCATGGGGAGATTTGCCAGTAGTTGCCATGCTTGGCAGTCGAGTTAGCAACCGCAGTTAGACTTTGGTGATGTTTAAAGATGGATGCTACTGCCCATCCTTCTACTGTCAAGTTCCCTTAGTCTCTTACAAACCCTCTTACAACACCCATGGAAAAGGAAGGGGTTGTCCATTCTATGGTGGGACCTACACAACAGAAAGGTGAGATTTGTCTGTGAAATAGGTACACTCAAAGCTACCCCATGTAATACAGTTTATTCAGGGGAAAAGGGATTGTTAGTAAATGGTCCCCCTTAGAAACTATCATGTTTTTTTTTCTTTTTTTTATAGGTGAAAATGGAATGGTAATAGTTTTTAGGGGGAACCGCGAGGAGGTCGACCTGATTGGGTATATTGCTAGCAATGGGATTTTTAGGCTCCATTACTAACAATCCCTTTTCCCCCAATTATCATGGTTAATTCCTGATAAATTCATCATGATGGGCTAACGGACCTGTTTACATTCTCATCAATCACCCTTCACTGGTGCTCCGCCAGCGTATTCCGTGAGCGCAGGCGGGGTTACCATTCCACTTTCACCCATCAAAAAAAAACCATTATGTGTATTTATTTAAATGTACTATGTCTAAAATTACATGGTCGTTAAAAGCCTGTGCATGATCGACTAACACCGTGCACGCTTGTCATTCAAGTAATTGTTATTAGCTTTGTTTATTTAATGTGTGATTGTAGCCCATTCATACATAAACGATATATCTCCTTTGGAAAACACACTCTATACCTTGAGGAGATAAAAAATGTCCCTATGAAGAACATCTTAAAATTCCTATCACCGATAGGAATATGCAGTGAACTTTAGAAATGTTCAAGCAGAAAGGATCATGGAGAGGTCACAGTGTCACAGGTTATTCTGCCTAACAAACCCCTCTTTCAAAGTTTTTGTTTTATACAACTTAGTATGGCAAACAAGCTGACGGCCCACCTGATGGAAAGTGGTAACCGTCGCCTATAGACATGAGCAGTACCATGGACATAACAGAGTATACTGTTTTGCCCATGATACCCCCCATGCGTAGCCATTCCTGAGGACTCGGGTGTTATTCCTCTGTACCCTGTAAATTCACGCCATATCCCACCCTTCAAACCGAAACACAGCCATGCAAACACAACTGCTTCACGGTTGAAACACGAATGGGACAGAGGTACCCAAGCAATCGACTTTTGTACAATAACACTTTAAAGCAAGAGATCCCTAATCCAAAATGTAACTAACCCGCCATAATGGAGGGAAAGGGATTGTTAGTAATGAGGTCTAATAGCTCCATTGCTAGCAATATACCCTGTCAGGTTGACTTCCATGAGGATTTCCCTGGAAACCATCACAGTTAATTCTAGTTTAATTCATTAGGTTGGGCTAACCCACCTGCATTTTGATCTATCATCCTTCACTGGTGCCCCGCCGGTGTATACCGATAGCGCGGGTGAGGTTACCATTCCATTATCACCCATTAAAAACAACCCCATAGCCAACTTACTTTAAAAATCTTATCTCTGTTTTTTTTTTCCTATTGATACAAAATATTTACCTGATAAAATATTTTATAACAGTTTAATATACATAATAAATAGAGTATCTTGAAAGTTTCAAATAAAAACTTGTGGTAACTAATAGGGGTCGATTTCTAAATCTTGTCAACCAGGGAGGAAAGGGATTGTTAGTAATGGAGACTAAAAATCCCATTGCTAGCAATATACTCAATCAGGTTGACCTCTTCGCGGTTCCCCCTGGAAACTATCATGGTTAATTCCTGATGAATTCATCATGATGGGCTAACTGGCCTGTTTTCATTCTCATCGATCACCCTTCACTGGTGCTCCGCCAGCGTATTAGGGTTACCATACCATTTTCACCCAACAAAAAAAAAATCTTGTCAACCTCTAAAGTCAGTTTTTATTTAAGTTAACCCCTGGGAAACCAATTTCGACCCCAAGGAATCGATACCAACCACTCCAGGCATCCCAGGCATGATTTAAATTATTGAAACTTAGACACCATTTTAATTAATACATGCATATTAATTTTTAAACACATAAATACATATGTATATTTATATCAGGAATATTGTTCCAAATTCAAACTTTAAAAATCAAACTGGAGGGAGTAATTTTTAATTCAATCGTTTGCAACACTAAAGTGCACTTTAAAAAAAAAATTTAGTCAGGCAAAAGTCAAATCAGCTGACTAAATTTTGACACATTTTTGATACTTACTACTTTATCTATATTATCAAAATTCTATAATGTCTATTGTGCTGTTTAAGTCTACAGCCAATGGAGGGTCATTAGTTTCAATTTGATATTCTAAATTCTAAAAAAAACTGTACAAAATACATATATTATCAGCCAAATAAATAAGACTTTTATAAAGATTACAATCAACTGTTGTGTCAATGGCCTTGGATCACAAGTATAAATAAAAATAAAAAAAAAAAAACATTTTACGTTAGTTCATCTAGTTAATATAAATAAACAGAATCATAAGATTCTGATAAGATAATGAAAATTACTTCTTTAGTGGTATCTATATGTGTATTTTATTTGTACATAAAAAAAATACAACAGAATGTCCTAAAATAAAAACATAATTTACATCTACTTTATTGATAACTGTGCATGAATTCCTTAGTCCTACATCCTATAATCTTTTTTTTTAATAATTGCAAACTATAAAAAAAACTAATAGTGATGTCCCAGATTAGTGCAATACAGGTTCTTGCATATATTTACAGTTCAATTCGATAAAATATTCAATTAACTATGCCCTACGTACAGCGGCGCGGCTCCGCGGCTCGCTAATCGTCGTGAGAACATCACATTGAATCAGCGTACTCACTAAAATGAAAATAAATTCAATTATAAATACTTACTGTAGCTTAATTCACTGCAATACAATTCTATATACCATTAACACGTCATATCAAACAAATAACACAATTAGTAGCGACGAATAAATGCTAAAATTTATAAAATGGCCTATTCCCCCGAGGGCAAAATATTTATATTCAACATGGCGAATAAACTGTTGTACGTTTATTAATACGATAATTATTGTAAATATAAAGGAAATACAGTAAAGGATCCTTTATTATAAAGCCGTATTGCGTTATAGATAGGAATTACAAGGAAAAATCACGCAAAATCCGAAGTAAAATTACAATGTTTGACATTTTCAGTCATTTTCTTGTCGATCTGTCATTTTGCGTTTTGTTTTTGTTTGTAACTAATATTTTCTGAAAGTAACATTTGTAACTATGATAATTAATTTTCATGTATAATTAAAATATATAAATACATGTAAAATATATGGAAATATAATAAAATAAAACATGTTAATTGTTAAGAGAATGAAGTTTATTTTAATTATAGCAACATTTGTTAGATGTAATTACAAAATACGTGTAGGTCTAAACCGACTTAGAAAATAAAATTATCTCCCGCAGTTTGTTTGTACATATGTTCGTAAATTAGCTCAGAATTGTGTAACAAACTGTATGTTGTCATACATACAATATTTCATTACTATTATACTATACAATGTTACTACGTCGTATTTTTAGAGATGAAATGGATCGATAACTTCGGCTATTCCATCGGACCTCGTGGAGACCGATCTGAAGGAATATATTGCTAGCAATAGAGTCACTATACAATTTTATTAGTATATTGAGTGGGAGAGGATCCCACCTATCATTTACTAGGTTCATTTTTTAGGTATAAAAACTATCCCATCTCTCCAGTTAGAACAAACAATAATCATTTATAAAATTTCATTAAAATCGCTTGAACAATTTCAAAGATTGTCGTGAACAAACTTCGTTCTTGTTCTCAGATAACAATCAAAATTAATATATTATTTTAAAACCATTAAATGAAATACCTATATAAATATATTTACGTATTATAATTCAAGAAATCACAAATTGTTACATTCAAATCGCCTACGATTATACGCCGCTACGAAGAGAAAATGGTCAATGAAAAACTAACACCACGTGAGACGTGAGACGTACGATCTTAAAATAGTACGCGAGTTTTCGCACGCTAAGTAACCGTGCATTTTGTTTAGTACATTTTTGTAGGAAAATGAGAGAAATAGTGCACCTACAAGCGGGCCAGTGCGGCAATCAAATCGGGTCGAAGGTGCATCACTATTTTTTAATAGTTTTTAGTTTAGTTTTTTTTTTTTAATATGTATAATGAGTGTAAAGGAATCTATTTTTACGACACACTCGTAATGTAACTGTGACGAGCTATTATTGCGGTGCAATAACGTTATAGGAATCTAATACGAGTGTGTGCGAGCGTAAAGTGCATCTATCTAGTCATTTATAAAGATATATATAAGAAATAGAATAACCTTCATAAGATCTTTAAGTGATGTTTATTATAAAAAAAAAACTTGTTTTTAGAGCTTAAGTGAATATATAAACAGCTTTTGAATATAGCGGGAAAAAATTTTAAAAAGTAATTTAAAAATTAATAAATTCACAATTAAAAAATAAACTACGATCCCTTTTATTGGAAAAATGCTGTTACTCCGTTAATGACTTTTGTACTGGTGTTTTAACGTAAATACCAGAATTAAAAAATAAATTTGACGTAATATATATACTATGGATGAAGTTGACATTGTTGATTGTAAAATATATTTATTATAAATCTATAATTGGAATATTCAATTTAATTTATTGCTTTTCTGTATGATCACACATAATTTTAGACGCAATGTACATTATTTTTTTTAATAAATGACTAATAACTATAAATCTATAATGATCGGGGAGACCGAAAAAAAATAACATATTTGTCGCAATAAAAAAAAATGTATATAAATTACATAGACTTTTTTATACCATGAACTTGGTGGTGCCAAATAAGTTTACCAGAGGGAGACTGTGCAAAAGTGGTTTGCTTGGGCACCTCTGTCCCATTCGTGTTTCTACCGTGAAATAGTTGTGTTTGCATGGCTGTGTTTCGGTTTGAAGGGTGGGACATGGCAGTGAATTTAAAAGGTACAAAGGAATAACAGCTAAGTCCTCAGGAATGGCAGTGCATGGGGGGTATCATGGGCGAAACAGTATACTCTGTTATGTCCACGGTACTGCTCATGTTTATAGGCGACGGTTACCACTTTCCATTGGATGGGCCGTCAGCTTGTTGGCCGTTCTAAGTTGTATAAAAAAAACAATAAAAAAATCTAAACACGATGGTTTCCAGAGAGAACCGTGGCCCACTCTGTGTCGGGGCCACACGTCTTAAAAACTATTATGTACATATATTTAAAAACATTACCTAGTTAAATAAATTATGTAAATAAACAATTATTTGTTATTACTCATTAAATTTGCCCTTGGGTAAAGTATGTAACATGCCTTTCGACATTTTTCAAATAAATGGGACATTATTTAGTGATAATTTAAAACAATAGATAGGAAGTGGCGCTGAATGGATACATACTATGAACCGATTTAAAAAAAGTAGCAGATTTTTAATTCGATAGTATTTCTTTTATGTTTGTTACCTCATAACTCCGTCAGTTGTAAGGCGATTTGCAAATTACTTTTTTTTTATCAGTAAGTATATATTTTTAGGTTTATTCTATAGAAATTTTACAAAATCCATGCATTGCGTAGTGTTAGTATGATTACATTTTACTGGAAATTCATTTCTGATAAAATTTTAAAGAAAAAACGCCATCTATCGACTAAATAATTGTACTAAAAATATATATATCGCATTTAGCTAAAAGCCGCCCATTGTTTTCTCACTGTGATTATTTCTTGTAATTGTTTGTATCTATAATAAGTTTACTATTGTGATCTTATGGAGGAAACAATAAAGTGTATCTATCTGTCTATAAAAGTTCTGTCTTTCCCGCCAGTTTTGGGAGATAATATCTGATGAGCACGGCATAGATACGACTGGCAACTACATTGGCGACAGTGATCTGCAACTAGAGAGGATCCAGGTGTACTACAATGAGGCGGCTGACGGTACGTTAACATTTTATTGTTTTTATGGGTGAAAATGTTATGGTAACCCCGCCTGCGCTAACGGGATACGCTGGCGGAGCACCAGTGAAGGGTGATAGATGAGAATGAAAACAGGCCAGTTAGCACATCATGATGAATTCATAACGTACCTCTGTCCCATTCGTGTTTCTACCGTGAAGCAGTTGTTTGCATGACTGTTTCGGTTTGAAGGGTGGGATATGGCGTGAATTTACAGGGTACAGAGGAATAACATCCGAGTCCTCAAGAATCGTAATGCATGGGGGGTATCATGGGCGAAACAGTATACTCTGTTATGTCCACGGTACTGCTCATGTCTATAGGCGACGTTTACCACTTCCCATCAGGTGGGCGGTCAGCTTGCTTGCCATTCTAAGTTGTATAAAAAAAAACTCGACTGGTTCCAGGCAAGCGGTTCGTGCCCAGGGCTGTGTTGGTGGACCTGGAGCCGGGGACAATGGACGCGATTCGATCAGCCACCTACGGACAACTCTTCAGACCTGACAACTACGTATTCGGTCAGAGCGGAGCTGGTATGTAATTCTATTAAAGAGTTTTAAAAGATTTTTTTTATAGTACGTAAGCAAACAAGCATACAGCCCGTCTCATGGTAAACGGTCACTGTAACCTATAGATACCTGAAATATTAGGGGTGTCGCGCGCGTTGCCGACCCTGAAGGAACCTTAATATAGCCTTTTTGAAGAACTCCATACTGTAGTCCCCATAGTGTAGTCTCTAGGGCAGTGTTTCTCAATCTTTTTTGTACCACGCCCCACATAAACATTTCTAGAATTTATATGCCCCCATACTTAATTTTTTCCGACAAAGTTTACTTGACGTCTCTAATCGCCCAGTTGATATTTTGCTAACGTCAAACGAAATTATACCTAATAAATATTTACAGCATTTTTTTTAAATTACTTTATCTTTGTTAAATTTGGCACGAGCAATAGGGTTAAAATCACTTCGAGTCCATTTTTTAATTGCCTTCCCCCTTAACTATCAAATTGACCCCCTGTGGGGCGTCGGCCCCACATTGGGAAACACCGCTCTAGGGAAAACCTCCTCAGGGAGCTGATTCCACAGCCTGAGCGTTTGTTATTTAAAAATAATGACGTATAAGTCCCATTGCTAAAGCAGGGAGGGAGACTTTGTACAAAAGTCGATGGTTTGGGTACTTCAGTCCCATTCGTGTTTCTACCGTGAAACAGTTGTGTTTGCATGGCTGTGTTTCGGTTTGAAGGGTGGGATATGGTGTTAATTTACAGGGTACAGAGGAATAACACCTGAGTCTTCAGGAATGGCAACGCATGGGGGGTATCATGGGCGAAACAGTATACTCTGTTATGTCCACGGTACTGCTCATGACTATAAGCGACGGTTACCACTTTCCATCAGGTGGGCCGTCAGCTTGTTTGCCATTCTAAGTTGTATAAAAAAAAAGGTATGTAGGTACTATGTACCTGGAAAGGCTTTCATATCGCGTTAAGTCCCGATTGTGTTTTTAAAACACTTACTAATTATTATTTAAAAAAATATTTCTATTTCTAATCTGTTCTGTTCTATTCTATTCTATTCTGCAGGTAATAACTGGGCGAAAGGTCATTACACAGAGGGCGCTGAGCTGGTGGACTCGGTGATGGACGTGGTCAGGAAGGAATCTGAGGCCTGCGATTGCTTACAAGGTGAGAGGTGCATTTTTGGTTTAACATATAGATCCAGAACATTTAGTTTTTTTTTAATGGGTGATGATGGAATAGTAACGCGCCTGCGCTATCGGTATACACCGGCGGGACACCAGTGAGGGATGATAGGTGAGGATGAAGCAGGTCAGTTAGCCCATCGTGACGAATTCAACAAAAAATATTCAAAATGGTTTCCAGGGGGAACCACGTGGAGGTCAACCTGGTAGGGTATATTCCTAGCAATGGGGTTGGCAAACCTAATCACTAACAATCCGTTTCCCCCCCAGACCGCTTTGGTTAGGTCAGTGGTTCTCAAACTTTGGCGTGGATCTCATTTATAAATAAATAAAAAAAATATATTGACATATAGTATATACTCTCATACAAGGGTTTTATTTTTTTATGAATAAGGGGCGTAATATTTAGGGTTTGTACACGGACGAAGTCAGGAGGAAGAGATTGTTAGTATTGGAGACTAGAGGCCCGATTACTAACAATATACCCAACCAGGTCGACCTCCGCGTGGACCACCTGAAAACCATCGTATTGAGTTCCGAGTGTATTCGTCACGATGGGCTAACTGACCTGCCTTTTCATTCTCACCTATCATTCCTCACTGGTACCCCGCCAGCGTATATCGAAAGCGCAGGCGGGGCTATCATTCTATTATCATCCATTAAAAAAAATACAAAAGTCTTGGGGAAATAGTGAATGTATATAATTAAATAATAGTTTATTTCGTAACCAGGTTTCCAGTTGACGCACTCGCTCGGCGGAGGCACTGGGTCTGGTCTCGGAACGTTGCTGCTGAGCAAGCTCCGCGAAGAGTATCCTGACAGGATCGTGAACACGTTCAGCGTTATGCCATCACCTAAGGTCATAAGAATAAATTAACTACAAGTTTTAATTAAAATTCAAGCAGTAGCGCTTTTAAATCGCCATACATACATACATATCTGTCACGCCTGTCTCCCATTAGGGTAGGCAGAAACAATGGAACGCCAAATGCTTCGATTCAAACAGACCTCTTTCGCTTCTTCCACATTCATCAATCTTTTCACACACGCTCGCCGGTTACGGGTACTTTTAATTTGGCCCTTCTTCAGCACGTCGCCTACTCGGTCGACATACGTCCGTCTAGGGTGGCACCTACCGACATCTCCATTCATTCTGGCTCGATAAATCTCTTTCGTAACTCTTAAAACATCTAGAGATGTTTTAAGAACCCCAACTGCGGTTGCCAATCCGCCTGCCAAGCGTAACAACTACTAGCAAGACCCCCCAAGGGGGATGCTTATGTTCAGCATGGGACAGTTACAGGCTTTCTATGATGATTATCATTTCCAGGTGTCAGACACAGTGGTAGAGCCGTACAACGCGACCCTCTCAGTCCACCAGCTGGTCGAGAACACGGACGAAACGTTCTGCATCGACAATGAAGCGCTTTACGACATCTGCTTCAGGACGCTGAGGCTCGCGTCGCCTACATATGGCGACTTGAACCATCTGGTCTCGGTAAATACTATTAATATTATAATTTTAAAAGTTTGTAACGATGATATTGCTATTTTTTTTTATACAACTTAGAATGGCAAACAAGCTGACGGCCCACCTGATAGAAAGTGGTAACCGTCGCCTATAGACACGAGCAGTACCATGGACATAACAGAGTATACTGTTTCGCCCATGATACCCCCCATGCGTTGCCATTCCTGAGGATTCAGGTGTTATTCCTCTGTACCCAGTAAATTCACGCCATATCCCACCCTTCAAACCGAAACACAGTCATGCAAACACAACTGCTTCACGGTTGAAACACGAATGGGACAGAGGTACCCAAGCAATTGACTTTTGTACAAAGTCTCCCTCTGGTGAATTACCCACATATTATATTATTTATTTCAGTTAACAATGTCTGGGGTAACGACGTGCCTCCGTTTTCCGGGGCAGCTGAACGCGGACCTCAGGAAGCTGGCGGTCAACATGGTGCCGTTTCCTAGGCTACACTTCTTTATGCCCGGTAATGAAAAAAAAGTTTCATTTTATTTTATAAATATTTTTTTCTTAAATGTCTTAAAATTTTACAGCTTATCTAACATAAAGCGTTTGCTGTCATATTGACAAAAAAGAAAATAAGAAAAAGTTTGAACGCTAATTACGTTCTGACGGTCGGTGATAGGATTTTTTTTCTAAAAAAACGCATACTATTCAAGTTCACAATGTCGTTTAATATAATTTAACACAGAGTCTTTATTTAAAATTAGTAATTATATAATATTAATTATATTTATTTATTTATTTATTTGGGCACAGCAACAGTATTATATCTATGAATCGTGATTGATTCCTAAAATGTACACCGTACGTTCGCGACTTAAAACATATTGGCCTCTCACTGCCCTGTCGTATTCCCTTTTATCAATTTCCCTTGTAAAGTGTGTCTTCATACTTTCTGGGAATTTGTGTGGTGGGAACAGCTATTGTGCAATATGTATTGGTATGTTGTAGTATGGTTTGGAAGGGGTTTGCACCCGTAACACACTGTTAAATAAATAAGAATAATAATAAATAAAAATATTTTGTATTCAAGTAAACTTAATTATTGCTTATAACTACTCCTCTCCATCCAAAGGTTGGCTGCAAGAGATCGCTCTCAGCGATAAGGCCGCCCATTGTTTTATCAGCTGTAATATTTTCTTGTAATTGTTTGTATTTATAATAAGTTTACTATTATACAAGTAGGACGCTGTTGTTTGAAATTGAAATTGAAATCATTTATTTGCTGGAATAAGGTACATTTTTAGGTGTTACTTTACAAGAAAAATAGTCCAATCTTATTCTGCCACACTGTAGGCGTGCAAATATAAAAACTTATTAAACAAAACATTAAAATAATTTTATCATAATTCCTGCCTCTACCATAAATTTTCCTTAATCGCCTCTTACGAAACCCACGGAAATGGAAGCACAGCATACTTTTATACATTTTTACTACATTTTTTTATACATATATTAAAATTACGTCAATTATATTTTTTTTATGCAACTTAGAATGGCAAACAAGCTGACGGCCCACCTGATGGAAAGTGGTAACCGTCGCCTATACACATGAGCAGTACCGTGGACATAACAGAGTATACTGTTTCGTCCATGATACCCCCCATGCGTTGCCATTCCTGAGGACTCAGGTGTTATTCCTCTGTACCTTGTAAATTCACGCCATATCCCACCCTTCAAACCGAAACACAGCACATTTATGGATTTAAACTTTAATGTGAGATTATTGAAAAGAAAACTTCTAAGTACTGGAAGAAATCCCTTCAAGGGATAAGTCCTGTTTACATTTTTGTTATAACCTAATATCTATACTATAGGGCGAAGGGATTGTTAGTAATGGGGAGGTTAGTACTCTTTGCTATCAATGTACCCTACCAGGTCGACCGCCACGCAGTTCCCCCTGGAAACTGTCGTGACAAATTTATCGTTGAATTCGTCATAATAGGCTAACTGACCAGCCTTTTCATCCTAACCTATCATCTCACACTGGTACTCCGCCAGCGTATACCGATAGCGCAGGCTGGGTTACCATGCAAAAAAAAAAATAATCTGTACTATATAAGTGAATTTAGAAAAGCATATAAAAAAATAAATAAAACAAGTAGGTTACAAGTTTTATACCTCAAAGCTGGCAAGCAAACATAGCTCCCGTCTGATTCTAAACGGTTACTGTAGTCTAAAGAAGCCTGTAAAATTAGGGGTGTCACGTGCGCGTATAACTTTAAACACAACGCCATCTAGCGACACTCAAAGTATTACCAGCAGCAGCAGAGAGCTCCCGTGCCTGCAGTGAGACCGTCGTGTTCGTGCGTGATCCTTCTCGTGAGTACTCCGGGCGACCGTCGAGACTCCGAGTAGCGTCTTCCCCAGCACGTCGTGACTCCTGCGCCTTCGAGAGCCCTCCAGAGCTGCCGCCGAGCGCCGTGGGACGCCACAGCCGCCGCTACAGCTCACCGCCGAGGAATCAACTGTGCAATCGTAAGATTGTACAGTCGGATTCCTCCTACACGTGCCCGGAGCTTCGTGCTCCGTGTCTTCGTGCCGCCGCCACCGAGTAGGACCGTCCTTTTCAGGACGAACTCGAGGCCGTCAGCCCTTCTGAGGGCTACAAGCCGACGGGGAGATAGTCCGTGCACCTGGGTGCACCAGTGTAGGCACCCGTGTGCTACACGCCAGGGCACGGTCGAGTCGTAGGGCTAGGGACCGTAGGTCGTCGCGGGGGTTCTGTCCCCCCGCACCCCTCTCGGCCGTTCCGGAGAGTGTCGCCTCACGGGGAGGACAAGTGCACTCACGGTAACGGTCGAGAGCACGGTCTTCCCGGCCGTGTCGACTCCACCCCCCCCCTCCAGCATAGTAGGGATCGTTCGTGGGGTTCCAACCCCCACACCCCCCTCTTTCAAACCGTAGGGTGTCGTCTCACGGGGAGAACAAGTGCACCCACGGCGAGACTGAGGGCACCGCCTGAGTCCCCACTTGGGCGGCGTCGGTTCAGCAACCCCTTCGCCCTTCGTGGGCTACTACGTAGGGCCTTAGGGTTTTAGGGACCATGTCTCAGCGCGGGGGAAAACCCCCCCGCAAACCTTTCGAGCCGGCCAAGCGGCCGACCCGCTCTTCTTCCGCGTCGGCGCCCAGCGCGCCGGCGCCCCTGCCGCAGCGGCAAGCCGTGCCGAGGCAGGTGGTTTGTCGGGACCTCGCGGACCCGACAATCAGCAGACCGGTCCCAGAGACAGAGCTGGGACCCTTCTACACCCGCCGCGAGGCAAGGATCGCGCTCGCCAACCGCAACATAATTGCTGCGGAAGGGGAACGCGCCGAGCCGAGCGGCGATCGGTCTGGCGCCACGCCGTCTACGGCCGCTAAACGCCGCACACCACCATCGCCCGCTCTCTCGGAGATCCCATCCGAGAAGCGGCTAGACGCCGGCGAGACACCACCGTCGCCCCGTCTCGCTCCCACACCGCGCTACGCGGATCGTGCGTCTCACTCAGAGAACGCACCGTGCGATGCGCGCCCGCACTCACGGCGCGCCACACCCCCCCGCTCACCCTCGCCTGCCCCCTCTATGGACAGCGAGGACGAGCGAGTTATGGAGTACGACGCCATCGGCGCCGTAGGTCACCCGGACGACGATCTAACGTCGTATGTGGGCATTGAGAGCGTCGATGTCCACGTCCGCACCGTGGGGACACTGTCCCCCACACGTACGTTTGCCGACGCGGCCGCGGCCGCACCTGTGCCGCGCCCCCCTTCCCCTCCAACCCTTATGGAGGTAAACGCTGCGTCCGCGCCGGGCACAGCACCATCCAGGGAACCTGGGCGGGGAAAATACCCGCCCATCGTCGTCGAATGCTTGCCCAACTGGACGAAGCATTTCTCCGAGCTCACCTACGCACTAGGTGAGCCCCCCAACGCCCGACCATACGGGCAAGGCTTTCGGTTTCTGTGCAAGACGGACAGAGAGTTCCGTGTTGTACAGAACCACCTTACTACAGCCGGTGCCGCAGACCCAGCAATAAGCTGGTACTGCTACAGCCTCGCCAACGAGCTCCCAATCAAGGTCGCCGTCAGGGGGCTCCCGGCCGACACGCCGTCGGACGTAGTGGCCGAGGCACTTAAAAAGCTAAACTTCCCTGTACGCCTCGTACGGGGCATACCTGCCCGTCGCGGCCGCCCAGGATGCCTATTTCACGTCCAGCTCGATCCACTTAACAAGGACGAGCTGGAACGTCTATATGCCACGCAGCAGTTACTTTGCATGCGTGGCATAACTATTGAAGGTTGGAAATCCACCTCCTCGCTGGCACAGTGCCACAGGTGTCAAGCCTTTGGACACTCATCGGCCAATTGCCACCGGCCGATCAAATGTGTCCGCTGTGCCGGCGAACACGCGGCCGTCGACTGCACACGACCGCGCGACCAGAAGCCCACATGCGCCAACTGCGCCAAACCGCACACCGCCAACGATAGGCGGTGTGCCGTGTACAAAAGAGAAGCCCGCCGCAGGGGTATCCAACCCCGCCCTGCCGCACCCCCATTGCCTGCGGACACACCCGGGCCCAATCGTCGCGGCCCGGCGCCGCTTCAAACGGCCCCGACGCGCGAGCAACGCTCCGCGCGCACCACAGCGCCCCAACGTTCATTCCTACCGCTGGCACCGGTGCCGGTGTCAACGGTACCAACAATCAAGCGGGGCACACTTATGGCCCCAGCAAATCCGCCCATAGCGAGAGGCGAGGCGCCCAAGCGCCGTAAGCGCAACCGCGCCGGTCGAAAACGCCGCAACCGTATGGCGGCGGCGTCCACACCGCTAGAGGAGGTCGAGACGGCGACAACACGCTTTCGAGCGCAACCGTCTCACGGGGCATTCGCCCCCCCCCAACACCAGCCCCCGTTATCGTCTTCGCTGCACGGGGCAATCAATAGAACGAGACAGCAACAGCAACAAACTAATGCTGTCTCGTTCGCTCGCCGCCAGACGGCGCCATCAAACTCGAGAGTGCAACAGGTGCGTGCCCGGCCGCTATTGGCCGACGCACCGGTTACACCTAGTAACGTACCTCGGCGGCCGATTCACACGGCACCACAGCCGACTCAGACGCGCGATTTCCCCACTACTATTACAGCGGATAACGGAGCCCTAAATTTAATACTAGGCCTCCTAGTCGACCTCCTTTCAGCCTTAGCGGCTGGAAAAGACGTTAAGTCGGCGGCATTGTCCGGATTGGCCACAATAAGCCAGTACAGAGGCGCGGAGTAACTCGCTCCGCGTCCTGTACTGGAACCCCGGGGGGATAAAGGATAAGGTGGACGGCCTCCGTCTCCTTGCTCAATCCCAGGATATCCATTTAATACTCCTGGGGGAGACCAAGTTGGCTCCCAGGGAGACGTTGAGGGTGCCCAACTACTTCGTGTACAGGCGGGACGAGCGGTCCCCCGCAGGTGTAGCTTACCGCGGCACCGCTATACTGGTCCGCCGCGACATTGTGCACGGTGAGTTGGCGCTCCCCGAGTTCCGCGTCATGCGCTCCATAGGAGTTAGCATAAACATCGACGGCGCGGAACTGAGAGTATACGCCGCCTACCGCCCCCCGGTTAATGAATTCTGCCCCTCCGATGTCCGGAACGTTCTGGACGGGAGGAGTCCCACTTTACTCATGGGCGATCTTAATGCAAAACACCCGACTTGGGGTAGCCGGGTGATATCGCCTATGGGTACCAGACTCCTCCGTGACGCCGATAGTCACGGTTACGACGTGTTGGGCCCTTTACACCCAACACACATTCCTACCAACCGTCGACAATATCCAGACGTTCTGGACATAGCACTCGTGCAGCGAGTGCCCTGCCCGGTCAATATGGAGGTGTTGTATGACATGGACACACAACACCTCCCAGTTCTAGCCACGCTCGACCTAGGTGCGGTCACCACATCGCACAAGTCGGAGCGGCGGAGTACAAACTGGACGGCTTATCGTTCAAGCCTCCAGCACATACCCCTCGACGGCGACTTTACCACGCCCGAGGGAATAGAGGCCGCCTCTATCGCTATACAAGAGCGCATACAAAGCGCCCTAGAGGCGGCCACCACCACCGTTCACTCGGCGGCTCGTCGTCGAGTCGAATTGCCGGCACATTTGAGCGATAAGTTGTCGCGCAAACGCAAACTCCGCCGCCTATGGGCCCGCACCCGTTGTCCACGGGTCAAGCGTGAGCTTAACTGTCTCGCTGCGGAGCTGTCGGAGGGAGTCCGCGACTGGCGTGGCTCCGCGTGGGAGGGTGTAATCTCCCGCGCGGGCGAACACGACGACTCTCTGTACGCCCTAAACCGACAGCTCACTAAGGCACGACCCCCCGTCTGCCCGTTATTCGATGAAACGGGCAGGCGTTGTTACGCAGCTATTGACCGGGCAGAAATCCTGGCCAGCCACCTGGAGGGGCAGTTTACTGCCAATCCGACTGCCGCCGACGCACATAGCACTGTCGTCGAGCACCACGAGCGCGTTGTACGTCGCGTAGGCGAGTTCCATACCGCTCCGCCGCCGGACTTAACGGAGGTTAAATTCGTTTCGCCCGGCGAGGTAAGGCGCATCATCGAGCGCCTACCTAGGCGCAAGGCGCCCGGAGCGGATAAAATTCCCACATCGGCACTCGCCCAGCTGCCCCGTAGAGCATTGGTGTTCATTACCAAGCTCTACAACGGCATACTCCGCACCGGCCACTTTCCTACTAATTGGAAACTTGGCCGAGTAATCGCCCTCCCGAAAGCCGGGAAAGATAAACGCTTCCCGGCCAGCTACCGGCCGATAACACTTCTCCCGCACGTAGCGAAGACCTTTGAGCGCGCGCTGCTCCGCCGGCTGTACCCGTCCGTCACTCCACGGGACGAGCAGTTCGGCTTTAGGGGCGGCCACTCAACAACGCTCCAACTTGCGCGTGTGCTGCATCATTTGGCCGTCGAACATAACCGCGGTCGATACGCCGTCGGTGTTTTTCTCGATGTCGAGAAAGCGTTCGACCGCGTGTGGCACGACGGCCTAGTATACAAGTTATTGGTGCACACAAGCACACCGCAAGCCTACGTGCGGGTAATAGACAATTTCCTACGCGGCCGGAGCTTTTATGTCACGGTCGAGGGCGTGGACTCAGCAGTCCACCCTATTGCCGCCGGAGTGCCGCAGGGCAGCTGTATTTCACCAGCATTGTACGCGACGTACACGGACGACATCCCCACCTTGGGGGATGAGCTCCTTGAGGGAGAGCGTGATGTCGTCCTCGCTCTATTTGCCGACGACAGTGCGTATTTCACGTCGTCGACCAACGCCGACATCGCTGCACGTAGAATGCAGCGACTGTTGGACCTCTTGCCTGTGTGGCTAGACAAGTGGCGTATCGCCGTCAATGTGGGGAAGACGGTGGCGCTGCTAACTCGTAGCCGCACACGTTATCCGCCGCCTCTCCATCTCCGTGGGTTACCCATATCATGGGAGCACTCAGTGCGCTACCTAGGGGTAGAGATCGACCGGTCGCTGCGAATGACAGCACAGGTAAACCGCGCGGTCACACAGACTAAGACCGCGCGGGCCATGCTGCGGCCGGTCCTGCATTCCAATCTCCCGCTGCGAACGAAGTTAGGGATATATAAAACCTATATTCGTTCGCAGCTGACTTATGCCTCCCCCGCGTGGTACGCACTGTGTTCTGACTCACAGAGGCGGCGCATGCAGGTCCAACAGAACTGCGTTCTGCGACTGTGCGCAGGCGCGGGTCGTTACGTTCGTAATGACGTAATTGCCCGAGATCTCGCGGTCCCCACGGTGGAAGAGTTTGTCCGCCGGCTGGCACGCACAATGTTCAGCCGGGCGGACAGCAGTCACCACCCACACCTGAGGGACCTCGCACCACTTCACGCGCGCCCACCGGACGCGACACGCGCACTGCCGCGAGATCTCCTGCGCACAGCAGGCACCCCGCAGGGCGACGGTTAATACCGGCCCTGCACGGTCGACGACATACATTTTCATATTTCCCCGCTCACTTTTTCCTTTTTACTTCCTTTTTTTATATTTTCCCTAGCCGGCGCTATTCACAATAGTGTCGGCTCAGCCCAACGGGCTGAAACGTATTGACGCACAGGCGGCAGCCTGTGCAGACCGCTCGGGCAAAGGGTACACACCCGAGGCCCGCACCTGCAACCCTGTAAAGGGCTGCGGATGAACCCCTTATTAAAGTATTACCGTTTTACTGATAAAAAAAAAAGAAAAAAATAATAAAAAAATATATATATATATATATATATATATATATATATATATATATATATATATACATATATATAAACATTTACAAGAGCGAAGAAGAGGCCGACAAAACATAAGAAGACACCACGCCGGCATACACAGACCACCAGTGTATGCTGGCTCAAGAACCCAGTGACCCGGAGGTAGTCGCCTCCAGAGATGAAGCCGGGGTAGAGGGGTTTACCCCGAGGCCCCTACCTCGCCCGCCTACACAACAAGGCGGGCAAGAAGACTTATGATGATGATGATGATGATAAGTTTGTGAGCCGCTGGACGTTGAGAAAGATACACAATACATATATATTGCTTGCGCCCGATAGCTACCATTTTTTTGTTTTCTCCTCTAGCCAAAGATTGTTAGAAGAGATTACTTTAGCAATAAGATCGCCTTTTGTACTTTATAAGTTATTTTCCATCATTATCAGCTTTGACTGTCCTCGGCTGAACATAAGCCTTCCCCTAGGGGGGTTTTACCAGTGGCTGTCACGCTTGGCAGGCGGATTAGTAACCGCAGTTAGGCTTTGGAGATGTCCTAAGACTGACGCTGCTGCCCATCTCTCGCCCTCTGTTACTCGCCATATATTTCTGTATTTATTTATTTATTTACACTTTATTGCACCAAGTAAAAAGAGAGATAACAAATACAGTAAATACTAATGAGAAGTGATACAAAAGGCGGCCTTATCGCTGAGCAATCTCTTCCAGACAACCTTTGGGTAGAGGACATTGAGAAAAAGACAAAGAGTAGGTGGCGCACTATTATATAAATATTATCATATACAAACATATATAGATACATACATACATACATACACATACATAGATAATATATACACAATTAAATATATACATAACATACACATACTTAACAGCACACATACAACAGAAAAAAAATGACGAAGGAAAACGAAGAGAGAACACAGGAAAATAGTACTAAAGTGAGAGATAATAAGATTTAACATTTAACAGTATTGTTATTTAATTAATTCAATAAAGAGTAAATAAATAAATACCGATTCCCCTTTATTCCAGGATTTGCCCCACTGACTGCAAGGAACAGCCAGGGGTACAGAGCGTTGACAGTTCCAGAACTGACACAACAGGTTTGTGGCCCAGATACTTATGCCTAATAAGGTATATTTTTTAATTGATTATTACAGACTGGTAACCCTGCCTGCATTATCGGTACTGTATTACACTGGCGGGGCATCAGTGAGTAGTGGTACATAAGGGTGAAATCCGGTGACGTATGAAGACGGATTAATCAAGAATTACATTGCGCGGGAAACTAGAGGGAGACTTTGTACAAAAGTCGTTTGCTTGGCCACCTGTGTCCCATTCGTGTTTCAACCGTTAAGCAGTTGTGTTTGCATGGCTGTGTTTCGGTTTGAAGGGTGGGATATGACAGTGAATTTACAGGGTACAGAGGAATAACACCTGAGCCCTCAGGAATGGCAACGCATGGGGGGTATCATGGGCGAAACAGTATACTCTGTTATATCCATGGTACTGCTCATGTCTATAGGCGACGGTTACCACTTTCTATCAGGTGGGCCGTCAGTTTGTTTGCCATTCTAAGTTGTATATATATATATATAGATATTGCTATATCTTACCCAGAATTTGAAGACGAAGGTCTTTAACCAATGCGCGTTGCCAATAATCACTTACGGAACCAAAACATGATCCTACACGATTGCCCGTATGCAAAAGCTACAAGCTACTCAGCGGGCTATAAGTGAGGGCTATACTCGGAGACACTTTGCGTGATAGAATCCGAAACGAGGATATCCGCAAAAGAACCAAATTAATCGACATAGCCCGAAGGATAAGCTAGCTGAAGTGGCAATGGGCTGGTCATATAGCTTGAAGAACCGACAAGTGATAGGGGGAAGAAAGGTTCTTGAATGGCAACCGCGTACGGGTAAACGCAGTATAGAACGATCCCCCACTAGATGGAGTGACGATCTGAAATGCGTTGCAGGGAGTTAGTGGATGCAAGTGGCTCAGGACCGAGTATTATGTTCAGCAGTGGACGGATAATGTCTGGCATGATGATATCTTACCCACACTTACCGTGCCGACAGATGTTCAGCCCGGTGAACATGATGGCGGCGTGTGATCCTCGCCACGGCCGCTACCTCACCGTCGCCGCCATCTTCCGCGGCCGCATGTCCATGAAGGAGGTGGACGAGCAGATGCTGACCGTACAGGACAAGAATTCCGGGTAATGTTATCCCATTTAGTGGAGAGTAAAATGTAAAGTAGTATGGAGTTTTTCAAAATGGATATACTAGTATTAAAGTTCCTTCAGAGTCGGCAACGTGCACGTGACAACCCTAGTGTTTTTTTTCTTAATGGATGATAATGGAATGGTAACCTCGCCTGCACTATCGGTATACACTAGCGGGGCACCAGTGAAGGATGGTTGATGAGGGTGAAAAGGCAGGTCAGGTAGCCCATCGTGGCGAATTCAACGATAAATTAGTCACGATGGTTTCCAGGGGAAATCGCGAGGAGGTCGACCTGATAAAGTATATTGATAGCGATGGGGACTAACCCCCTCCATTACTAATAATCCTTTCCCCGTTATACAAGCGTTAGAACACACAATTGGGGACAAAATCTCGGTCTAGACTTAAAGGCACGATTCCCTCTTCGTATACCAAGTGAAATAATTTCAGATACTTCGTGGAATGGATCCCGAACAATGTGAAAGTGGCCGTGTGCGATGTTCCACCGCGGGGTCTCAAGATGGCCGCCACGTTTGTGGGCAATTCTACCGCGATACAGGAAATATTCAAACGCATCTCCGAGCAGTTCACCGTCATGTTCAGGAGGAAGGTGAGTTGCTACCAACTTTAGTTTTCATCATCATTTTTTTTTCTTTCTTTCTTTCTTTTTCAGCTGTTAACTGTCCCCGACTGAAGATAGACTTCCCTCCATTGGAGGGAATCGGCAATAGTTCCCACGCTCAATCCAATGTCTTAAGAGGCGACTAGGGAAACCTACCAGAGGGAGACTTTGTACAAAAGTCGATTGCTTGGGTACCTCTGTCCGATTCATGTTTCAACCGTGAAGCAGTTGTGTTTGCATGGCTGTGTTTCGGTTTGAAGGGTGGGATATTGCGTGAATTTACTGGGTACAGAGGAATAACACTTGAATCCTCAGGAATGGTAACGCATGGGGGGTATCATGGGCGAAACAGTATACTCTGTTATGTCCACGGTACTGCTCATGTCTATAAGCGACGGTTACCACTTTCCATCAGGTGGGCTGTCAGCTTGTTTGCCATTCTAAGTTGTATAAAAAAAAACCTAATTTTTGAGGAATGGACTGTAGCGTCTCTCTTAAAGCCAAACTGCGGTTTCCAACCTGCTTGCCAAGCGTGGCGAGTAATGACAAAACTTCCCTTATTTTTTAGTTAAATAACTTTATTGACCGAAAAAAAAAATATGGTACAAAAGACGAATTTAATTCTAGTAGCACTCTCTACCAGTCAAAGTTGGGATAAATTGTATTGTATTGTAAAATCTTACTTACCCCATAAAGGGATTTTTTTTATACCACTGAGGTGGCAAACAAGCATACGGCCCATCTGGAAAGTGGTTACCGTACCCTATGAACACCTGCAATACCAGAGGCATTACGCGCGCGTTGCCGACCCTGAAGAAACCTCTTTACCGCCCTTTGAAGAACCCCATGCTGTAGTCTCTTGGGAAAACCTCGGCAGGGAGCTCATTTCATAACCTGAGTGTTCTCTGAAACCGCGCAGTACGCGACCGTTGAGGCTGTAGGACATGAGTACAGTTGTATTTATGTTCACAGTTTGGTATCGATAAAATTAAAAATAAATAATACATAATAAAGTATCTAAAACAGACATGTAATCGATGTCTCTTATAGATACTTCATAGATACATAATAGTTCCGTAAGAACTGTTGATTTTTCACTGCTTCGCGACCTTGCGCGACCCCCTTGTAGAGGCTCTGGGGCCCCCTAAGGCAGTGATTCTCGACCACTGTGCCGCGGCACTTTTGTGTGCCGCCAAATTTTAAAAGTGTGCTGCCAAATTTTGCAAATATATAAAACTTTTGTCATAAAATATTTATGCAGTGTGTTGTAGTAAGTAAATAATTTTTAACTTTTTCTTTGTGCGCCACCAAATTTTGAAATCGTCAAATATGTGCCGCAACAAAAAAAAAGGTAGAGAATCACTGCCCTAAGGGGTCGCGACCCACACTTTAAAAAAAAAGCAGTGGCTTGACTAATGTAAACTTGTTACCGACATGAGGCGTTCCTGCACTGGTACACCGGCGAGGGTATGGACGAGATGGAATTCACTGAAGCAGAGAGTAATATGAACGACCTCGTCTCCGAGTACCAGCAGTACGAGGTATGGTATTTTTTTATTAGTTATTTATAATGCTTGTCAAATATCTCCCTTCGGGGGGAAAGGGATTGTTAGTAATGGAGACTGAGAATCTCATTGCTAGCAATATACCCAACCAGGTCGACCTGCCAGCGGTTCCCCCTGGAAACTATCATGGTTAATTCCCGATGAATTCATCATGATGGGCTAACTGGCCTGTTTTCATTCTCATCTATCACCCTTCACTGGTGCTCCGCCAGCGTATCCCATTAGCGCAGACGGGGTTACCATACCACTTTCACCCACAAAAAAAATTTTCCCTTCCGCCTTTTTGTCTTTTAAATTTCGCGGCTACGTACAAAGCGCTACGGAGCTCGTATCTGGCAGTACTGTACATCATTTGAAAGGTCTTGACATAACCTACAAAACGACGCTATGCATTAGTTTGGATCACAGAGTACTTTGTATTATATAGGAAATGGTTTGGATATTGCGTCCAACACTTATAGACGTGTAAACATGGAGTTCACTAACGCCGAAATTAATGAAATTTTCCGAAATTTTGCATGACTGTGTTTCGGTTTGAAAGGTGAGGTATGGCAGTGAATTTACTGGGTACAGAGGAATAACACCTGAGTCCTCAGGAATGGCAACGCATGGGGGGTATCATGGGCGAAACAGTATACTCTGTTATGTCCACGGTACTGCTCATGTCTATAGGCGACGGTTACCAATTTCCATAGGGTGGGCCGTCAGCTTGTTTGCCATTCTAAGTTGTATAAAAAAAATATGTTATTAAACACAGATTGTTCGATTCTTAACAGGAAGTTGGAGTGGAAGATGGAGAATTTGACGAACAAGAAGAAATGCCCCCAGAAGATTACACAGAAGAATAGATTTAACGATTTGTCTATTCTTTTTTCATTTATTCGGATAGTGTGATATTAGTAAGGTACAGTTTATTTCATTCTGCAGCAGAAACGTAACTTTTTATTTGTTAAAAAATATGGCGTTATATTCTATGGCTGAATAAAGTTTTTGTCTTATTAAAAATTCCTAGATTTTGTTATAAATAAAAAAATAATGTAATAATTAATAATGTATTTTTTTTTCTTCTAATTAGTAACTCATACCATATTTTTTTTGATATGTGAAAATGGAATGGTAACCCCGCCTGCGCTAACGGTATATGCTGGCGGAGCATCAGTGAGGAATGACAGGTGGATAATAAAAAAAAGCAGGTCATTTAGCCCACCGTGATGAATACACCTGGAGTTCAGCACGATTGTTTCCAGGGGGAACCGCGTGGAGGTCGACCTGACAGAGTATATTGCTAGCAATGAGACTGAAAGCCCGCATTACTAACAATCCCTTCCCCCCTACCATACCATATTTTTTGATGGGTGAAAATAGAATGGTAACCCCGCCTGCGCTAACGGTATACACCGGCGGGGCACCAGGATGATAGGTGAGGATGAAGCAGGTCAGTTAGCCCATCGCGACGATTCAACAAGAATTGTTCACGATGGTTTCCAGGGGGAACCGCGTGGAGGTCTACCTGACAGGGTATAATGCTAGCAACGAGTATTTCCGAATCAATACGACATTATAACCTTCAAGAGCATTTTTTTTGTGTGAAAATGGTATGGTAACCCCGCCTACGCTAACGCTATACGCTGGCGGAGCACCAGTGAAGGGTGATAGATGAGAATGAAAACAGGCCAGTTAGCCCGTCACGATGAATTCATCAGGAATTAACCATGATAGTTTTCAGGGAGAACCGCAAGGAGGTGGACCTGGTTGGGCATATTGCTAGCAATGGGATTCTCAGTCTCCATTACTAACAATCTCTTTCCCACCTCAAGAGCATATTCCTTTTTAAAAGGCCGGCAGCACACCTACAATGCCTTTAGTGTTGTGGGTGATCACAAGCGGCGGTAGTCACTTACCATCAGGTGTGCCGCATGCTGGTGTTGTAAAAAAAGAATGTATTTTAAATCATGTATTTTTATTTGTAATATTAAATTTAATTACATTTAATGTTTTCTCAGGCACTCTCTTGATTACTTCGTTACCGAAACTCTTGTAGTTTAAGCTTTCATTTATATTTGTTACAACTTCGTTATCAACTGATGTACAGTCAACTACTTCAATATTGTCACTAATTCTATCATTATTTACTTTTTTACTACTGTTAGAACTTAATTCTCTATCTTTGTTACCAATTTTAGTGTTGCCACTGTAAACTTTTTTATTTTCGTTAACATAACACGGTTTAAACTCATTCTCTGTTGCAGCATCCTCTTTTATCTCTCTTTTCTTCTTTGTTACTCTATTTTCATTATATATCGTGTTAACCTCACCCATATTTAATAATCTTTTATTTGAATTATTTACATTCTTCTCGATTTCTCCTTCTTTATTTGTATTTTCTATATTTTTATTAAGCAATTCCTCTCTGTCCTTCTCAGCTATAGCATCGTTATGTATGTTTCTCGAACGAAACAAAACATCTCGTTTCCGTTGTGACAATTTTTGTCTCGTTTCGTTGATGTCTTCAAATTCGGGTGCGTAACACACATGCAACGAGCCACCGTAAAAATTCTTCGTGTCCACCATCCGTTTGGCCACTCTAGCTGATTGTATTTTTTCGTACCTTGCATGGTATGTTTCCGTGAATTGTTCTGACTGGTGTTTCGTTAGATTGAATTGAAGGAGCTTGCCGAATTTAGCAAACAACGCTTTGGTCTCTTGCCGTAGATTCAACGATGGGACTCCGAAGATGAGGAGATGGTTGGATTCGTTGTTGATTGTATATACCTGCAATAATTAATAATAATGAAAAAAAAAAACAAATTTTTTATGCAATCTTTCAAATAATTTGGATTGTAAATGGTCGCATACAATACGGTTTCAGAGATGTTTTCTCCCACAAACACTCAGGTTATGAAATGAGCTCCCTGCTGAGGTTTTCCCAAGAGACTGCAGCATGGGGTTCTTCAAAAGGGGGGGGTAAACAGGTTGCTTCAGGGTCAGCAACGCGCGTAATACCTCTGGTATTGCAGTTGATAGGCTACGGTAACCGCTTAGCATCAGGTGGGCCGTATGCTTGTTTGCCACCTCAGTGGTATAAAAAAAAATGTGTTCCACAAAGAACCCATCTTCAATCAAAATCAATTATTTTGATTTAAAAACTAAACCAATGGATCAATTTTGATAAAATTTCTACAGGACCAAATCTGTGAGTATATCCGTTCAGTAAAAAAATAAGAAATTTTTGAATACAATTTATAGCTGGTAGAGTCGTGAGGTAAGAAACATAAAAGCAACTGTACCATGAAGAGGGGAAGGGATTGTTAGCAATGGAGTTTGACAGCCCCATTGCTAGCAATATGCCCTATCAGGTTAACCTCCACGTGATTCCCCCTGGAAACCATCGTGAACAATTCTCGTTGAATTCATCATGATGGGCTAACTGACCTGCTTCATCCTAACCTATCATCCATCACTGGTGCCCCACCGGTGTATACCAATAGCGCGGGCGGGGATACTATTTCATTATCACCTATCAAGAAAACTGAACCATGAACCTCCTTCCTTCTGAAGTCGGTTAACAAGAAAAACTTCTATCCTCAGATTTGTCCCTGGATTATTGCACTGACATATCTTATGCGTATAAATGAGCTCCAATGACTTTTGCCTCCTTTCTCTTCTACTATATTTTAAAAAACAAATACACTAATATGACAGGATAAATTGCTGGCAATGGAGTTGGGTTCTATATTCTATATACCCTGTCAGGTTGACCTTTACATGGTTTTTTTATGCTACTTAGAATGGCAAACAAGTTAATGGCAAATCTGATGGAAAGTGTTCAGAGGCGTGAAGATGGTCAGTGTTAGGAGCCAACTCGCCTGTACCCGGATTATGTAGGACTCTGAACGCTCACAGCGATCAAATTGACATCCATTTTGGATCCATCTGTTAGACTTTGTAGCATATCAACCTATGTAGATGAAACTATGGTTACCCTCCTGTTACTGGCTAGTTATACTTACGATAGATGTCATTCTGTATCTAAATAAAAAAATTCTATCTATTTTTCCTTTGAACAATTCGTAATCTTATTTTTTCCTAAATATCTTTATAATAAATAACACGGACTCTATTTATCATAAAGCCATCAACAGCAGATGTAACTTACTGAGGAAAATCTTAGACATAAGTTCTTAATCTACTTATTATTCAGATATTGTTATTGTGATTGTTAATAATTATTAAATATTATAATAGTGCATGTGGTGTTCGCCTGTAAAACACTTTTACATTAGGCTAAATTATTTTTTGTGTTATTGATTAAGTTGCGTGTAAAATGTAAAAGTTGTAGGTGTACCTTATTAAATAAATAAATAAATAAAGTGGTAACCGTCGCCTATAGACATGAGTAGTACCATGGACATAACAGAGTATACTGTTTCGTCCATGATACCCTCCATGTGTTGTCATTCCTGAAGACTTAGGTGTTATTCCTCTGTACCATGTAAATTCACTGCCATATCCCACCCTTCAAACCGAAACACAGCCATGTAAACACAACTGCTTCACGGTAGAAACACGAATGGGACAGAGGTGTATAAGTAAACGACTTTTATACAAATCCCTCTGGTATAACTGGTTACTATCTTTGTATAAAGAAATTATATTATTACCTTAACAGCAGTCAGTTTCCTTCCTTGCCTGTAAGGCAGGCGGGTTGTACACAATAGCTGTTGTACGTGGTGTAATAAAAGCTGTTCCTTTTCACATTCATTTGACATATTACTATTTTTATTTCGTTTATTGATGATAAATGTATTTATAAAAAGAATAATAATAAACGTTCGCAGATTACGGAAAAATTTTTCGTGTTTATGAAATGTTTTTTTTTTTAGTACGTTTGTTCCGTTGTGGAACAGGCTAAGGTCGGAGACCATGCTGCCTAGTCTTCAATATGATAATTTGTCTGGAATCTGAAATTTTATCCCCTCTGTCAAATTTTATTTTGACATTTTGTTGCATACTCTCTCTAATCTAATCTGTAGTGGTCACTGAAGAGCGACTTTTTTTTTAATGGCTGACAATAGAATGGTAACCCTGCCTTCGCTATCAGTATACGCTGGCGGGGCACCAGTGAGGAATAATAAGTGAAAATTAGTGATGGGATTCGAGTTGTTTTTCACTCGAGTCACTCGAGTAGTTTTTATAATACATGCACTCGAGTTAAATTTTTGACGACTCGAGTTTCGAGTGACTCGCGTCGACTCGAATTACGAGTGACTCGAGTTGACTCGTACCACTCGAGTGGTTTATACCGAACCGAGTGAGAAATTCAAATTATGACAAGTTTACCCGCGGTAGCAGGAAACTTTTAAGAGAGAAAATTCTTCCTGATGCTTATCATGCCGCATGCACTATAATTGTAGATATTCTACATTTAGTTGAATATACGGCTGCTACAACAGATTTATGGACTTCTGACAATAATAAAGCATACCTAACTATTACAATACTTATAATTCAAAACTTTTTTCGCAAACTGTTACTACTAAAGAGGTTACGGAGAAACATTCTTCTATTATTTTAGCAAGTGTGCTGAAGTCGATATTATCGAAGCCGTTTGGTAGGGGAAAAATTGATCAATTTATTTTTTTAAAGTAGTTATTACACCAATTTCAGTTAAATTTGTTATCTCATTAAAGATACATTATGTTTAAGTTTTATTTAAGTTAATTTTAAAACACGTATGTTATTACATAAATTGTGTAAGAACATAATAAAACTGTTTATATTTGGATCTCATGAAAGTTCCTTGTTAGAATAAATTAAATTGGATTAGAACTTATTAGTAGTAGATTATAATATTTTAATTTGACTGATAGTTGATATAAGAGGTTTCTTGAATATGTATGACAGGTTTAGTTTGAAGGAAAATTCTATTTTTTACATTTTGTTTAGATTTTTTTTTTAAGAAAATGGATACACATTTTCTATGTAAAATTAATACTGTTTTATTCGTTTTAAAATTTTGGTCACTCGAGTTTTATATTCCGAGTGACTCGAGTCAATAAAAATCACTCGAGTTTTATCTTCACTCGAGTGGCATTCGAGTGAGTAACTTATCAGTACCGAGTGACTCGAGTGAAAAAAAATCACTCGAGTCCCATCACTAGTGAAAATGAAGCAGGTCAGTTAGCCCATAGTGACGAATTCCATTAGAATTAACCACAATGGTTTCCAAGGGGAACCGCGTGCAGATCGACCTGACAGGGTATATTGCTAGCAATTGGGCTACTAATCCCCATTACTAACAATCTCTTCTCCCCCCTGATTTTAGCATTGATAATTATCTGTTTTTAATTTTTATAATAAAAAGTCCAAAATTAGATCAGTTGTTTAGATGTAATTTCTATCTCCAGTACGAGCCTCTTATCCATGACGCTGACAGAAATGCTAGTAAAAATAGCAACCGATTCTCATTAACGAAAAGAAGAAGAAGTAGGTAGTTTTAGCATTTAGTTCTGTTTTGGTTATGAACAAATTTTTTTTTGTTTGTTGAAACAGATATGATTATGTTATTTATATAATTAAACCAATAAACATAAATTAGCCTTTAATCAGAAATAATAATTATCAGTCTTTAGCCATAATTGCTAATAGTTGCCACGTTTGGCAGGCGGATTAGCATTTGCCGTTAGGCTTTGTAGATATTTTAAGAAGAACGCTGCCGCCCATCCCTCACTCTCTCTTGATTGTTTCTTAAAAACACAGGAACGGAAGGGGTGGCCTATTCTGTTTCGGTATCACATGGCGAAATAATAATTTAATCATTATATTCTTAGACATATTTAGAGAGAGGCCGGGTGGGTTGTGTCCGCCTTGAAATCTTTTGATATTACCCCTACCTATCACAGAAGCTTCGATAGGCATGTCTGAAAGTACATATACACCTTTTTCAAAAAGGCCAAGTCTACTTGAAAAAATAAGTCACAATTATACACAATTAGTGTAACATCAAAGATTTCGGTAACGTTGCCCAGTATGCAAACTACAAATAAATAATGATGGTACCTTTATATAATGACTCCCATAGACGGTTAAATAAATGCATTATACATTTTTATTACGGAATCATTTAAATCATATAAACAGTGACATGAACATCCAAAAAATCATCTACTTTAAATAATATTGATATTTTACTTATTGGTAGTTTGTTGTGAAAGAAATTCATTCCTTTTAATTCCTGTATTTAGAAAAACAAGATAATCTGTGGTAAAAAAAGGAAGTATAGGTAATCTGTGGCACAATTTTCTCCAGTGTTGTCAACATATCCGTTCATGTACTTATTTAGCGTTTATTTTTTCATTTAGCAATTACATTTTGATTTAGGCTAAAGCTTAGCTTATATAGATAGAGGATTTAGTCTTTAAAACGGATCAACTTTTTATTAGTTAATTACGAAATTAGCTGACTCCTTTTTTATCAGTATTCTATATACTTACGCACTTAATGTATCTTGATATATCTGTATTTAATTATTTTATTATTGTAATTATTTAATCACGCAAATTGTAAGAAAAAGTTGATCTGCTTTTTTGGAAGTTTTTATATTGGGACATTCTCTCTATATAATCTAAGGTCAAAAACAATGCTGTAATGTAATAAATGAATAAGCATTCATTAATTACATCACAGCATAATAATTAACCAAATCTTTGTAAATAACAAAAGTTTATTTCAGTTAACACACTAGCAATTATCACCGTATCAATATAAAATTTTACATATGTTTAGTTATCGTTTAGTTTGTTGTGTGGTCCCTTTCTTTCTTAGTTGATAGTTGCCAACCCGCCTATCAAGATTGGTCTCAAAATCCTCCAACGGGGAGACCTATTTTTAATAGCAGACAGTTAACGTCTTGTATGATATAATTAGTATTTCATTTTTTATTAGTAGAACATTTATTATTCACTGGCATGAATATTTTTTTTATATTAAATAGGGCTTTAAATTGACTTGATATGGATGCATAACATCTTAGTTCACAGTAATAATAATATATGAGTGCCACTATGAATAGCATATTAAAAGTTCTCATGTTTTAATACTTTGGCCTGAGTTTTATAGTCTAGTAAATTTTGTACAATTATTATTTCCAGAATTCAATATTTTTTTGTTTAATGACAGTTATATTAAAACTTTAATAAAATTACTATTTATTTCAAATTTATTAGCTTTTTTTTTTCTAATTTGCTTAGCCGGAAAACTCAATAATGAGGTGAGAACACTGGTTCTGTCTTTAAATCTGTATTAGTTGAGTTGGGTTGTCGTGCTGTTAAGTTCGATTAAATTTAAAATTTTCTTTTTTCGTATTCACAATATAATTCTTGTTTTTTTTTTTTTCGTTTTTGTTACGTTTTAATTGAAATTGTTTGGTTATTTGCACCATTGAAGTGTACTCGAAATTTAAATGCAATTGCATTTATTGCAGCAATATTACCCTCGCATTTAAATATTTTGCTGATCCACAAAATTTTAACATTTCCAGCGTGGCATTGCATTGTAGTTCTATAAAAGTATTTCCAACTTGGTAGTTAATAAATTAAAGTATTTCTAAATCGTTGGTGTAAGTTCTGGTTGTTTTTATATTTTTTTTTGTGATCGATAATTGTTGTAATACCTACATGTTCGAAATTAGTAATTCAAAAAAAGAAAAAAAAAAAAATGTAATGAACGATATGTTCGCTTCAGTTTTTAAAAAATTAGGTCAGTGCATACTCGTCGAATTGTCTCGAATCTAGTTGATCTTCATTTGTTTTTTTTTTGGTGCCAACGCGAGTTTTCAAAAGATTTTCTAGTCAATCAGGACACCCATATGGATGGTAAATTTTTTGAAATATTCTCCATATTCATCAAATTTCAACATTTCCAGCGTGGCATTGCATTGTAGTTCTATAAAAGTGGTTCTAACTTGGTAATCATGTTCGATCTGGTCATTTTTATTCTTTTTTTTGTGATCGGTGATTGTTGTGGTACCTACATGTTCAAAATTAGTAAATCAAAAAGAAAAAAAAAATAGAAACAATATGTTCGCTTTGCCTTTTGTATAATTTTGCATCTGACTTTTTTTCTAACATCAATGCAAGTTAGCTACGCAGCTTTCTAGTCGTTCAGGGCATCCATATGGATGATAATTTTTTTTTTATAAAGTGTTGATGTGGCAGTGTTGATAGCTATCAGAGATTTGCTATGGGACTTCGAATTTACATTGAGTAACTATTCAGATTTGTTTTGAATTGTTTTTCTGAGATTCCTCTGTGTTGTAAGGGGAATTGTTGGTTGTGAGTATCACTACATCCGTGGGTAGTCTGGACTCTGGAACGAGAAAGGTTGATCGAAAAAAAAACATATGTTCGAAAATTACAAATACAATATAAGCTTTAGCTCAATAAATGCATGTTTATTAATAAAAAAAAAACCATAAAGATAATAAAAAAGTTTTTTTTTTTTTTTTTTTTTTTTTTTTTTTTTTTATAGAACTTAGAATGGCAAACAAGCTGACGGCCCACCTGATGGAAAGTGGTAACCGTCGCCTATAGACATGAGCAGTACCATGGACATAACAGAGTATACTGTTTCGCCCATGATACCCCCCATGCGTTGCCATTCCTGAGGACTCAGGTGTTATTCCTCTGTACCCAGTAAATTCACGCCATATCCCACCCTTCAAACCGAAACACAGCCATGCAAACACAACTGCTTCACGGTTGAAACACGAATGGGACAGAGGTACCCAAGCAATCGACTTTTGTACAAAGTCTCCCTCTGGTAAAAAAGTGCCAAACAAATGTAATTACTATCTTATAAGATTATTGTATTCCGTCAAATGTGGGTAGTATGGAATTGTATGTTATATTGTATGGTGAAAACTCTGGATTTCTTTGTTCTTACAGTTGTTTTGTTTTTAAAATATTTAGATTGAACTAATTGCTGGATATAATAATAAAGCCGTTTTATTCAAAATTTGCTACAACTTTGGTAAAACATACTTACCAGTCTCACATTACAATATGTCTCTTAATTCGGAGTGGCTCCTGGCAAAAGCTTTCTCCAGCTTTCTCCACTGAGCTCTATCTTCTGCTCATCTGCTGCAGTAAGGGTCCAAGGTTAGGCTGGATATATTTCTTGTTTAATATTTGTGTCGTTGTATTTTTATGAAACAGTTGTTAGAATTATTGATAGATTTATTCTCTTCGCAATTATATATTTATTCTGCCTTATACTTGAGGAGGTTTATTGTGCATTAATTTACCGTTTAAATCATCAAGATGGAAAAAAAATAACATTTTGAAAAGCATAAGAAGAGTTTGAAAAAAAAAACATTTTTACTGATGTTTGACAACTTGTGTCTAATCTCTGTTATTGTCAACATCATATCGGTTGTTATCTGTCCACTGCTGGACATAGGCCTAAAGCACATGTCTGGGATTGTATATTACTAATTTTTAATATAAGCTTTATTTCCCATACTTTACAAGTAAATTTTTTTTTTTTTTGAATTAATGAATAATGGATAACTTTATTTGCATGAATACAGATTAATACATTAGAAGTATTTAATGTTAAAGAAAAGACTCTGCATTCAACCGTGTGGCGTGCAAATATTTAATTTGGAACTTGTTCTTAAAATTTTATGATATTAATGATTTTTTTTTAACAATTTTATTTGTTTTTTGGTGTAAAAGCTTCCTCCATCATAATTTTAATCCTGATCACTTTCCACCCATCTTTTTCTTTGATTACTAAAAGTAACTATTTATTCTCAATATGTACCAAAAATGTTTTTGTCTCCTTACAATAGTTCCCTTTATGAGTACTCAGTACAGGTTACAATCAATACAAAGTTTTATTGTGCAATAAAGAATAAATAAATAAATATAAACAACAATAACAATGGTATGCAATAAATGCAGATCAAAATTGCATTGTTGCATATTCACATTGACAAAGTATATAAATATTTTTTATTTTTATCAATAAGGAGTTTGTGATAGTCATTTTATTCGCTCATATAAGTTTTTGTTATTGTACATTTGACTTTTATTTGGAAAAAAGCAACAGCTGTGTTTCTTGTCTGTTCTCAGCTGAAATTACATTCTGAACCAAATGGTAGATGTATTAAAAAAAAAAAAACTATTTAAAAATGCTTATTATTGAGTTTACTTGAATAAAAATACTTTATTAATACAAACATGTGCTAGAGAACAATACATAAAGCTTTAAATTAATTAAATTGTAACTGAGGTGTGAGAATGAGAGATGTATAAAAAGGAAGATAAGTAAAAATCCCTAGCTTTATCTAATACTGGATTCTGCCTATTTACGTAATATTGGGTACAAATAAACAAATAGGTTATTCACAACAAAATTTCTCACATAACGGCTCAGTAGAGCCGGCACGTAAAAGTAACTTTTTAATTTTTGTTTTTTAATGGTTTCACTGCACTGATTTATCGTCGTCTAGTCGTTTAGTCTCACTTCAATTGTAACAGAACGAATACATCACTACGTTTTTATATATGTTTTAATAATTTTGGTCGAAGCAGCTTATAGATTCCTGCTTTCTCTCTGGCATAGAGTCTATGACATATCTGTAATTGACATTTAGTTTGATATTGACGTTGACATTTCATTGAACATGAATATCGTTTTTTTTTTTTTAGTACGTTTGTTCCGTTGTGGAACAGGCTAAGGTCGGAGACCATGCTGCAATATCGTTTCCCTATTTACCTTCTATGATTTTTTTTTTCTTATGGCACGCTTCTATCATTTAGTTACAGAGTTATCTGTCAACTGCAGGTAACAATAAATAAATGATAGTTTCTTTGCTTAAGACAATAACTCTTGCAAGTTATTTGGTATAACATTTTTATTTTGTAGTTTAGCAAAAATATTGTCATGTGCGAAAAGTCGCAGGGTCGAGGGACTGAATTTGGTCGTCTAAGTATCATAAAAATAAAGGCAAATTTCTTGTATCAAAATTGTCCCGTCTTTTTTCCAGTCTTTAGCTCTAGTCATTTGTTTTGTCAAAGGCCCGTCAGTTGTGTCTATTTTCGTTTTGGCGGCCATTATATTTTTGAAAATTTGTGTAAACATTGTTAAAGTTTTCAATGGCTTTGATGTTTTACAATTCCATCAACCTATATAAAATGTATTTCGTGTAGTAGCTGAAAAAAAAAATCCTTATGCCTGTTAAGAGCAATATATTTAAGTAATGCAACCTCTTTACTATTTTTTGTATGATACATTGTTTTGACAGTTTATGTAAAATTAAAAATAATATTCGAATTGTCTATTATGGAAAAAAAAGCGAACTTTGATTAAAATGCAGATTTTTATTTAAAATAAACAAAAATACATTTATGGCATATACAATGCCTTTGAGTCGACCTTTAGAAGATGCATAAATGGTTGATTCGTTAAAATAAAGAATTAAACGAATTTTAAATTAAAAAGAAAAATAAAGAATATACTTTTAATTTTTTTTTTTATAATGGTTTATTACGGTACTGATTACTTGTCGTTTAGAGGCTGTCTTCGATTGTAAGTGAATAAGTCATGAGGATGTCAGTTATTATCCTTCCACTGCTGGACATTGGCTTCCCCCATAGACTGTCGTAAGGAGCGGTCCTGAGCCACCTGCTTCCACTCACGTGATATGACAATGAATTAATGTATAGTTCACTAATTTTCTTGAGACAATAACTTGCAAGTTATTTTATCATTTTTATCTTGATGTTACTTGACTTCATTAATTGTGTTAAGTACTAGTCATTGAATTTCGAAAAAAAGACATTTCATAAAAAATTTTCAAATAAATTTTTTTTGTTCATAAAAATTGCACATATCATTTTTGATAATTTGTTTATTGTTGTCAAAAACTTTCTATGATCAATTTTCGTTTTTGTGGTACCATGGTTGTTTAACACAATCCCTGTAGAGGGCACTAGCGATGCGTAGCTGTCATAGCTGTTTAAACCGACAGCGTATGATGGCCGATAAATTATGAGTATATTTATTAATAAGAAATATCTTAAACTTTAACAGCAATGCCATTAATGAAGTAACCAAAATTCACTTTATCAGCAAGAGTTAGCGACATCTATGATATATGAACTTAAACTTTGGGATAGTCTGTTCAATTCTGGTTGATATACCTAAAGCTTCTTAACTTATTACATAGGTGGCACCACTATGAACAAAATTAAGAGATTTTTTCCTAATGGATATACCTAACATAATATTGACAACAAAGCAGTTTGTTTAATAAAAAAAAAAAAAAAAAAAAAAAAAACTAGTGGTGGAAGGATATTTCCCTGATTGTCATATGTGCCCTCACTAGTGTATTCAGTATTTTTATTAAATGCAGCCTCTATTGCATTATCTAACATATGTTACTGCGTCGAGAATCGAACTCGATGTAATGCAACTGCACAGTTATACAACTAAATAGTATCACGCTATAAGATCGGTTATAATGAGTCATTCGTACAATAGCCAATAGCTAAATAGCTGGTTATTTTTAGCTGTCAGAATTGTCTGAACAGTACGTTACGCACAAGCGTAACTGAGTATTCGTCGACTTAAGCTTCACTCTAAGAACGCTCCCAAACCCCAAAGCAAACGAGCAACAGTGGGGCACTAGTTTCATACGAATAGTAACAAATACGTAGAAGGAACACTATAGTTCATTGTTGCTGTAATTAAAACATCTCGCCACTACTGGCGTCCGACGACAGGGTCGCCGTTGTTTCTTGTTCTACTATCGGTACGTGACGTCTCGATTGGCAACATTAACAAATTTTATGAATTCCAACACACATATAAGTTGCCGTGTGATCCTGGCATAGAATAAACCACGCGTTCCTTTCACGTTGGTGTCGTAGGATCTGCTGCTTAGGAAGGGCGAAATCTTCAAAGCCTAATTGCGGTTGCCAATCCGCCTACCAAGCGTGACTGCTATTAGCAATTAGCATGGCTGTACACGATGGTTGGACCGCTGTATTGTTACACAGGCGGCCTGGAGTACGGTTACAGATGTAAATGTGGGTCGGGATATTTATTGGTCGGATCATTTGCCATTAATTTTGAGTTGTGATCTAAGCCTAACTGCGGTTGCCAATCCGCCTACCAAGCGTGACTGCTATTAGCAAAACTACTTCAGCAGTGGACAGTGAAAGGCTTATATGAAGACAAGTTTTGTGAGTCTTTTTAAGTCGATCAATTTAATTTTTATTATTTTTGAGGTTACATCATCATAGATGCAGCGTATGCGATGACATCTTTGTTCTTTTACCTTCGTATTCGCTAACTTGGAGTGCTGAATATTGACTTGTATGATCTTGAGCTCGTCATCCCCCGCATCCGTTGGTGGAGTGGCTTGTATGACCTTCAGCTCGTTGTCTCACGCATCCGTTGGAGCTGATAAGCTTATATGATATTAATCTGGTTGTTCCTTGTGTCTGTCGGAGGTGATTGGTCCGTTACCTGGCTACACTTAGTAGCAATACGAGATACTATATCTTACTATTTGGTCCCATTTGTTTCTTTATAGGCATTCCTCGCTGAATGCATTTTGTTCTCAAGATGTTGGTTTTTGGCCTCGTTGCAATTTATGTACTGAGCAGACAGTCTTTTATTCCTGTCCTTACATTTCCAGGCGTGTGCTCTTCTACAATGACTGCAGACGTCCTCCGCGTTCTTACAGAACTTATGGTGTGGCCAAAGCCTTGGCATTTGGTGCATTGCACTAGTGAAAGAATACCATAAATATTGTACTTGATAAAATTTATTTATTATAATAATAGTAATATTTTTTTTTTTGAAGATTGATGTATGTTAGTGCAGCGCAGTTGTTGAGCAAGTGCTTGTCAACTGCAATGCACTGCAAACTGCCAGTTATCAGTCAGCTAATGTAACGGCATATGCGCTTCAGTGTCGCCACCTGTGAGTTTCAACAAATTTGATCCATTACAAACCAACAACGTATACACCGATATACGGCACAACAGACGAGTACTATTCAGTTATATTTTCTTCATATTAATTCCGTTACAACCCAACAACATATGCACCAATATACGGCATAACAGCCTACAGAAATTGTTTTCTTCCAATTCGACCCGTTACAACCCAACAACATATGCACCAATATAGGGCACAACAGCTGGAAGTAATTCAGTCTTTTCTTCTATTTTGACCCGTTACAACCCAAGAACATATGCACCAATATATGGCATAACAGCCTAAAGAAACTGTTTTCTTCCAATTCGGCACATTACAACCCAACAACATATGCACCAATATATGGCATAACAACCTAAAGAAATTGTTTTCTTCCAATATGATCAGTTACAACCCAACAACATATGCACCAATATATGGCATAACAGCCTAAAGAAATTGTTTTCTTCTAATTCGGCACCTTACAACCCAACAACATATGCACCAATATATGGAATAACAGCCTAAAGAAATTGTTTTCTTCCAATTCGGCACGTTATAATCCAACAACATATGCACCAATATATGGCATAACAACCTAAAGAAATTGTTTTCTTCCAATTCGGCACGTTACAACCCAACAACATATGCACCAATATGCGGCACAACAGCCGGAAGTTATTCAGTGTTTTCTTTCAATTCGACCCGTTACAACCCAACAACATATGCACCAATATATGGCATAACAGCCTAAAGAAATAGTTTTTTAAGGGTAGAATAAGAGCGGACTGTATAATAATATAAGCTGATTTAATAATTACTCGTGTCAAAGTACAACTTTAGCCCGACAATTTACGAAACGCATATGTGCGCTTGCGGTTGCCACTATGCTGTTGACCTGTCTGCCCTCAACGAGCCGCGAGTCCACTCCCGCGGCTTCCTCCGCAGACTATTAAATGGCTTGACCATCGCTAGCTTCCAATTCGACCCGTTACAACCCACCAACATATGCACCAATATAATGGCATAACAGCCTAAAGTCTATAAATTGTCTTCTTTCAATTAGATCCGTTACAACGAGAACACAACAGCTTTAAAATATTGTTTTCTTTCAATTCGGCACGTTACAACCCAATAACATATACACCAATATATGGCATAACAGCAGAATATAATTCCGTTATGTTTTCTTCTAATTCTACCCGTTACAACTCAACTACGTAAGCAGCAATATACGGCACAACAAGCTAAAGTATTTCAGTCTTTTCTTTCATTTTGACCTGTTGAAACCCAACAACATATGCACTAATATACGACACAACAGCTGAACATAATTCATTTTAATATTCTAAACTAAATTTAATGAAGTAAAAATACAGTTACAATATTAATTAAAACTTATAACATACTGATGTGTCAATTGGTCGATGTATGTATCGAGAGTGCCGATAATGGCTGTCGGCTCTTTCCATGAATATTGCGAGTCCCACGTTTTCGCTGATTCGGCATCACGTGTGGGTGGAAGGTGTGATGCGCTGTATCGAGGCCGCTGCCTGTTGCAACGGTTTCCGTGAATTATAGTTCGTAACGAGCATCGGCATGCTCTTCCGCCGGTCGTTCATCCCGGAGTATACCGACTCTGATACTCATTCTCGGCCGGTCAGTTCTCGATAATCGTAATAATAAATACGACTACGAGGAGAAATGTCGAAATAAAACCGACAACATGCGTTTTGAACTCTTTGTATTAGACGCTGCGTTTTACGAAGTAGACAAGCGCCGATAAATTAAAGCTCCTAAGTCCTGTTGACGTGTTTGTAATTCCCGTTTTATTAAATGTGGTATCTGAGTGGCATCTTAGATGGTATTTCTTTGTTGTTGTCAGATATCTTAGCTTAATTACAATTATTTATAACCTAATTTATTCAAAAATTTAATAAATATGACCTAATTAAAAATAGGCCTTGACTGCATACACACTTTGGCCGATTCACTTTTATGGGTCACAGATTGTATGTTGGCAGGTTCAGTCGTTGTTCACTTCTTCCTCTAGCTTCACAATTTTCTGATCGGTTCGGTTCAGTCGTTGTGGTTAGTAGCGGAATTCCTGCCGAAGATTCTTGGCACCTTCTGCTCCAACGTTACTGTGACCGCTACTTTGGATAGATAGTGTTGCAGTCGTGGACTGGGGGTCGTTTCCTTATGGTGTTTACCACTAGGGGTTTTGCCAGTAGTTGTCTCATATGGCAGGTGGGTTGACAACCTTGGTGATGTTTTAGCAGGGACGCTGCTACTTCTTCCTCGACCATAAGGCCAAACCTTGTTATTTGTACTTATTATTCGACTGTCTAAGATTGAACTATGATTATATTTAAAAGCTAAATTTAAAAGATCTTACCTTGCCATTAATTCTAAAAGCGTAAAAAATTGCTCCCCGTTGGCCTCCGATCTAGCTTCTCCCATCTTCAGTAGATATCTTCCTGCTTCTGTAAATATTGTAAATGATTATCCCGCCAGTTTTGCATTGTTAATGCAATTGTTAAGCAACACAATTTGCTTCATATTCGTGTTTATAAATCGGTGCGTTATAGTATTGGAGAGAAAAGGGAAATTATGTTCACATTGTAATTCTTTTATTGCTCCGAGGTTTTGACAACAATGTTACTTTTTGGAAAAATAAATCCACTGACTACTATACAGTTGCAGACAGAAAACAGATTGTTTGTAAAAAGAAAATAAAAACAATAATAATTTGACTCATATTTAACAAACATAAATCAGTGTTTTCTACATATTCGACCCGTTACAACCCAACAACATATGCACCAATATAGGACACAACAGCCGGAAGTTATTAAGTGTTTTGTTCCATTTTGGCCCATTACAACCCAACAACATATGCACCAATATACGGCATAACAGCCGGAATTAATTCGGTCTTTTCTTCCTATTCGACCCGTTACAACCCAACAACATATGCACCAATATACGGCACAACAGCCGGAAGTAATTCAGTGTTTTCTTTCAATTCGACCCGTTACAACCCAACAACATATGCACCAATATACGGCACAACAGCCGGAAGTAATTCAGTGTTTTCTTTCAATTCGACCCGTTACAACCCAACAACATATGCACCAATATACGGCACAACAGCCGGAAGTAATTCAGTGTTTTCTTTCATTTTGACCCGTTACAACCCAACAACATATGCACCAATATACGGCACAACAGCCGAACATAACTCCTTTATTATCCATGATTAGAATTTTCAATCTTACTTTTTTATTTTTTACTCGCTTTATTCAACATTAAATAGCAGCTTTGCTCTATTGAGCACACCGAGTTTTTTGGATGCCAGCTTATCCTTATCTTCGAGGTGGCCACGGAATTGTACATCACATTGAGATGTTAAGAGACGTGCCTTAGAACTGTAGAGCCACAGCAAATGGGGTTTTCTTAGCGGTGAACGCGCAAGCTTGTGTCTTAGCGGGGTTAAACTGGACTAAGTTTTGTCGTCCTCAATCGGAGACTCTAGTTAACGTTCTCTCGATTTTAGACACAAGCTGTTCACGATTGCCCTCCATGATGGAACGTTCCTCATGGATGGATAAAAATGTTTGAGGTCTTTTTAATATTAGAAAAGAGGTTTTCTTTGAATTTTATTATGTAATGTAATTTTTGAGATTTGGAACTTTGTACTGGCTTGAGAAATAGATTGCTTGCTTTCTGTCATATCTACAACTAGTTCAAGACATTTCTGGTCGTATTCCTTTTCACTTTTCCTTATTGATGCCATCTGGATTAGAGAATTTGACCAGATTAATTTTTCCAGACTGTTTATCGTCAGCTCAACGTCTTCTTTTTCCACACATCTCCAGCTGTCATACTCTTTTATCCTTGATTGGGATTATCAATCATACTTTTTAATTTTTCACTCATTCGAGTTCATTCAACATTATACCGCAGTATGCCCTTTCTTCCGTCCAAACGTTTTACGCAACGTTAGAGACATGCTCGCTCTAATTAATTATGTTTCGACTGTACCTGTTAACGGTGTATATATTGTTGGTTTGTAACAGATTGAATGAGAAGAAAAACACGTTAATTGTATACAGGATACAATTAATATGGTGTGTCTACTCAGGTAGGATGACGTCGACGTAGCGATGTCTCGAGGCGATCTACGACCACCTCGGCGTTAGGAATACTGGTAGTCCGAAGAAATAATAGCTTTGCGCAAGGACAACATGGACGCTAGACGCCAGTACCTCAGGCGCCGTCGGCTCTGGTAATGATATATCTTTGATGTCTTTTACTTTTTATTTTTTTGGAAATTAATCAAGTTTTTGTTTTATAAATACTACTACTCGTTTGCTATGCATTCGTGTTCGATTTATTATTCTAAGTTCTTTGTGGTCTGCATGAGTCCATGTAATGAAGACCCCACAACGTTGGTCAGACAGTTTACTGTTAAAATACAAGATCTTATTACATTTTTGCTACTGCTACATATAATATTGAACTCAAACGCCATCTCCGTGTTATAAACAAAACTATGTTACTGATTTTAGGGATCCTTTCGTGTGTTAGCTTTTGTTTTTCGCTGAATTATTATTTTTTAGTGACTTTAAAGATCTTGATTTGCCTATTCGTTGTTTTCTTAAGATGATATCTAATATGTTCATTTCAACTTTTTCGCTGTTGGATTATTCGGATGTTATTTCCTTCGACCAGAACCCTGATCATGGAACTCGTTTCTATCGTTACTTAGTAACTAAAGTTGTTTATTCACTATTTTTACAAAATCCACGCGTTCGTCCAGTTCACCTTGGCTAATAGACTGTGTATGGGAGTTGTATGTGGACCCACCAAACTAAGCATTTACAATTTGGTGATATGTTCTAAGAGTCGATACTGTATCGACTCTTAGAACATA